GCTGAGCCTGTGCTTGGCGCCTCAGGGACATTACAGCCCGAAGCCCCTGAGCCCGGTACCCTTCCCACTGCCGTGAGTACCTCTCCCCGATGGGTACCAGCTGCTCTGTGAGGCCGCTGTGGCTTCTGACGCCACTGCTGCTGTTGCTGTTACTGTGCCACATGGGCGCCCGTGCCCAGGATGAGGACGCCGAGTACGAAGAGCTGATGCTAGCTCTCAGGTCCCAGGAGGATGGCTTGGCCGAAGAGGAGGCCCCGCATGTGGCCACCGCCCCCTTCCACCGTTGCTCCAAGGTTCAGGCGAGGGATGCCAGGCAATGGTGTGGGTTCGGGGTTGGGGTGGCGTTCTCCGAGGGTCTCCTGGTGGTCTCAAAGTGCAGTCCCGGGGTGCGGGAGGCAAGACCCAGCCTCAGCATGCAGATGCACCTGTGGTAGGGTGGATAGGGGAGGCCATGTGTAGAAGCTTAGTTTTTAAGGTGTGGGGCGGGGAGGGAGCTACTAGTGCGGTGGCTGGGGACCATGGGGAGGCCAAGAACTGTAGTGGCTCATCTTTCTTAACTGAGTGCCAACAGTCATCCTGGGCATCTGTTGGGGCTCTGTGGGCCTTGTACTGGGGAAAGGGTCAGAGCTGAATGACTTGGGGCACCAGTGCGTGAGTGAGTGGGTGGGGTCAGCTTCCTGGGTACATCTGTCCCTGGCTCTGGGCCACAGGAAGCTCCTGCCTGAGTCACGTGAAGCCATTTTCTCCAAGTTAATTTTCCCAGGGAAAATAATTTTGGCAAGTAATTTTAATCCAATCTTTGATGCACCCCTGGCCTCCAGGAAAACTCTCATTTCGTTGCAGCCGGCCCTCCCAATTGTGTAGCTTTTCATTGGGCAGAGGACATTCTAGATGGAGCTTTGAAGTATAACTAGGAGCTCAACGAATGAATGAAGGTAGCACTAGGATTTTCTCCTAGAGAGGAAGTGACATGGATGATGAAGGTACAGAGCTGGGGGAGGCAGAGGAGAAATAAGGCTCCCATGCCTATAGCCCCTACACTATCTTCTGAGATATGAGATGTTCTGAACCCAAAAGGCCCTTTATGGTTTACCTGATGGTAAACTGGACCTGATCTGACAAAAGGTTGTCCATAACCTTCAACTCGTTGCATCAGTGTGAATGTGGCTATCCAGACATTTGCTGCACTGACCCCCAGGGCTGACTCCTCACTGCCCACTGCTGCCTTTGTAAAATCCAAGTGAAGTCTGAATCTCCAAATCCAGTTGACCCTGAGGACTGGGCTTCTCTGGTGAAAGTCAAAGGCACAGGTGCAGTGATGCAGGAGGTGAAGGCACAGAGTGGGTTAAAGGAGAAGTCAAGGAGGAGCACCCAGACTGGGCTTCAGCTATTAGGTGGCCCGGGTCTGTGGAAGGTTTTTGAACAGGGGCCCCTGTTCCCACAGCCTCACCCTTGACTCTTCTCTCTGTCTGGAGGTGTTATTTTGCTCCCTTCTCTTCATCTCTTCTGCCTCCATTTGCCAAGCACCCAGATTGGTGTTGAACACACTCATCTCTTTCAAGCATCCCTGCAGGTATATCCTGGGTGTATTATGGACCCTGTAACACAAGAGATGTCTGGGGTTTGGAGAGGCTGAGTGACGAAAGGCCAGTAAATACCAGAGGTTGGATAGTAAACATTGGAGGTGGGATTAAGGTCCGAAGCCTTTGGCTTTTCTCCCTGGGCTGTTGCTGGAGGAGCGTCAGAGGTACTTGGTAGGAAAGAAGTGAGTTACCTTGGATGGGTCACTGAACACAGAGGTGTGGCTAGGAAGGCAGAGTCAGCTGAGTGTTCAGGCCTTGGTGGATTCCCTAGAGAGCTGGGTGTGGTATGGAGGCTGCCAAGTGTGGCCCATGCCTACCCTCCCTGCCGACTGCCAAGTTTGAAAACGTGTACACCTCAGTAACACAAATAGTTGCTTAGCTGGGGGATTGGTGTTTCACAATTTGGTCCCTTCTCTCTACAGCTCGTCTACTCTGTCTCCTTGGCCTCACTTCTGATCTGTAAGCAGCACTGGGATGTAGCTTGCACATCATTGACTTTTCCACACTATCCTGTTGTGTGAAATCTGTTCCTATAGAATATTGTTTATTCTCCTGGGAGGAATAACTCCACCCACCAAAGGAATGCCCGGGAAAGATGCTCCTTAGCAGTGGAGGGTAAGGGTTCAAGGAGGTTATGTAGACACCTTTTCAGGCATAGAACTCTTTAGGCTCTGATATAGCAAAGTCATTTGATTCACTGTTTGATCATCAAAACATTTGTCTCTCCAACCCCATCCATTGTCCTAACCCCAGATGCTACCTATTTGGTGGTGATCACCATAGAAGGATTAGCATTTTGATTTTATGCTGCTTAATGCACAGTCTTTTTATGCCACCAAGTCCTGAGTTGAAGGGAGTTAGCAGGTTTCAAACAAGTCCTGACTAGCATGTCCCAGTCTTGGGGTACAAGGTTGTCTGCTTCAGCGATCCCTCCCAACATTTTCAGAGTATATGGAGATGTATTGTCAGATGAGGACGTGGCATGTTCAAAACCCTCAAGTGTCCTATAGGGAAGGGAATAGGCTCATACTTTGTAGCTATCCCCACTGAGGAAGAACACCAACTCTTCCCTCAAGGGGTTGGAAATGCACCTGGGCTACAAAGGTAAGATTAGGTCTGCCGGAGGATCCTTCCTTTTGAGCTAACTGGCTCTCCCAGGATAAGGCAAAAGCACCATTTTATAGGGAAGCAGAGGAAGAGCTAGCAGAGGATATTTTGTCTTCTGAATCAGAAGAATGGGAAGAGTGGCAGTGAGGGGGAGCTGAAGCTTCAGGCAAGGCTCGTCTATAAGGTTCCCCTTTCTGTCAGAAGGGGCTGTCTGGTGGTTTCTCCTGTACTGGTAGGACAGGAGTAGTTTGCAAAAGCTGAATTACTTAGATTAAAAGGGTCAGACATTTAATGGGATCACCACTCCCTGACCATGAGCTTGTTTAAAATAACACGAAATATCTTTCTATTGCTTTAGGTGCAATGTACCCTATGGTGGCAGCCAGTAAGAGTATGTGTCCATATAGTCTGAGAGGTCATAGCAATCTGGTTTTTTTTTTTTTTTGCATGCCCCCTCCACCTCATGCTTTATTGTGTACAATAAGCACTATGGTCATCTCTTTTGTTTTTGGTTTACCTCATGATTACCCTGGTGTCTTGGAGTGGGCTCCCTCTGTGCTACCAGAATCATATATCTCTCATTAGATTCCCTATGTTTTGGCGCCCATGTTTCAATCTACCAATGATTGATTAGTTCAACTCAAGGTTCAACAGAACTAGGGACCTCAAGGCTCCACAAGAGCCTTTTTACCAGTCTTCTGTTTATTTGGATAGTTCAGAGTTCAAAGCAGAGACAGAGAAACCATGGAAAATATACATATTATTACTCTCCCCAGATGTGTTCCGGAGATAGAAGGTCTCAAGGCCAAATGCACTAAGCTACATTGCTTAGGAGGGGAGAGGAAAGATCTTTCCTGAGGCATTCCTTGGGCAGGTGGAGACATTCCTCCCAGGGAACTAAATGAAAGTTTATAGGAACACAGTTCACTCAGGATAAGTAGGAAAGTCTGTTATGTGCACACTACACTGGGTCACTGTGGGTCCACTGGAGCGCTCATGTCCTCTGCTTCTCTTCCTCCCTGGGGACCAGGAGGCCTGGAGGCTGCCAGGCACCTACATAGTAGTGCTGATAGATGGGGCCCAGCGGCTGCAGATTGAACAAACCATCCATCGCCTGCAGACCCAAGCTGCCCGCCGAGGCTATGTCATCAAGGTTCTGGATATCTTCTACGACATCTTGCCTGGCTTCGTGGTGAAGATGAGCAGTGACCTATTGGACCTGGTGAGCTACTTTCTTGGGCGTGGGACTTCCCAGGAAGGACTGGCTTCCATTTCTCTGTCTAGTTGCCATTGGTCTTAGTGTGCCCACTACTGAGAGTCAGGATCAGTGAGTACCTCTGAACTCTTCCTGGGTCACAACTGGCAGTTCCTGGTTCCTTGAATAACCTTGGCTGTGTCCCAGTGCTATGTCTCATCAGGGGTTCAGAGAGGAGCAAAAACATTCTTCCCAAAAGTTCTCTCTCAAAATCTCTCCTTAAGATTCCTCTCTAACTGCTCTCTCCTCAAACGTTCTTTCTCTAAAAGCTCTCTTAAAGTTCTCCTCAGATCTAAAAATTCCTTCCAAAAATTCTCTCAAGGTTCCCTCTAAAAAGTTTCCAGAAGTTCCTTCTTCTAAAAGTTATCTTGATCCCACAAGGCTTCTAGTTTTTATACCCACAGGCACATTTAACAACTCTCTGATGTATCTCTGACATATAACATGGCCTGCATTATCTCTCAGAGCCAGGAAGGCAGGTAGGATTTTGAGAAAAGCAGATGCCTCATGTCTCTCCCCTGAACGTTGACTTGCAAAATGTCGCCATTATTTAAGGACTGGAGAATGTGAAATACTTTTTATACAGGGAAAGGTTGAGACAGTGTCGTGCTCTGCAGTTTAAGCTGGTCTCAAACTCGAGATTTCCCCAACTTTGCTTCTAGAATGCTTGTATTACAGACAGGTGCCAACATCCCCAGCTGAATGTGGAGTGTTTAAGCAGATGTTAAGTAATGAAACTGACAGAGGGTAGGTCAGGGAGCCCTGGGCATACTGAGGCACCAGGGTATCTTGGGCCTCCAGGAGGGGAGGATGAAGAGAGGACGCTGAAGCATGGAGGAATGGCATGTTACCCAAGGATGAGGCTACTGTGAGCCTGGGTTAAGGAGCAGGGTACGGCCCCCTTGCTATCAAACTGATGTGGATGCCTCCTGTTAGCTGAACACATTGGAGGCCTGGGAATCTGGTGCTGTGGTCAGTTGGAAGGATAGGAATGGAGGCAGACACACAATGGCTAGCGCTGTTGTCCTGAGTTGAGTGTGAAGTTTGGGCTCTAAGATTCCTGACCACCTGACTCCCAGGTGAGTTGAGGAGCCCAGAAGCCTTCTGAACAATCATATGTGTGTTCAGCAACTGGACTTGCAGAGCACGGTGTTCCCTAACCAGAGAGGAAGAGGAGAACACTGGCCCCTGGTCTGTCTTCTGGGCCCCAGAAGGGAGACTTTGGGATAATGTGGGCAGGTGCTCATTGGAGACGTGGACAGCAGTTGGCTCAGGTGGAGCTATTGTGGGCTGCTGTTAGCTGAGGGGCTTTTGAAGCTAAGTGCTATGGCTCTTTGGCTTCTGTAGGCCCTGAAGTTGCCCCACGTGAAGTACATCGAGGAAGACTCCCTTGTCTTCGGCCAGAGCATCCCCTGGAACCTGGATCGGATTATCCCAGCAGGGCGCCAGGCACAGGAATACAGCTCCTCCAGTAAGGTCCCCAGTAAGCCTCCAGCCTCTTCTTGCTTTGCTCTGTCTGCTCCCACCCTCCCCCGTCCCTCACTTGCTAGTGCTCCAGAGTCTGCACTAACCTCATATGTCCTCTCTGCAGTGCTCCATGCAGAATGCAAGAGTCTTCCCTTAAATGACCCTCCCTCTTCCCTCCAGCTTCATGAAGCTTGTTGGCTTCATCCCTCCAGCCTGGATAGGTCCCTCACACTTCTTCATTTCTCTCTGGGAAGAGGCGAAACCTGACTGTGGGATACCCAGCCCTGCAGACTGGGACAGACCCCTCAGTAGGAGCGACAGAGCCCACTTCAGCTGCTCCCATCTAGATAGCTAGTCTCCCAGCTCACCTTGTCCCCTACCTCCAGTACCATCAGACTGCTGGAGGGTCCTGCATCTGTCACTGGGTCTCTTCTGCCTAGTGTGTCTTGTTTTCAGACATGGAGGAAGGTGACCTGAGTCTGGCAGGACTGTGAGTGACACTGAGTACCTGAAGGTTCTGGGGAGTCCCCTTTGGAGCTTCTAGTAGGCAAGGAAGGTTAATATAACGGCTTAAATTGATGGGGCATGGATTAGGGGAGATCCATGAAGCCTAGTAGCTGGGAGTGTCTGAGCTTCTTAGGCTGCATCCAACCGGCCAGAGTGCCCCTGGGGTGGCCACAGAGCTCTCCTTTGGGACACCTTGCCCTGCTCCTTTACCATACCTTCTAGGGCCTGAGGTTGGCTTACGGCCTGCTAGGGAGCTACTCTAAGACTTAACTGTATCCCCAGCCCAGGATGAGAATCTTTCTAAAGATTCATTCGTTATTATTTTATGTGTGTGTTTTGTCTGGATGTTTGCATATGCGCCCTGTGCATGGAGTGCCCTCAGAGGCTCGAAGAGGGCATTGGGTCTTCTGGAACTGGGGTTACAGATGGTTGCTGGCCACCATGTGGGTGCTGGGAACGGAACCTATGTCCTTTCCAAGAGCAACTAGTGCTCTCAGCCATTGAAATATCTCTCTGGTCCCCCAGGTTGAGAAATTTTGAGAGTGGCTGCAGCCTTGGGCTCCTCTTCCCTTTCCTCCATTCTTCTAGTTCCCCTTCCATAGAGAGCAGATGTGTGTTACCCTCCACAGGCTCCCCGCCCACCCCCGCCACCCGCTGTCTCATGCAGTGCTCACCCCTGCCTTGTGCCTGCTTCTTGGGGAATCTCACTCAGGGATGGAAGCTGCAGGTGTCAGGCTCACAGTGAGCTTCCTGCGCTGAGTTCCCACCTGGCCTCAGGGGAGGAAGAAATAGCCATGGGCTTTCCCAGCCCTGGCAGGTGAATGCGTGGTCTCAGAGTCTCAGTTTCCTCTCTGGGAATGTGCCAGCCAGGATACCAGGCAGCCCTGTTAGTTTCTTTCTGTCTTTTCAACCTTTGCCTCGGTGAGCTATAAGAGGCTTATGCTTGGAAGATCGGTTTATTTTATAGTAGAATATTAGGCTTTGAATGTTCCTCTTGTCTCTCATGGAACTGGATAGCTCAGTTCACTTCCTGGCTCTGCCATTTGCCAGCTACAGGCATTGGACAGCTCCCTGCTCTCTGTGCCTCACTCCTTGCAGTAAAATATTCAGTAGCATGCAGCTTGCAAAGACTTTGGGGGAGAGTCCATGAGCTGTCTAAAATGTAGGGTGGCAGACAGCTTAGGGCATGAGCAGTAACCTTAACCCCGTGACTCTTCTCTGCCCTCCCACCAATGCTGCCATGGGAAGATGGAAGTGGCCAGGTAGAGGTGTATCTCTTAGATACCAGCATCCAGAGTGACCATCGGGAAATTGAGGGCAGGGTCACCATCACTGACTTCAACAGTGTGCCTGAGGAGGATGGGACACGCTTCCACAGGCAGGTTAGTGTCTCAGACTCTCACTTCTTCTCAGAGGTGGGCAGAGGGTCACCCCCCACCCCACCCTGGAGCAGCATGTCAGCACTGCCTGACTTTCCCTGCCATCTGTGGATGGGATGTCAGCCTGTCCAGGTGTCTGCTAATATATCATGAGGTGAGTAGAGTAGGCTTACATGATCCCTGTGTTGATTGAGCAGGCAAGCAAGTGTGACAGCCATGGCACCCATCTGGCAGGCGTGGTCAGCGGCCGGGATGCTGGTGTGGCCAAGGGCACCATCCTGCACAGTCTGCGTGTGCTCAACTGTCAAGGGAAAGGCACGGTCAGCGGCACCCTCATAGGTGAGTGGCACTCTGGGTTTACCCTCTGTGTGAAGGTAGCCAAAGCTCAGCAGGAACCAAGGTCTCATAGTCAGATGGTCTCTGCTACAGTTTAAGGTGATAGAGTTGGCCTGGTCCCCAGAGATCAAGAATACAGGGGGGAAACTGAGGCTTGGGGGCTGACAGGGCTCATTCCAAGTGGGTCTCTGCTATTTTGTTTTTATCATGCTGCATTAGGCTTGCAAAGCCCTGAGGTAGTAGAAGCCATCTTTCCCCATCTGTGTGCTTACCACCAAAACCAGGGCATGCACTTGATGCAGGAATTGCAACAGATCTTTCCAGACTTCTAGAGATTACTCCATCAGTCTACCCCAGTGGGTACACAGAAGGCTAGCACTTTGGTATGTAGGTAGCAGAGAGGGAGTGAGGGAACACTGGCTTATTGTATCTCACTGTGCTGGGAATGTGATACAAGCCTTGGCATACAAGCCTGAAGCTGGCATGAGATGGTTGCTCAACAGCCAGTAATCACAGCCAGAAAGGGTGACTTGGCCAGGGCCCATAGCTGAAGCTTACCAGCCTTTGGGGAAGGAGCAGCTAATTAATGGTTTGATCATCAACCAGTCAGATGCTGGCTCTGAGCTGGTCCAGGCAGCATATGGGGGCCGGCTTGGCCTATGAGCCCTGCCTGAGACTTCAGTTGTCATTTATTTATTTAATTTTATGAGCATGACTGTTTTGCCTGCATGTATGTATATGTGCCAGGTACATACCTGGTGTTGACAGAGGTTCAAAGAGGGGGTCAAATCCTCTGGAACTGGTGCACAGTTGGTTGTGAGCTACCCTGTAGATGCTGGGAACTGAACCTGGGTCCTCTTGTGTTCTTGATCACTGAGTCATCTTTCCGGCCCCATGCCTGGGACTTCAGAGCACAGTCATTGACACACATTTGAATCAATAGCCTCTGTCCCATCAGTGACCTCTTGTGCCTGTCCCACCCCCTTATTGACTAACTCCAATCCAGCTTGCCACCCCAAAGGCCACTGTGTAGAAAGAGACTGCTCATTCCCTGGAAGTCCTTAGCAGGCCAGGCTATGGCCTCTGGAGGGCTTCTTGTGGAAGAGTGCTCCCGTCCTCCAGGACCCACCAGTGTACAGAAAGCTCCTAATGCGTCACAGGGCAGAGTGGGCTTGGTATGAGAGAGCTGTTGCTTCCACCCTAGCCACAGGGTGACGCTGAGCAGGTAAGATGACAGGTCTAAGCACATGTCTACACAAGCCAGGACCTGATAGCCAGCTGTAATCATGAATGTTACCTACACTCCTGTATCTCCATTACTGCCCCATACCTCCTCCTGGTGTAAGGGGCCTCACCAGACAACTCTTATGAATATGGTCCTGGACTCCAGTTCCCAGCTCAGCCACAGCCCCCCAGGGACAGCCAGATCCAGAAGGTTCTGAGAGGTTGGCTTGGCCATATTGTACGATAGAACAAGAGCCTGAACAGGAACTAAGCTGTTAGGACAGGACAGCTGGGGTTAGACTCAGGTCTCCAGGTTATGGGCTGGCAAGGGTGGGGTTATCTCTGGAGTGGGGGAGGCTGTGGCAAACTTGATCTTCATGCTCAAAACTGGGAGCATAGTGTTGTTGATGTCAAGTCACATCTTGTGGTGGAGAGCTGTGGGAGCAATGTGGCATCTTTAACTGCTGAGACAATACAAACAGCATTTGTCCCTGCTTTATAGAGGATGGATTGGCAGCATGTGAGTGGGTGCCCGGGTGGTCTCTAGTTATTTTGGGTGCAAAACTCCAAGTGTGGTGAGGGGTCTCTGTGCAGGCCTCAGAGGGAGGTGGAGGTCTGTGAAGCCTGAAGGATGCCAAGGAGGCTCTCTTGTTTCTGGAGGACTAGGAATTTTCTGGAAAGGCATAAACAAAGTTTAGTGAGGATCCTCTAAGTTAGCATATTCAGGTTCCCTGAGAATCTGGTGTGAAGTTAAAGGTGGAGAAAATGTTTCCTTTTTTAAAGCTAGTGTTTTTTTTAATTTATTATTTGTTTAACAAATTCATACATGTGTATATTTTGGTCATGTTACCCCCCCATTATCTATCCTCCCCCTCTTCTGATGAGTCCTCTCTTCTTTCCAAAAAAATCTCCCTTCTATTTTCATGCCTTTTTTGAGTTTGTTTTGTGACCCACTGAGTTTCATTCCTGTTGCTATCATGAGTGTGAGTGGGGGGTATTTACTGGATGATGAGCAACTTAACAGAGCACCACTGAAGGAAGTGATAGCCTTTACCCCAGCTGCCATTATCTGCTAGTAGTTCCTTAGGGAAGTGTGGGGCTTCATGAACCCCTTTGCCATCCATGGTAGAGTGTTACCCATCCTGTGGGATAACCATGGCTACTGTAAGCTCATGAGTGCGATGGCCTTGTTGTGTTCAGATGATAATTTTTTTTAAGATTTTATTTATTTATTATGTATACAACATTCTGCTTCCATGTATATCTGCACACCAGAAGAGGGCGCCAGATCGCATAACGGATGGTTGTGAGCCACCATGTGGTTGCTGGGAATTGAACTCAGGACCTCTGGAAGAGCAGTCAGCGCTCTTAACCCCTGAGCCATCAGAGGATAATATTTCACAACACTTCTTCCCATCCCCTGGTTCTTATATTTGTTCTTACCCCCTCTTCTATGATGTTCCTTGAGCCTTGTAGGGGAGGGGTTGACAAGGATGTCCTGTCATGGCTGAACCCTCACAGTCTCCCGTTCTCAGAACTTTGAGCAGTTATGAGTTTCTGCATTAACTTTCTGTCCAGTTCAAAAAGAAGCTTCTCTGACCAAGATTGAGAGTAGCACAAATCTGTGGGTATTGGCAGAAATATTTATAAAGCAGTTTGGTAATATGACTATTTAGCAAAATAACAGTAGTGGGTTTCCCCTTAGAGCTTATGACCTTCCCAGCTATGGTGTTTTGACCAGATTTACAGTACCAGGTATAAATCCCCTCAGTGGGTCTCAGATCCAATCAGAAAGTGGTTGGCTACCCTCGTGATAGTCATACCACAGTGAGCATGTGCTGCTAGGCAGATTGGCATTGTACTCACAGGGCTTACAGCTGCGTAAGATTGTTGACTTTTCTCTTTCACCAGGCTGCATAGCATCCTCAGCTCTGAGAGCTAGGCAGCAGGGAGAAAACTTCCAACTCAGTTCTAGTTTGATTTCTCTATGTCCTGTGCATTTGTCAGGCTTCTCTAGAGTAACCTGACTTAGAGAATGGATCTCTCTCTGTACCTAGAGAAGACCTGTAAGTCATTCTTACAGCTCCAGCTAACCAACAATGGCTGGCTATGAATGGAAAGTCAAAGAATCCAGTAGTTGCTCAGTCCATGGGGCTAGATGTCTCAGCTGGTCTTCACTATGTGCCGGAATCCCAAAGAAGTAGACTCTAATGACAGTGAAGGAAGGCACTTGCTAGTGAGGTGAGAGCAAGCAGGCAAAAAACAAATGCTTGCCTCTTCAATGTCCTTATAAAGGCTTCCAGAAGAAGGTGTGGCCCAGATTAGAGGTTGGGTTTTCGGACTCAAAAGATCTGGATTAAAGTTGTGTCTTTCTACCTCGAAGTAGAAAGTAGAACTTCCCATTTCAAATTAAGCAAAAATCCCTCTCAGGTGTGCCCTCCATTTTTGGGTTTTAGTTAATTCCAGATGTAGTCAAGTTGACAGCCAAGAATAGCTATCACATCCTGCAATAGTGTCTACTATCTAGTTCTGGGGAACACTCAGCTCCTTTAATATTGCGTCTAAACTTATATCTAGAGCCAGAATCCCTTAGGGACTCGGTCTTTTTCTCTCAAGGCATTCAATAGATTGGGCAAGGCCCGCCAATGTTGTGGAAGTCATCCAATTTACTCAAGGAAAGTGAGTTAATGATTTAAATGTCAGTCGTATATAAAAATACTTTCAAGGCAGCATTCAGATAAGTTTGGTTAAGCATTAGGGCACCCAACTACCACAAAGTGATCCATCACTCTCTGCCTCTGAGGGAAGGAACTAGAAGAGAAAAACTCACCTCTCCAGAAGGAGACCTGAACTTTTCTTTTCTTTTCTTTTCTTTTCTTTTCTTTTCTTTTCTTTTCTTTTTTTTTCAGGCCTGGAGTTCATTTGGAAAAGCCAGCTAATCCAGCCTTCAGGGCCACTAGTGGTGCTGCTGCCCCTGGCGGGCAGGTATAGCCGGATCCTCAACACTGCCTGCCAGCACCTGGCAAGCAATGGAGTGGTGTTGGTTGCTGCAGCTGGCAACTTCCGGGATGATGCCTGCCTCTACTCCCCAGCTTCTGCTCCAGAGGTAGGTGTCGTGTGATTCCCCCAGAACAAAGGAAGATGGCAGACGGTCCCTTTGCTGGCTGAGCTGCCTGGGCTGAAAGTGATTAGAACTCCCAAGTGGGACCCTGGGGGACTCATGCCCTCTCCACTCCAACTCACTGTCCTGTCCAATCCCTTAACCTCCCTCCCCACTGTCTAGATCTCCATTCGTAACCAACCCTAGTGAGATTGGGGGTTACTGTCAGTCCCAAAGACCTCATGTAATGACCATCAGGGTATCCACCATGACTGGGGCAGGTACATCCTGGGAGGGGCCACCCTGGAGGATCTGTCAGTCCAGTGGGTCCATCCTCATCTGGGGTACACCTGCAGGCCATCAGCCACGCAGTGGACTATCAATGCTAGGAGTGCAAAAGTGGGAGGCCCCTGTTACAGTTCAAGGCTTTATCTAACCCAGTCTGCCCTCTCTGACCACCAGAGCTTACCAAGCCGCTGAATTTAACATTGAAAAGGCCCAGCATGTCTCCTCCATCTTGGCTGTTCTAGGCTTCTACACAGTACCATGCCTGCCCGATAGAGGAACCGTCCCTACTAAGTCTCTACACTAGAACATGGGCTCCACAGGGGATTGGGAATGGGGTCTGGCGCATGGTGGGGAGTCCTGGCCAAGGCTAAATGTCAGTGTTCCCCTGAGGAGCTGCATTTCTCACAAGAGATGGCATTTCAGTGGGACACAAGTTGGACTTGGCTAGAGCAGAGGCAAGATCTTCCTACCCCATTGTGGCCCTGATCTTTCTCTGCTATCCACCTCTGCGCCTTGCCAGGTCATCACAGTTGGGGCCACCGATGTCCAGGACCAGCCAGTCACCCTGGGGACTTTGGGGACCAACTTTGGACGCTGTGTGGACCTCTTTGCTCCTGGGAAAGACATCATTGGTGCCTCCAGTGACTGTAGCACATGCTTCATGTCACAGAGTGGGACATCGCAGGCCGCTGCTCATGTGGCTGGTGAGTCACCACTCCACCCTTTGACAAACAGCAGGGTCTGTACCCTGACCCTCTGGGCCAGGTCCTGTGCCCGAGGGCAAAAGTGAGGGTGACCTGATGATGTGTGTGATGAGTAGCTTTCTGTCAGTGTGGTACAGTGTCTGAAGAGGAAGAGGAGGTGTTTATTTTGACTCGTGGCTTTGGAAGGTTCAGCCCACAGTCACTTGACACCTTTATTTTAGGGCGTGTCATGGTGGGGAGTGTGTGGCAGAGCAACGCTGCTCCCCTCATGTGGCTGGAAAGCATAGAGGAAAGGCACACGCCCAGTGACCTATTTCAATTAGGACCCACCTTCTAAAGGTTCTGTCTCCTCCAGTGACTGAGCCTTCAACATATAGGGTTTTTGTTGGGGGGGGGATTTAAGAATGAAATTATCACAATGTCCTAAAGAACACTGGGTATACCAGGGAAGGGCTCACAAACAAACAGAACAGAAAGCAGTCAGAACTCTTTTAGAGGGAACCCCACGGAGGCACCTGCACAGTCCGGGGGGCAGGGAAGCCTCCCTGGAGGAAGGAAGTTTGATGTGGGGTTTTGTGGATGGCTTCACCTAGCAAACACCTGCAGTTATCGAGGCCCCTAGGCAGGAAAGGATGCCTTCTTTTCTGATTTTCACCAAGTGAGGGATTGTAGGTGCTTATATTTCCAGATGAACAGGTTTTGTGTGTGTGAATGCATGAAATGTCTGTGCATGAAGTGTGTGTGTGTGTGTGTGTGTGTGTGTGTTTGTGTGTGTGTGCGCGTGCGTGTGCACGCGCGCTCGTGCATGTGTTTGTTCCTTCATGTGCACACGGGCAGGAGTCCTGTGGTTGGGAAGGAGGGCCAGGCCACCACCTTCTATAATTCTGCACCCCCAGGCATTGTAGTCACGATGCTGACTCTGGAGCCGGAGCTCACCTTGGCTGAGCTGCGGCAGAGGCTGATCCACTTCTCTACCAAAGATGTCATCAACATGGCCTGGTTCCCTGAGGACCAGCGGGTGCTGACCCCCAACCTGGTGGCCACAATGCCCCCCAAAACTCATGGGACAGGTGAGCAGGGTGGCAGGGAGGGCACACTGTCTCTTTCCTGGTCCTCACAAGAGGGTTTTCTTTCCTTAGCTACAGTTTAAGGGCGGAGGCTCTGAAAAGGCTTGATGACATTTTCATGATGCATTTCCATGGGAAAACAGTGAGCTTGAAGGCCCTTCTCTCCTACCATCAACTGAGGCTTTCCCTAACGTCCCAAGACCCTACTCATCTAGGACTTGTTGCAGGTGGGCAGCTGCTCTGCAGGACAGTGTGGTCGGCACACTCGGGGCCCACAAGGACAGCTACTGCTACAGCCCGCTGCGCCCCAGGAGAGGAGCTGCTGAGTTGTTCCAGCTTCTCCAGGAGTGGGAGGCGAAGGGGTGATCGGATTGAGGTGCCCTGGCCCTGTTTGTGTGTCTGTCTATCTTCCACCAGTCTCAGGCCTCAGCAGTTGCAGCTGGTTGGTCCCTGAGTCGTCTTCCAGTTCCCATTTTCAGGCTTACAGGTGTGGTCAGAGATCCACATCTAGGATGGGCAGTGCCCAATAGGCATACAGTCAGATCCTTGTGGTGGAACTGCTTCACTGTGTTGGTCTGTGGCTCTGGAGTTGGGGTGTGGGGCATGCAGATGCTGTATGACACTGAGTTTGGTTGGAGAGTAGCACCTGACCAGGTGGGCCAGGTCCTAGGGACAGCTCCTGTGATACTTCCCAGGCTGGGGCTGGAGCTGGTATGTCAGCCACCCCATGTCTCCACTTGGAAACAGTTTTCGTGTCTGGAAATTTGGCGATGGAGCTGCCTGGAGATGGAACAGTCTGTCCTGGGCCTGGGTGAGCTCCTTGTCTCTAGAGCAGTGGGGATAAAGATGATGCTGAGGGCTCCAAGGGTCCCAACCAGGTGCCTGTGTACCTTTGCCCCAGCCCTGTGTTCTTTCTTACTGGTTCTTGTTTTTCTGTGCCCCTCAGGCCATAGGGGGGCAGCAGGTCTGCAAGGCCTTCAATGCATTTGGGGGTGAAGGTGTCTACGCTGTCGCTAGGTGCTGCCTGCTTCCTCGTGCCAACTGTAGCACCCACACCACTCCTGCAGCCAGAACTAGCCTGGGGACCCATGTCCACTGCCACCAGAAGGACCATGTCCTGACAGGTAGGAGTCCAGTCCAAGCTGGGAGAAAGGTCCTGTTTGTTAAGTGCTGGAGCCTGGTCTTCTAGAGCCCGGGACCCAGAGCCCATTTTAAGCTGGCCTCCATGTAGGGCAATGATCTTCCTCCTTAGCTTCCTTCTGCAAGAGACCGATGGAGGCACTGCCTCCTCAGGGGTGATAATGGCAGGGTGAGGAGGATGGCAGGTGCCTAGTGCTGTCCAAGGGAAGGCTCTGAGGCCTGTCTCCATGGGGGGTAACCCCAGTTTGAATCCTGGCATTCAGCAGTGGGATCAAGTTCTTTATCAGCCCTGTGCTTGGCTTTCTCATCATGAAGTGCAAGAGTACATAGCAGGCATGTAGCCTGGTGCTGGGACAGGGCACCTTAGCTATGCTTGTCATCTCACTGCCCTGCCTCTGGGCTAGAGAGCATTAATGGCCACTGTCAGAAACATTCCCAGGTAAGCAGTAGAAACCCCAGGTGAAGCCCTTGAATGCCATGAGGGGATGGTGGCTCTCAGGGCAGGAGGCTGAGCAGTCCTGTATGGATGGAGGATGTTAGAGAAAGCATGAAGGCATGGGAAATCACTGGGAATGGCTCCCTCAGGGAGGCCGGGGAGCCACTGAAGGTTCCAGAGTGAAGGGTTGGGTGGGCAGAGCTCTGGATCTGCAGAGGGCAGATGAGCCTAGTATGTGGCTGCAGACTGGACTAGGTAAGGTTCCCTAGCCCTTTTGGTTGCACTTCTGTACTGGGCTCTCTCTTGGATTTGGGAGTGTCAACAGCTAAGCCTAGGGTATGTTTGGAGCAGCGAAAGCTTTTGGCCTTCTCTATCTGCAGCCTAGAACTCCACTCATCAGCTAAGGGAGCTGCCCCTCTAGGTAGAGTGGCTCTACTGAGGTCCTGTAGCTAGGTCATAGGACTCTTAGTCCTTAACACCGTAATATGCAGTCTTTGCCATGCATAGGTTATATGCTGGGACTTCACACGTACTGCCCCGACTCCTCTTCACAGCATGTCTGTGCTCTTGTGTTTGCAATGTTACAAAAGGGAAACAGAGGCTTGGTATAGCTGAGTGACCACTATCCATGATTTTACAGTTGGTGATGTCCCTTACTCCCGAGACCAGAGAGAGTCCCTGGCAGACCTGAGCTCACACCTTTTTGGTGGAAGGAGGGGAAGGGATTCAGAGGCTCTGAGAGAGCACCTCAGGCAGTGGAGCCCTGTCCCATCCCCAGTTCCCTTCTCTGGATGGAAAGACCACATTTTTCTTAAGAAAGTAGGGATCCAAGAGGTTGAATAATTCTGCCAGGGCCACTCAGATGGCCAGTGGAAGAAGTGAAAATCCAGGAATCCTGTTGCTCAAGCCAGCATCTATTCTATTCTGAGCTGAAGTAGGGTTCAGTTGGGGCCAGAAAGACAGAAGGTCTACAAAATTCCAGTGTCTGAGCTGGATGTCCTCTGTTCTAGGCTGCAGCTTTCACTGGGAGGTGGAAGGCATTGGTGTCCAACGGTGGGCTGTGCTGAGGTCCAGACATCAGCCTGGTCAATGCATTGGCCACCGGGAGGCCAGCGCCCATGCTTCCTGCTGCCATGCCCCAGGCCTGGATTGCAAAATCAAGGAGCATGGGATCTCAGGTCCTGCAGAGCAGGTGAAAGGGGTTGGAGGGGGCTGGGTACCTGGGTCTTGTGGGGTGGCTGCCACCTGTCCTGTTGGTGGTACCCCATGCTATTATGTGCCAGGGTAGGGGGGGGATGAGCCAGGCGGCTTTTACTGTTGTATGTCCAGCATGTGTGTGTTTGTGCATGCCAGGCAGGGATGGTTTTGCTTGTCCAGAGAAGCAAGGCTCATTGCCCACCCTGCTCCTCTTTGGAAGCGTGCATGACCATGGCAGGTGGGAAGGAGACATACAGTGTCTGAGTGCTTTCTGATCTTGTCATTATTAAGGCTGCTGGGAGGCAGCTGGGGCAGGGGCTCTGCAGCGTTTGGACACCGAGCGATGCAGATGTGACAAAGGGACAGCTGAGTAAGTGAAGGTTGAGGGAGGGAAGGAGGAGCCCTGGGAAGAGGGCCCGAGGCCTGACAGCTGGCCTTTCGGAGCCTGAGGCAGGAGTGCCCCTCCTTTACCCAGCTCTGGGGTCGGGGGAAGAGTGAGGCTGGAAGCTGCTCTATGAAGGGGAGTTTCAGTTCTACTTTATCAGTGAGCACAGGTACCCAGACAGGCTGGCTCCCCACTCCAGGTCCTAGGGAAATAAACTGGGCAGGGGTTCCTGCTTAGCCCACTGTGGGAGAAGACAGTAAACAAAGTTACAGAGTACCAAGAGGTTAAGATGGAGGAAAATGGGACAGGAAGTGTGGTGGGTTGAGACACCCTTGGGATGGGGCCTTCTCCAGGGACAATGCTTCTGGCAGAGGAAACAGCTAAGGCCAGGAGAGGTGACAGCCTAGAGTGACAGGATCATCTGGGCCAGTAGGACAGGGTGCAACTCAGAAGTGTGCAGAAAGGGTAGGGTGGGGCTAACGGGCCAGTCAGGCCTTAGGGATTGCTGAGTGATGCAGCCATGTAAGGTTGAGTGTGCATTGACCTGGGGGCTGACCAGGCACACAGTTGCTCAGCTGTGGAGAGGTGGCAGGGAACAGGCCTAGCAGGTGAGGGCTTAGGTTGGGGTGGGAGTGGGGGGAGGTGCTGCAGATCGGGAGATGGGTGTGGGTAAGGAGGAAGGATCGGTTTGAGGTTTCTGTTGAGCCTCTGAACGGATGGAGTTGCCATTAAATGGGATGGAAGGCTCTGAGGATGAGAAGGAGGCCAAGTTAGATGTCTGCCCCAGAAGGAATGTGTTGGTTACTGTTGGGTGCAGCTCTACCTGGGTCTGAGAGGCATGGAGCTTGGACAGCCCACAAGTCCCAGACACAAGCTTTCTTCCTCTGGACTCTGGCAGGTCACCGTGGCCTGTGAGGCAGGCTGGACCCTGACTGGATGCAACGTCCTCCCTGGGGCATTCATGACTCTGGGGGCCTACGCCGTGGACAACATGTGTGTGGCAAGAAGCTGTGCCACTGACACAGCAGGCAGGACCAGTGAGGAAGCCATAGTAGCTGCTGCCATCTGCTGCCGGAGCCGGCCTTCAGCAAAGGCCTCCTAGGCTCACCAGTGACAGTCTCAGGCAGGGATGGTGCCTGTGGCTGGGTTCAGATATACCCGCCTGGCTCCTGTAGCTGGCCATGGTGGAGAGAATCTGCCTGGGAGAACTTGATGTCTCATCCTGGATACCCCTTCCCGGTGTATGTGTAGGGAGCCCCTCACTCGTGGTGGGGCCTGTGCTTGGCACTCTGCCAACAAGGAGATGGTCGCCTCTAGCCAGCTGCTCTTGTGGGCACTTGCTGCAAAGGGTAGCATTCAGTCCTCAGGCCTCCAGGGTATATTTGTCCTGTAGGAAGGTGATAAGGGAGACCCTCGCAGGTTCAGAGACCAAGTGCCAGACTCAGTAATGGAGTGTGAAAGCTGCTGAGACCCCTCACAGCCTGCTCACACTGGAGACACTACTTTGGGCTCCCTGGTTAAATTCAGATCAGTTCTGCACACCTCTAGGGGTGGTGATGATCTAGCCAGGGGTGGATCCGACTACGAGGTCATGCCTGCATCTTTCAGGTGTCCTCATCTGTTGCACCCCAGGCTTTGTGTGGCCTTGCTCAGGGTAACTGGCTGTGAGTTCCCAGCTGACTTCGCACTTGAGAGCCACACAGTGCTTCTCCCACCTCACCCCAGCCCCTCTACCTCCCTGCACAGTGAAGACTGGCAGCTTCACTTTATGGAGGAAGGAGACAGGACCAGGGGTGAGTGCCCAGTGATGTCACACAGCCAGTGGTCTTAGGACATAAATCCAGAGTGGCTGGCTCTGAAGCCATGCCTCTTGGCAGTACCAGGCCGGGCACCCTTTCTGAAACAAATGAGACAGAGGACAGTCTATGCCTCAGCAGCTTGTTCCTGGACCACTCCTTAGTGCACCCTTCCCATGGTTACCTTAGCCCCACTCACATGGACTGTGTGGAGAATGGAGGAGTGACAGAGGGCTGACTGTATTGAGGCCACACAGGCTGACAACACCTCTATCCTTTGGGCTTCTGCTTTCTTATAATAAGCTTTCCCAACTTGTATTGCTTTTGTAACTTGATATTTATTCTGGGTTTTGTAGTGTTTTTATTATGTAGTGAGTTTTTAGAATAAAAGCAGCTGTGATTGCCTGCACCTGACTAAGGTTGCCTGCTTAAGAAGCACGACTATCTGCTAGGTGGTGGGGTGCACAGCCTGTGACAGGAATGCTCTCCTTGTGCCCATTCTAGGAACATGGTCTTCCTGTAGCTTCCCAACCTCTCAGAGTCCTGGTACTTGGGGAAACTTCATTCCCTCCCATGTTCTAGATTGTTTGTGGCTCATGCCTACTGGCACGTTCAGCTCCCCACACCTGTCACCCCTCAGTACCCAGTGGCAGGTGCAGTGTTCATGGACTCATTCACTCATGAGTCTGTCGGTGCTTCTGCAAGCAGACCATGGTTGCTCCTGATGTGAAATGAAGCATGCTCTCAGGTCTCTTTCCAGTGTGCAATGTGCAAATATCCCACTCATGTATTGTAGGACCTCTTGGTGGCACTGTTGTACGTAAAGTCTACATCTATATAGTTTATATAAAAAATGGATCTACCAAAGATCTCCTAATTGTTTTCTGGACATTAGTGTCATGTGTGGAAAGCACGTTAGTTGACAGATGCTAATGGCTCAAATGTCAGAGCCACTGCACTGCATCTGTGCTTTCAGCCCAGCTGAGACCTCTGCCTGTCACCTACATGGCAAAGGACCATGTGCTGGCTGGTTAGACAGCCACAAGTGGACAGCTGGCTCCTGCAGATAGTTGTCAGGTAGTCACCAAGAACTGGAGGAAGAGGTAGACGTAGCAAAAGGGGTGGGACCCATGTGAGCAATGTAGGCCACCAGGAATGACTGAGCAGAGCAAGAAACATAGCTTATGCCCCTTCTGAAAGCTGAGGCTACAGGCCTTGAGCCTGAGATAGTTCTCCCTGTCTAAATTGTGCAGAGATCCTGGAACCAAAGACCGGAGAAGGCGGGGAGGACACAGCCCCTGACTGCAGTGTGGCCCTCCCCCGTCAGTGCAGTGCACTAGGAAGGAAGCAAGGGCACCTACGCTGCTCCCCAGTGTGCCTCCCATAGCCCCAGTCTGACATTCAGAAAAAATGTCTGAGACCCCAACTCTACATTTTTGAAAAATTTATTTCCTACTTTTAGAAGCTAAGAACTCCACCACACATGAACCAAATTTAGAATCCAGAGTCGTCCCTAGTTAATCTACTTCCTTTCGAAATTTTATAAACAAGATTTTGTACACAAGAGGTAGCAGAGGAAAATTCCAGTCTGCTTGTTCCAAGCTCAAAAGATGCTGCACACGCCTCGGTGTTAGCAGGGAGGGTGGGGCAAGCCAGCTGAGTCTGGTGGCTCGAGCTCTGGGTTTTACAGCTACTAGCTGTTGGCAACCATTAGAGTCCACCTGGGGAGCTACAGGCAAGCTGCCTGTGGGAGGCTCATCTGTCTGTTCCAGGATGCCTTAGGAGCAGGATAGCAGTCCTGAGGTCAGCCTGGACTGCAAGAGCTTCTTGAGAACACACAGCGTTGAGTCAATTGTGCAATTCCTGCTTGATTGCAGACCACTGTAAAAGATTATAAAAACATCTTCATCCAAAAATTGGCAGTAAAAATGTTAACTCTTCCAAGGCAAGCCTGCCATAATTGTCACTTTGTGGTACTACATTTAAAAAAGTCCTCAGTAGGTTAGTGGACTGCAGCTGTTGGTAATCAAGTGGTTACTGGTAATATGGAAAAGATGCTCAATGCAGCAACGAGAAGAAGATGGACCAAAGTGAACAGTGCTGGCGATCCTGATGCAGCTGTATGTGAGGACAGCAGGCGCAGGGGTAGAAGGAAGGCGTTGTTTCCATAGGAAATAAAGGGACTGACTAGAAGTGGCAATTTCACTCCTGAATTCGGGCTCCTGAGTGCAGTTGCCGGCAACGATATCCCACCATGTATCATCACCAGCATTTCAATGCATGTCCCACACAATCTTTCTGCAAGCATGGGTGTGAAGAGATGGTGAATCAGGAAGGGAAACAATGGGACACGGGTGTTCAGGTATTCAAAATCAATTTTAGACCTTCACATTCAAAAGTGTAAGAACACCAGAACCAGACCAGATCTGCTGCCACTTGTCTCTGTTTCCCCGAGGACACAGCTCTGCTCTTACATGCTGGCCCTTCTATCTTTGTGAGTCTGACCAAAGTTGGCACTGGCCTGTGTTAGGCTACAGAACCTACAACCAAAGCCAGCTATTGCTCAACAGTGAAATGAAGGGTCCCTGAAGCACAGCAGGGAATGCCACCTGCCTGCCATGTGTCCCCACAATGCAAAAGCAACCAAAAAGGCACTTAGGGACTGGCTGTGCCTCTATGACTTGGCAAATCTAGCTGACAGTGGCAGCCTGGCACTTCCAGAGGCTTCTTTAGCTCTGTGCATGGCAAGTGGAAAATAAGGCAGAACATGTAACTGAAGTGAAATACGGCTGAAACTGAGCAATTCAAAAATACAAAATGAAAAGAACACAGGACATGGCTGTGTAACCCCAGTCTGAAATGAGTGACTGATGCCATGTTGGCAAATACAACTAAATGGATGGTGTCTAATTATTTTTTAGTTATTTCAGAGAAAGTAAGTTTTAAATCTTGCCTTGTCAGTTTCAGTCATGTCAAGGAGAAACAAAGTCTTGAATTCTTTCTCTGCAGTAAAATTAGGATTAATCTCACAAAGCAGCAGCTCCCAGCCTAGGTACTTAACTCAATATATAATCAATACAAGGTCACAGGAATTATGTTTAAAACAAATGATTGCAGATCACATGACTTAAGACGAGTTTATTCAATATGTCTCCGAGCATTAAAAAGATAATTTTATGAAGTCAAACTCAATAAAATTATAAAGTGCTTTTAATTTTGCTGTTTTAAAATTTTATTTTGGGAACAATCCATCACTTTTCAGTGATTGATGTCAGAGAATGCACCCTATACTTCTAGAGAACATAGCTTTTTGTTTTGTTTTAAACTTATTATTGCTCTTTTCAATCTTGAATCAGAAAATACCTTAAAGAGCTTAATAATGCCACAATTTCTGATACTACTAACATGTCATCAAGATCTAAGACTATGCCGAGGGCTCGTAACCAGACAAAACCAGAAATTCTGTACAAAGAGGGAGACATATTAAATACAAAGGTCTATGTAAACTGGATTCAATTACTATTTTACAATGAAAGGGATTTTTACCACATATCTTTACATTATTCTAAATTGGATATTACTATTCAATGTTACTGCAGATTAAAAATTTTCCCTCACATACCTAAAAATATAAAAACCAAAGGTCCCCCCTGCCCCCATGTCACAGAGAAAGCCATAGCTTTATCCCTTCATCCTTACTCTCCTATGTTCATGTGTCAGAAGTTTGCCACCAGCTGTATTTCCTAAAACGATGTGTCGGTGCACATGTACACCCTAGGACAGCTGGTCCACACGCCAGGATTCTCCCACTGCCAGGCAGCTCCCAACCTTCTAGTGGCTAGAGAAGGCTTCCTTCCAGAACACATGGTCCTCCATCACACTCCCGGCTCAGACTCCAGGCTCTTGTAAGGGCTTCAAGGATGAGATTCTGGTTTCTAAAAGGTGCTGAGCATCCCTTCTAGACACACTGCTCTACGGATCAACATCATCAAGGTCACTTCTTAATTCACCAATCATCATGGGAGATTCTGAACCCTGTGCAAAGAAAGGAAGTTATGGTTCCTACAATTCAAGTTAGGTAAGAGTTTCCCACACTGACTTCCTAACTTGTGTTCTGTAACTTAAGTATATCCTCACTGAACAACTTTGTTTATTATAAGGTAATAAAACACAAGGCTAACTATTACTTCTGGTAACCCATGACTATGTAAAGCAATTGCATTTGGATGGTTTTACTCAATCCTAAAAGAATCACTGGACTGGCTTCAGGCTACATTTTCTTCTTTACACCCACACAGGCAGACTCACATTAGTACTGATTGAACAATGGGAAAAAGCAGGGAGAGGAACTGGACATCAGTGGCACTTTATGCCAGGCACTACCTGTGCTAGGTCATTCCTGAGTCTACAATCAGTTTCTGTAATCAAATGGATAGCATTTGGTTTATATTTTTAATAATTACTTTGGAAGACCTATCCCATGCCTGGGGACTGATCTAGCTTGAACTAGGGCTGAGCTAGCCTATCTTTATCCCCGATCTCTGAAGTAGGGTCTCTTCTTTCTTGATCTTTGGAATGCTTAAGAGCAAATGTTGCCCTTTCAGTCAAGACAGGCTCCAGAGATACCTGTTGCAAGTGTCTCTCTCCATTCTCATTGGCAGGACTGCTCTCTGACCCATTGCTGCTTCCTGATTGCTCTTTTTCATTCAATAAAGCTGTGGCATATGCTAATGTGTCCTGTGGAGATTCAAACATAAGAAGACAAATTAGGTGGCTGGTCCTGAGTAGCAACCACACTTCAGTTGCATCTGGCAGTACTTTCCCACAGCTGCTGAAGCATCCCACAACCCCCTGTCCTGTGGGACCCACTGACCAACCCGAAGCAGCACTTTTCTCAGGCAAACAACCTGTTCCCATTGGGTCTGAGGATGCCAGCTCACTGTCTTTTTCCTCCCCTCCCTTCCCCTCTCTTCTCTCAGTGGTGCTTTCTAAGAACCTGGCATCAGGGTTTCAAAGCATGTGGGAGAAGGCAGCCCTCACCTGAGCTGAGATGGTTCGCTGAAAGGTTTTTCCAGTTGAGGTTTCGTTAGAGACATTGCTCTGTGGAGTCCAATAATGCTCTGACATCTGGGATAAAAGGTCAAGCAGAGGTGACATTAAGCCTCCACAAGTACACAGTTCCTACCTTACACACCAGAGTCTAATAGCCGGAAGTGTAGGCCTACCTAGACTTCCACCACCTCAATTATCATGGAGGACCATCCCCTACTTTCCAAAAGGTAGACACTGCTTCTTAATCAGAGAACCTGCCTCCAATTGTTTTTTTCTTCTTTTAATCTCTGGAGTTAAGACACATGTTAAGCAGTGTCCTTCTTATGCATGGCTGTGTTTCCCATACTTTGTTACTTGTTAACAACCATGGTCCAAATATATTAAAAAGAAAGTGCCAAAAATAAGTCATTCTTAAGTTTTAAATTGTGTATTGTGATGAAACCCTGCACTGCCCTGCTCCAGGTATAAACCATTTGCCCATTGATGTAGCTACACTCTATATGCTATTGACTTAAGGATCTCTCCAAGGGTAACACATCAGAATTACAACAGTCATGTGGCTTATGGCAGAATGTTTATGCCAGTCACTTCTTCACCTCTTCACACATACATCCTACACCCTGTCCCATCACCACAAGAAGCATCAGGACAGTACAAGATCCTTTTATTACAATATATTGTTATCATTTTTCTAGTGTATTGTCCCCATTTTATCATTATTATTGTTAATCTCTTACTGTGTCTAATACTCAACTAAACTTTATCATAAGTGTATGTATCTAAAAGAAAAACATAGCATGTGTAGGTTATCATCCACTTGGGGACATGTCTTAAATCATAACCGTTTGGAGCTGGAGAGATTGCTCAATAGTTAACAGCACCTGCTGCTCTTGCAAAGAACTTGAGTTTGGATCCTAGTACCTCCAAGTCTAGAGAATGTGATGATCTCTTCTGGTCTCCATGGGTACTCACAAACATGTGCATACACACACACACACACACACACACACACACACACACACCAACAACAAATTGATCTAACAAATATTTGACATCTGAAAGTAGTTTGAGGTTATCCTATGAGTTAAGTTTAGAAGAAAAATCTTTTTCTGGGTAAGATGTGCTGTTTTAGATCCCTACGTTACAGAGCTGGAAGAGCTCAGAATTCTATTACCTTCTTTTGTAACCACTGCACAGCCCAACTCCAGTGATGGGAATTCTCCTTGAAGTATTCTTTAGCAGCAGGACACCTGGTGATCAAGGAGATTATTACTAGTCAAATACTTTCTTTGAAAACATTTTCATTTAGCTACAGTTGACCTTCAAACATGAACACTACTTTTATTAAACCTAAATTTTCTCTATATGTTTGGACAGGTAAGACCATTATTAGCTTGAACTCCAAAAGGCAGCAAAGGTAAATGGTGCCTAGTCTCACTATCTCTAACTCTTATCAATAGTCCTGCTAAAATTCAAAGCTGGAAAATTAAACAAACCTAAATATCAATAAACTGTATATTTAACAAATAATCTTTTTATATAACCAAACTAGTCTTTAGTTTTGTGTTAGAGACTCTGGGGGAATAATCTGAAAGCACCCTTGGGAAGCACTCTCTCCCTTTTCATCTTACTTTGCCTATTCTAATAAGTGTCCCTTGTATTTGAAGACAGCACTGAAGATGATGTTGCCACTGGTGTGTGTGGCTAGGACATGTGAGGATGCTGACAGGCAACTGGGCAGATGCTGGTAGGGGACATGCTATTGGTCCTAGCACTACTTGGAAGTACCCATCTTGACATGATGCCCACATCAAGTCTAATCAAGGGTTGTGGTAGGATGACATCTGTTTCCAGAGTATTAGTCCTCTAGAAAAAAACATTATTTCAAATAAGTTCCAATTCCCTGTTTAGGAAGTTCAAGCATGACAGATTAAGTCCAACAAACTTCTCATTCTTATTCTGATACAAGTCCAAGAATGGCAATTTCTATGCCTACAAATTAGGACAAAAAAAGATGACTCAGTGCAGATACAATATAGTCACTAAAGTACTGACCTTGTTTGATTATGGACTACACAGGGTTAGACTAGCACCATCGTAAGTTTCCAAAACCAACTAAAGAATGACACATACAATGTGGCACATAAATGCAGCAATTGCCTTCAAAAGGAAGTACGTTCTAACTAGAGCATGGGCAAACTTTGAAGATATTGCACTAAGTCAAGCAAGGTAGTGATGAGGTACCCAGAGTGGTGGAATCCATGGAGGTAGAAATTAGAATGATTGCCAGTGTCAAGGAAGGAGGAAATGGGGAGTCAGTATTCAGTGGGGGTTCAGGGTTTTGGTTGTAGAAGATGAAAGGATCTAGAGTAGATGGTGATAAGTGCAATTATTTATTTAATATTTATGTACCATAGTGCACACATGTGCAGTCCTGAAAACAACTCGTGGGCATCGGTTCTCTCCCTCCACTAACAGATGAGCTTACATTACTGAACTGCATGGACTGTGTAGTCAACAAGGTCAAGGTGATCTCTACTGTATATTATGTCATGGCTAAAAAGTACCTTCACTCTGAGGTCAACCTCAAAGTCAAAGTCTAGTTCTAAGATGTTGGGGATGCCACTCAAACCACCTTGGACCTGACATCTCCCAACCCCAGGCTGTTGTAAGGATTAAATGAAGCAATGAAAACAAAGTACCTGGCACAGTATGTTTGTTCCTAAGTGTTCCTAAGTGTTCTACAGATATAGGTGACAAAATTTTGTCTCTTGAGAGACCTTCAAACTGGGGACTTTGGGCTCAAAGCAGATGATAGTTAATGAGAAGGACTTTGGGAAAGTTCACCAACTGTTGCTCCTGAGGTCTCCAGACCTAGCCGATTCCTGCCCTTCTGAAATAAGGTGGGGGAATCCACCTTTTCTCCTTTTGAAACCCTGAAACATCTATTACTTTTCTAATATTCCCCATCAGTCTCTTTGGGGCAACAATATGATTAGGTTCCTGTAGTTTTCAAGCAAGTATGCCCCCAAATCTGTCAGATTCTCTCAGGTCCCCAAACAAGGCAGTTTCCACCCCACAGTTAAACCCGCTTCCTCTGTATTTTAAGTTTGTACTTACTTTTGAGCAAGAGTAACAAGGAATTTGACACACTGGTAGCAACGGCTGCTGTCCACATGGTTACTGTGGTGCATCAGCGCTGGAGGAAGACAAGACACTTTACAAGAGGCCCTGGGGAGGCTCAGGTAATAGGGACTGCTCTTGCTCTGGAAATAAGTTTAATGCGTGGGTAGGGAACAGTTACCCGACTCAACAGGCCCACCAGACTCCAGCATTTGACTGTGTTTAAAAGCACAGGTTTATGTAGTAACTTGACTTGTAGAACTGGAAGAACTATAACTTCAGCTGGATGGTATCCGAGTTCCCCGACACTGTTGCCCAGACCAGAGCAGTTACAACTATTGGTCACTTGATAATAGAAGTTTATGGTATTAGTTCTATTTAACAAATGTTTCCTCTACTTTCTATTTTAGCAATTAAAAAAAAATACTCTTACTTGTCATGTGTTTATGCTTTTAGGCTCCAGAGGACCTGGTATGGCTGATGCTATGATTATAGCACACTGCCCCAAGCTGGGGCTTAGAAACCTCTGAGCTCGTAGCTCTTTTTTGCCTTAAATGGTGGCTCTTAGGCTCCTCTTAATGCTGTTTAAGGATGGGGACATATTTTGAGAAATGTTTGGTAGATAAAGGCATTGTTTTAAAAGATCCGGGGAAATTATACAAAGGAGGACAGCTATATCACTAGTGACATAATCTTATGTGACCCCATTTTAGGTATAGTCCATCAGTGACAGAAATGTGATGTGGGCCATGACTATACACAACAGAATCCAAAGTGTCTGTGATGAAGAAGATTTTAGTGGGTGGTGGGAGGTGGACAGGTATTTTTATACTGAACCATTTCTAATGCATAGTGTACTAAAGCTAAGTCAGATTTCTACAAAGGAAAGTCCAGACATAGAACATGGCAGACAATGGACATGTGGGTCAAAAGACAATCACACTTCATATATCTGACAGTACTGTGAGTCTAAGGTGTTAGTTTTCTCCCCATGGCTGCTGAGAGAGAAAAAGATTTCTGTCACCAGAAAGACCCCTTTAACTTTTAGAAAACTTTATAGTATTCCTAAACCTTCCCTGACCTGGGAAAGAACCCTAGACTGTACCATACTGAATAGAAGGACAGTCTCCTGGTCAGGGAAGACAGAGGGGCCATGCCTGCTGGAATGGAGCTTATTTATAAATTCACTGCAGGCACTTGTTCCTTAGCTGGCATACTTACCTAGTAAGCCATTTTCTGTCTCAAATACAAATTTGACTCGCTCTACTTGTATGGGATCTTCAATGACCTGTCAGAAGAAGGAGGTAAGTTAGTAACTGACAGCAGTAGCCTGTGTAGAAGTTAATAGTGTTTTCCCACAGTTCTACAACAAAGCCCAATACTAAGGGATGTTATGCCATTGCATGCATCCCAAACACATCTCTAACTCAAAACCAAAATATAAAATTATTAAAGAGCCATTCGTTTCCTATATATATTTCTAACAACTCTATCCATAATTTTCCAAGGGCTAAGGACAGATGTTTTGTGATCCGAAGGACACTGTGTCATTTTTAGTTTATTTAACAAAAATGTGTTTAGGTTTTGCTGTTGGACAGACTCTTGCTGCATGTGTAGTTATGCTGAGTGCTGTGCACTATGGACCACTGCTTGGGCCTGTGGCTGCTCCGTACAATGACACATAGCTCTATACCATTTCCCAAAGTTTACAACACAGTACTGGGGTCAAAAGGGAGAAAAAAGATCAGAAAGACAGGTTTTAGTGGGTGATACCCATCATGTATTTTCCATGATGTATTTTTATAGTTTATGCCATTTCAATGCCTTTGCACTAGTTTTTTTTTACAGGGACAGTCTCTTTTCTGGGAGGCCCTAGACTAGTCATTCTCATCAGCTCAATCCAAATCATTAAATTCTATTAGTTCTCTTTCCAACTGATCTGCTGGCCTTCTACCCTCTACCCCCCCAACCCCAGGCTCCTGCATATTCTCTCAATATCCAACTCTGCTTGTTCTTCCTTCAAAACAATTGCCAAAGGCGTCTTGCTAGGTGGATGGATGAGTCATTTCACTTTCCTGCTTAAAACATTTTCATGGCACACCATCACTGATGGCAGAGGCTTTGAGATGTGGAGAGGAGCAGAAAGGGACATTTCAGGAAGTAGAAGTGATGGGAAACTGGAGGCTACATGCATATCCAAGGAAGCATATGGTTACTTCTCTTGATGACTGCTGTTTGCAAGAAATGGAACTAATAGGCTCGATCACTTCACATTCATATTTATTGGTTAAATACAATTTGTGCCCTACAGAAAGAAGTTGCTGTATCCTGGCATTGGTAGCAGAAGCCTTTTGTAACCTGCCTTTGTCATTCTCCTTCCACCCTGCCAAGCTCTACCACATGGTTCTATTCCATCCTTAAATCACACCAGTCATATCCATAGATGTCCCCTGTCAGAATACAAAGGTATGACCAACAATGTCATACCTGCAAACCCAGCAACTGACCTCTGAGTGTTGCCCTCAGGGAATCAGCAGAGAATGTGAGACTTACCAGTATCTCATGTAGTAGCTGGAATGTATTCTTTAACTCATGGGGTGGAGCAGTTTCTAGCTGGTTCTGAAAAAGAAATTTGTGAAAGGATAAAAATCTGGTAGCTTTTTAGTGCAAAGCACAATTCTGGAATCAAGCTCTAGTTCTACCATGTTTGTCTGTCATTAGTCAAGCCAATTCCTCTCAGACTCTCAATTTCCCCAGATCCTTAGCTGGGAGCAAATAAGCCCTTAAGGCTCTCCAGTTGAGTATGTCATGATACTCTGTTATGTTATTAGGAAAGTGAGTTAGAAAGGGAAAGGGAGAATGCCAGTCACTAACAACCCTGACCTTACACAGCTACATCCACACTCCACTCTGAGTTCTCAAGGTGCTGGCAGCAAGGAGAATGAAAAGGGGAACTCTGAGGTAAGCTTTGAGTGAAGTATATTAAAAAGCAGTTTATGAAACAGAAAAAAAACAAGGTTTATAGAACTTCTTTATGCATTTTAAAGTTTATTTTTATTTATGTTTATGTATGCACATAAGTGTGTGGGTGTCCAGAGGCAAGAAGGAGGCATTGAGAAATTTCATGGAGCTGGAGTACAGGCAGTTATAAACTGCCTGGTATAGGTGCTGGGGCCTGATCTCTCATCCTACCCAGCCTGTGCGTAAGTTAAGTTGGGAAAGAATATTGTATTTTATCAACATACTTTCAAGGTGTCAGGGATGGTAAGCAGACGGGAGAGGAACTTCTTCGTCTCTGATGAGGACAGAAGACTCTTTACTAAGAGCTCCAGATACACCTCACTAAGTAAGTGCTACTTGTTAACACTGCATGTATCACTATTACTAATAGGAGTAAGGAATTCTATTACACAAAAGAACTTCTACATAAAGAACTAGTACATAAGTATGAATTTCATATAAAGAACCTAAAAGGAAACATGTCTATGTGACAAGACTGCTCCTTGGGGCAGAGTGGGAAGTGGACTATGGATGACCAGCAGTACATGTCAAAGTAGACTTTGACCTTATTTGTGTATTTATATTTTTTCCAAGAGAATAAAAAATGTATAATTATGTAAAGATTTAAAACTAGTAAAATGACATGCATACTTGAACTCTTTTCTAGTAACATCTAGAAAGACAGTAATTGGTAAAGACACAGGTTCACCCCACCTTCTTAGTCCCAAAGCCCTACAGGGTCACTGGCTAGGTGTATGATCCTCCTTACTCTGCTTCAGTTTCATGTTTTGGAAACCACACTGACTTCATAGGATACTTGAGAATTAAGTGAGTTAAATGTAGTTCACTTGGCATAGTTTTTTGTTTAGTAGTTGCAATGGGTGGGGTAGTGAGTACTTTATAATTTATTATATCACTGTTCTAAAAGACATGAAACCCTATTTTTTATTTTTAAGACACTGCAGGTAAAAAATTACAGCTGTGAAACAATTTCACCAAATAATGATCATTAGAACATTAATATTATTGAAATATTATTCTTAACTAGTTAAAAATTGAACTATATTCAAATGTTTACCATTAGGAAAAGGGTTTAAGTGAATATGGTACATGAAAGGATGAAATATGGGAAATTATATGACCAAGTGAAAGAAGACAGAATTATAAAGTCGATAAACTCTCAATTACATTAAAATACAAGAAAGAAAATAAAAAGATACGAAAGAGGATAAATTAAAAGAATGTTCCTGGTGGTCATCACTAAATAGTAGAGTTACTAATTTTTTTCTTAATTCTTTAAAAATAAACATAATCTTATTTTTACAATTAGGAAAAGTGCTAGCCATATTGCTGGGAGCAAGAGAATGCTCTCCTAGGGTCTCCCAGATATGTCTAGGGTAACTGAAGTTGTACCTTAATGAAATGCAGCATCGTGAAGGAAAAGTGCTCATTACAGAAACAGCAGTATACCACCATCTCCATGAGGGCCAGGAGGGAGCCAGTCAGCTCTCGAAGAGCAAACATGACCTGGTGGGAAGACACAAAGGAGTAAGCTGCAGCCACAGTCAGCAGTCTGTTCTTGCTTTCACCAGAATTTCCAGAGATTAAGAACAACGATATTGTCCTAGAACAGGATTTCTTGTTTGCGGTCTAAGGACAGATTTCAGCATATCTGAGTCTATCTGTCATTTTATACAGATTTGTACAAACTTGCACCTTTTATTCCCTGAGGAGAAACCATCATCAATTTTCAAATGCAAGCATTCTCATGAGGTTAAAATAATGACTGATGATAGGAAAATAAAATTAAACTTAAGAAAAGATAAAAAATTACTATGATATGTTGTTCTCATCACCATATAAAATCAGATTATGGAAGTCAGAATTCATAGGAAGGCAGCTCTGGGTGGAAGGAGAGCTGGCTGAGGGTAAGGCACACAGCATGTGCCCTGTGCAAGCATGGGAATAGCCCACAACTACACTCCTAAGGTTCGCATACACATGCTTCTAGGCTGCAGTGTTTTAGGATCAGGGACAGACAGACTGGGGGACAAAACCTTTTGATAATGAAGTTACTTTAGAAGTGAACTGTCATTCAACTTCTCCTGGGCCTTGAGGGTAGCTGGCGGGGCTGGAATGGAAGTCTAGTTCTTGGATGAAGAGAAGATGAATAATGCCCTCTTAACAAATTCAGCCATCCATCCATGCAGTGCTGGACACAGAATATGCTGGGCAAGTGCTCTACCATTTAGCCATGCCTCATCTCTAATGTTTTTTAAATGCATATAAAAAATTAAGCATTTCTTAACAGTATTTCCTTTCACCAGAGTAACTTGAAAAATGTATCAACAAAGGGATTTTGCTCAAATATGAGAAAATAACATAAGAAAATGTCTTCAGTACAGAAATTACATACCTCTAACAGGTAAGGTTTCCCTTCAGACAAGAACAATAAGGCTTCTACTTCCTCGTGGAGGGGCAGCAGAGGACTTGAGGGAGCAACACTAATAGGTGGTCGTTGTTTAAATATGCCAGGAGCTTTAGGAGACCCAAGAACAAAACACAAAGCACAAATTGTTTCACTTGGAAATGTTCCATGAAACATATATCCACCAGAGTGAAACTCTCAGGTTTGCACACACAATTGCTGAGTTCTTACAACTCAGTCCTTTAGTCTACTGGACCAATAAGCTACGAAGACAATTTCCTTTTTTTTTTTTTTTTTTTTTTTTCCAAAGTTTGCCTCAGCTATAGCTATGAAAAGTACCCAAAGCTGCTACCAAAGAGACACTGGACAAATCATTATTCTTCAAGTAATTGTTTGCAAAAGACCAACTATGCTAAAGCAGACTCAACCCACATAAAAGGACTGATTCTAGAAAACTAAGGATATACACGCTTATTTTCTTTTGTAAAACTGAACTCACACAATTAGCAGTCTTTTGTCTTTTGAGATGAATGAGTCAGATGTAGGAAGCAAACTGTACTCAAAACCATGTGTCATAGTTAGCTTTAGCTGTAGGCTGGACACAAACCAAGAGTCACCTGAAAGAAGGAACCTCAACTACTGCCCATATTAGATTGGCCTGTGGGGCATTTTCTTAATTGCTAATTTATGTAGGAAGGCCCGTTCCACTGTGAGTAATACCATCCCTAGGGAGGTGGATGGACCTGGGTTGTATGAGAAAGGTGGCTGAGCAAGTTGAAGGGGGCAAACCAGTAAGCAGCAATCTTGTGTTGTTTATGCTTCAAGCTCCTGCCTTGAAAAGGTGTGCGCCCCCACTGCCCGGCTCCTAGAGCACTTTAAAATAAACTTTTTCTTTTCTGTATCAAATCAATGATTAACTTGTCTTCTCTTGTTATCGATAAACTAGTTAAATAAGGTGAGATTTATTATTAATTAAAACAAAAACTCTAAGTGTGCCTCAAATACCTGAGAAACAAACACTACTTATTCATTTCCTAAGATCAGTACTTCTCTTCAAGCTTCTGATGTAGGGTCAAACTTACCAACATTCCTCTGGGAAGAGACATCTGTATGCAACACCAGCAATGCAACAGTGTTGTGGAGATTCCCAAATTCCCGTGCTTGTGCTGAACTCCATCGGCGTATCTATTATCAGAGAAGATTAAAACATGCCACTATTCTGTGTGGGTAAAGGATCTGCTAACTGCTAATTTACTGAATCATGATATCTCTTGATGTCCAGAGTAGAAGAGGTCAACATATAAAAAGTCACTGGTCTAAAGGTATCTCAAAGGGTTGTTCCCCTGAAAAACATTAACTCAGATTCTAAAATCAACTCATTCAAAGTATTCAGTTTAGGTTGGGTATGCTCATGACATGCCAGGTATTTTTCAGAGACTCAGTGTAATAGGAAAAACCTATGAAGCTGGAGGACAGGAGGCCTGGCCCTATGGCAGCCCCTAGTGTGTTGTGTAAATGGGCAAATTCTCCGTAACAATCTTCATGAAATGGCAGAGATAATACTACCTGCTCTGCCCATTTTGTGGTTCTGTGGACCAAATGAAACACTTCAAAACTAGTGTATTCTACAAATGCAAGACAATATTAACTGCACAGTAGTGCTAATACAGTAAACTTGTTAATCATCAGTTCCTGTGATGGAGTCTGAAATGAAAGAGAAGTACTGCAGACCTCAACAGTCAACAAGCACAGCATATTATGGTATCAGTCCTTCTTTTTTTACTACTTAAGTGTAACAGCTGCTCGGTGATGTGACAGGGAGCTGAGAGAAGCTTAGGAGCTTAGGTGGCAAGTCTGCCTGCCCATGCACAGCACAGCACAGCACAGCACAGCACAGCACAGCACAGCACAGAGTAAAGAGGCTGAGACTCTGAAACCCTCAGAGTTGGGCACAGATCGCTATTTCACCAACATATGTGCTCTGTGACCTTGCATAAGTTAGCACAGTTGTGTTCCAATTCTTGTCAGAGAACAAGAGTAACACTGCCCATTTTACTGAGCTGTAAGCATCCAAACTACCACAAGAGAAAGGCCAGGTGTGCCTGGTCCAAAAGAAGTACCCTATTGCTACTGGATTCCAGAATTTTATGTATTTAAAAACCTTATCAAACAAAAGAAATATATGGATGGGAAAAGAGCTATATAGGAATTTCTAACAGGTCATGTATGAACACATCCAGCCACATATGTAGTAATGTTCTGGGAACTAACATGCTCCTAGCATTGGACTGAGAGCGTCCCACTGCAGTATAGTTCAGTTTTTCACAGCCCAGCTTCACAGATGATTTCAACCACCCTCAAAACATTCACAGCCCAAGGAAGGAACGAGAGGGCTCCAAGGCCACTGATTCCTTTTCCCATTGAGCCCCCTCTTCCCCTAATCTCCAAAGACTTTGAAGGTCTTCATAGTATTACTACCCAGAATTAAATGAAGGTAAAACACTTATCATCCACAAAATGAAACCCAGCAGCATCTTACTGAGAAAAGAGGAAACAGTCCTTACCTGACTGTTTTGCCGACTGACTCCAAGGAGGAAGCTGATCATGTGTCGCAGTGCCGAGTGCCGCAGAAGAAGATCTCCAGCCCTGATACCTTGCTGTCACAAGACAATAGAATGGCAAATTATACTTTCAGACAGATAAAAGTTGTTTTAAAAATATAATCACATGAGACATTCTAAGAAATTACTATGTTAAGTGCTGTTACTTCTGTGTAGTGAACACTTGTAACTATACCTACTTGTATCATAATTCTTGCAAGTAAAATAATCCATTAATTTGGATTTAATTAGAAACACTCATGAAACCACTATACAGAATGGGATCTAGTATTTTTCCATGTATGAAGTATTCTTAGATTATAAATCTACTGCATTAGGAAAATACAGTAATTAGAAAACAATAATTTACCTTTTGTACAAAAGTGTTGAATAGGGAAAAGTACTGAGCACAATTTTTACAATTTTCTGGGACATCTTTATCCAAAAGAGCAAGCAGGACTTCCAATAACTGATGAAGGCTTTTTAACTGGCAAGAGGAAAGAGGAAATTATATAAAGAAAACGAAGACAAGACAGACTCTTGTCATAGGATTAATTTGAAGTAAACCACCATAAGAACAAAGGGAAATCAATACAATCCAGTCTCAGATTTAGATGGATTTATGCTTTGGAGAACAAATCAGAATTATCCTTTTACCTTCCAGAAGAGTGTGAGTATTATAGAAGAATTAAGGGAGAGGCTATTTTATTTCCTAGGTACCACTGTTCAGGTCACGATCCTACTGTCCCAGTTGTCATGTGTTCTTCAAAGATAATCTCTCTGTTTTACAGAGAGGTGGGGTACCAAGGGGAGATGGATTTCTGAATCCCTCCCTCCACTAGGCTGCTTCTTCACAGTCACAGATGCAGAGAATAAAACACAGACACAGGCAGAAGGGCTAGAACCAAGCCGATGGAGCAAATGGAGAGCAACAGCCTGACAGATGACACGGCAATACCGACTCAACTAGGAACTTACTTGAAAGCCCGCTGACGCCTCATGGAAAGCTTTGAAAAACATTTTATTTGTTTAGAAACCATTTTGGTATGACATTGCTTCTGCTTTCCCTCCCACCCCAAATGTTTCTGGATAACTCCCTAGAAATTCATCTATTATCCAAGCATTAAGACCAGGCTCACTACTCTTATATTCCTCTGAAGATGGTATTCATAGACTTCTGGAATACCCCAGCCATCCTGTCACACCCATGATAAATACAATACAAGTTAGCACTTACATAGCACTTCATTTTCAAAGTACTTTACAGTACAGATATAGTGGGTGGCAAGAGGTATAATTTCCATTGTGAGGAAAACAAACACAAAAATACATTAGTTGGATATCAAATAGAATTGACTTCAGGAATGGCTTTCCATGCTTATACCCTCTACTCCTTTCTCTTCACTACCTGCTCTTTTGCCTTTAAAAGGTTGGTGATGCTCTATGACCTAACCCTATCTGTAAGGAGACTGCACTAAATCTCCCTTTTTCCTTTGGAGTATACAGTGGAAGAAGGAGAGCAAGAGAGTTCTTAGGGTAAGCATTCTTGAGACATCTTAGACAACTCCCACAGGAGTGTTTTAGAGCAATGGTATTCAAGCTCTCCAAGCAGCTTGAATAACCCAGGTACAGTTTTGTTTGGTAAGAGGTTCTGCTGCTTATGCCAATGGAAAACTACTGCTTTATAGGATATGAAAGTCTAGTGACTCCTGGAAATGAGAGGAGGACTTTCAAAACCTTTTTTTAAAGGGCACATTTGGCATCCTGTTCTTTGGCTAGTCTGGTCTAATAGTGCTTGGTAGAGTAGGTGGTACTAAGGAACTAAGGGCTTGGGTGCCCAGACACTGGATCCCAAGCATCCTCCTCCAAGAACATGCTTAAGGTTATACAGTGAAGTCAACATCTGAATTTGAAGCAGTCTTTTCTATAACCGGTAATTCATGGATGCACAAAATGTCTGAAGTCAATGTTTGTAAGAAGCCAATTTATTCTGAAACTATTATTTTTCAAAGTTTTCCATGTAGTATCAGCTGTTTGAAACAGCAAACTTGGGGAGTAACTGTTGTACTTGAGAAGAGTCAGTAACAAACTGAACAACCAGGCTGATAATATACACCACAGACTTCCCCATAGGCTTAAAACCTTTGGGAACTGAAGATGGGAATAAACACCATAGTTTGTTTTATCATGTGTATGTTGAATTAAGATTCTGAAGATATAACTGCAGAGAATAGGGTAACGAAGAAGAAAGTATCCTGAAGGATAGAAACAACACTCAGGGAATGATGAAGACTGTGAAGACTACCCTGCCCTGGGATGAATGGCACTGGTTTGGTTGCCAAAAGCAGTCCGATCAGGAAAATAGCTTTTGAGGAAACAGCCAAGTGTGACTCAGAATGTCTAGATTAGTGTGTCTAGACAATGATTAATCTTACTTCAGAGTCTAACACAAGTTCTTGAGAGAAGACTGGCCAGGAGTGTTCTAGAGGAAAATCCTAAAGCAGACAAAAGCACATCTGAACTCTTTTCAGTCTCTATCTTGGTATCTGGAACATAAAGAGGGATGGACAGAATGCTTTCATCTTAGCCTGTATCAGAAAGTCACTGTGTATGTGCGTGCACATGCATGCATGCGTGCATACATGTATAAACACGCCCAGACACCAATTTTAGGTCTTTTTTCTTATTCTGTACAACTGAGAATATCTGATAAAAGCAGAATACATAAAGTTTACAGTGAGACTGACCTTATCCTGATAAAACAAGGCACTGTCTAAGGTCTTCTCCAGAATGGTGGCCACAGCGACGCGTACTTCTCTCACACTGCACTCCAACAAGAAAACCCTAAAATAAAGAGAAACGCATATAAAGAAGGACACAAGTATGTAACCCTAACCTGTGCTACCTACTTCCAATCTAATAGCCACAAAATAAAATGACTCAGAGGTACTACTTCAAGTATCCTGAGAATTTTCAGGCTTAGTCACAGGCAAGCGTGGCTTCCCCAGGTCACTCTAATATGCTGTAAATGAGACATGGGAACCAAACAGATGGGTTCTGCTGAAAGTCCACCAAGATTTTAAGTAGTAATTCAAATGTTGAAAAGACAACAGACACCCATTTAACATCTGCACTAGCCAGATGCATAAACTCTTAAGGAATACTGTATATTTCCTGGTGTAACACAGAAAAATGAAAGTAGATCTAGAATGGGGGAGGTCTAGTAGGCAAGTGGCCAGTGTCCTCCAAAATAAAAATCAAGACAAAAAAGAGGAGACTAGGGAATGTAAGTATTAAAGGTTACCAGTCACAAGAGACATATACACCAAAACCAATGCTTGAACTTTGTAGGACATGGACCTGTACAAGCATTATGTGCTTGAAATTAGCTTTAAAATAGAAGAAAAAACAACCCCATGCATGGAGACTGGGGCAGGTAAGAGAAAGCTTTGTGAGATACTTCTGCCTACCTTGATGTGTGTTTATAAATGTCTACAATAAAAAGTTCTTAAAGGATATAACATATCCTTTACATTAGTGGTTTACATTTCTTTACATCAACTGCAAACATTCACTATTACAAACACCACAAGAACCTACATTAAAAACTTGCGTAAAGAAAGTAGTAGCATGGGGTGTTGATGTAAAAGAGGCCGTCACCATCTTCGAATTTCAGTCACATAAGTATCTACAGAGTTTATCTATCCATCCTCACTCCAAAATGCAGTAAAATCTGAAATTCCAGTGACTATACGAAGTCACTATTAGAAAACTCCATAGCATCAAGCCGTTTAGCATACAAAAAGATGAACAATTTTGCATAGAATTACTTCCAGATTATGTATATATTTACATAAAATAAAGTGAATAAATATTTATATTTGTGTTCCATTCTAAGACACATCAGTAAATGCAAATATCCCTCAATTCAAAGAATCTCCGAAATAGTCTGGTCCCAAGCATTTTAGAAAAGGGATATTCACATTATGAATGTCTTCTCTCTCTGTCCTATGTGCACTAGTGAGGACATATTTTAATTATAGCAATGATATACTATCTTTAAGGCTCTATGGGTTGGGGAGACAGCTTAGTAAAGTGCTTGCCCTAAAAAACGTGAGTTCAATTCCCAGAATTCCCAGATTGGTTTTTAAAAAACCAGGTATGGTAATGCACACTTAATTCCAATGCCAGGATTGCAAGTGGAGATAGGTGGACCTGAGTATGTTCTCTGCCTCCATACAGAAGGGCAGTCAGGTACATATACCCACACACATATATGCACACACATATGCAAAATAATATCCTAAAGATTCTGAATAAAGAACTAGATAAAAGCCTGGTCTCCAGAGCGAGTGCCAGGACAGGCTCCAAAGCTACACAGAGAAATCCTGTCTCGGAAAAACAACAACAACAACAACAACAAAAACAACTAGATAAAAACCACTCCTTTTACTTATCTGTTTTAGATTTTAAAAAAAGATTTATTGTTTCATGCACATGGATGTTTTGCTTGCATATATGTGCACTGCACATATGTCTGGTGCCTTAGGAAGCCAGAGGAAGGCAATGGATCCCCAGAACTGGGGTTAAAGATGGCTGTGAGCTGCCATGTGGGTGCTGGGAACTGAACTGGGTCCTCTGTAAGAGGAGCCAGTGCTCTTAATTGCTGAGCCATCTGTGTAGCACCTGTTACTAGCTTCTTAAAACTCACAGCAGCACAAAGTAATTAAACCTTATAGAAAAGATCAGGTAATCCACTGGGATGCTGGACATCAGGAATACTAAGAACTACTACCAAAGGAAGAAGACAATTTCTCAAGAGACACTCAAAATCAAGTGTGTCTTTGTATAAATAACGTGCTAAATGAAATATTTTCTATGCACCTTCCAAATGTATAATCATTCTTTGGCACAGTGCTTGGGAGATCTACTGGGAAAATATTTTCAATTGAATTAGAAAATTGGGTAAAAGGTTATATTTACTGTACGCTTTAAAGGGACAGGTACATAATAACTCTTCCAAGAAATGTTTATTAGTTTTCTCTTCATGAGCCAAATGCAGATGCATGATGTGTGTGAACAAATATTTGAGTGTGTCATACGGCAGGCACTATGTTCAGTAGAGAACAAGTAGACTTGGCTCAGTAGAACACACACACAAAATCCTAAGGAGCACATAAGAGCAACAGGGCAGGTCTGCATCAGTCTCTGAGTATGTGCGATCTAAGTGGACATTTGAAGGAGCAAAAGGCAATTACTATGTCAAGAGCAGAGGGAACAATGTTCCAGATAGGAGTATCAGGTATAAGGGATACAGGGCAGGTAAAAAAACAAAACAAAAACAAAACTTGAGCATGTTCAATGAGCCACTAAATCAGGCTGGCTAAGAGGTGACAGACAGCAAGGAGGAAGTGACCACTACAAGCTTGGAAAGTACAAAGTAAAGATCAAGTAAAGCTTTTGGATTTTATTGTAGTGCAAGGGGAACCTACTAAAGACCTTTCAGAAAAGAAGCAGGGCTGGTATGTAGCTCAGTGGCCTTTGGTTTTATCCCAGTAACATAAAAAGTAAAATAAAAACCCAATAAAATTTCCAACTTATCACCAGACTGTGCTCCCTCAGTAGGAAGGGACCTGCACATCTCACTTTCCTGCTGTGTGTCTGTTTAAACACAAAAAATATCTGTTATGCTGACAGAAGTGACCCGATGGAAGAAGTCTACAAGATAAAGACAAGGACCAGTTAACTGAAAGGCCAAGTTCCTTGGGAAGGCTGGCAGATATGGATTCGTTTTGAGAGGAGACAGCACTTTATAACCTGGGAATGGAAGAAGATTATGGCAGATGTGTGGCATGTGTGATGAGTGACCACTTATTAATCACTTTCTCAGTGACACCCACGACTAGGCTACTACTCAGAAGTAGGGTGATCTCACATGAGAGGGTTAGAGCTGGAATCAGAGGGAAGGAAGAGCCTACTGGGGCCAAGGAGACAGGACAAGTTCTCGCTAACATTGGAGGGGTCTTGCTGGGCTCCTCTATAATGATGAACTCATCAAGGATAAGGGAAGTTGACTCAATAAGCTCAACTGGGAGTAAGATGCAAGCAATAACAGTGACTGGAGACTCTAGAATTTTTATCTGAAATGGTAAATTATTCTTCTCCTCACAGGTACACAGGTAATGTACTATCACAGCTAACGTTTCGGGGGCCAGAATCTAAGTATAGATAGATTACATAGTAGTGGCTGTAATAGTCCCTATTTACTTGTTACCAGACATAGAGTACCTGAGGAAAGGGACTTTTGTGCTTCTCCTGAGCCAAAACAAGGATTAAAGGTCTGTATGTTGTGAACACCTGGTGGCCATCACCTTACTCTCTCTCCCTGCAGTCATGGAAACTGCCAGTATCTAGTCCAACAGATGATTTTGGAATGACCTAATTTCCTTACTGCTTCTGTGAAAAGCTTATATAGAATCTAATCTGAAAAATGATTTCAAGTTGAAATGTAAAGGGTTATAAGAAGCCTTACTTCTAAATGACAGGAAAAGACACAGATTTCTTTTAATGAAGATATCTTGACACTTACTTTACCAATTCTCGTCCTTCAGAGCTAATAAAATACTCAACAAGCCACTGACAAGCATCCAAACTCTTGGAAAGTAATGCTTCAATAGTAGCAATCCATTCTTCAGTATCAACCCTTTAAAAGAGCAAAGAGCAATGTTAGGCTCTAGCAAGTAACCACAGAGAGCTGTTTCACAGTGTGTCACACCTGTCTACCTACCTATTCCACTGTGGCCAGGAACAAAGGGTAGATTAAATATCCAGTGACTACCCACTCACATTACTTACCCAGTTTTTCCATGTTTAAGTTATTTATGGTATAACGCCTTCTTCCCCCACAGGACAAAAACATGTGCAGGTATCTACATCTTTAGTTTACTTTTTGATTTTTTCTTTTATATCTTTATCAGTCAACTTCAACTGATGAAGGCCAGATCTGTAACATTTTGTCTGGCACATCTAAGCCTATGTCATCAAGGGCTTACCATTAGAACAGCTTATGTTTTATATCATATTATTAAAATCATTAATAAGCTTGAAACAGAGTCATGTTTCAAGATTTGGACGGAGAAAAGGTGGCTTGACTATACTACCCATAATCTCATCTCACACCCAAGACTCCAGTGGCCAGCAAAGAGTAAATACAGACAAAAGGGAAACAGTACATATAGTATGTAGATACCATGAGTAAATTTCACAAATGGGAGTAGTAACTGAATTCCTCTATGTAATTCTATGTAGACCTTAAAGGACAGAAACATGTTCTTTCTAACATCATCTAATACTGTTATCACTTAATGTACTTTTGGCTGTTACATATAAAATGAGGCTGCCACTATTAATTATTTTTCTTTAGGAGTCTGGCTGCAAAGTCTTTCCCCAAACCCACACTTGAGAAGTGTTCTCTGCTAGCCAGAGCTCCATAGTCTTCTAATCTTAACCAGCTGCAACCCAAATCTCCTCTTTCTGCAGGTATTTTTCTACAAACCACCCCTCAGCTCTCTGTCTCCTTCAGTCATATAAAAAGACCAACAATTCCTAACCCAGAATCTATAATGATGTAGGCACCTTATCAGGTGCTGGAGATAAAGTCAGTGATAAATAAGATGCTAATATTATCTGGAGTTTGTAACATTGCTAAAAATATCCCGAATTAACCAATTAACCATTGTTTTCTGTAACAGACTAGTAAAACATATCCCTCTTACCTGAGTTTTTTCTTTGTTCGTAGGTAAGTTTGGAAAAGGAACTGAATGGCAAGCTGCAGGCTCACCTTTGCCATACAAGGATAATATGGGTGCTTTAATTTGGTCTATGAGAGGGAGGAAAAAAAGGGCATTTTTCACAATTTGATATAGAAAATAATAATGATGCATGATAAAGTTAACAAGAAAAACCTAATCTTAGCAATTAGAAAGTGAAGGCAGAAAGGTAAGTAGTTCAAAGCCATCCACAACTACATGGCAAGTCCTTGGAGATGGCCTGGACTACATGAAATCCTGTCATAAACAAACAAAGCCTAGCCAGCTAGTAATAGTAAATACTCATTTACATTTTAAATGAAGCCCTCTCAGAATAGAGTCTTTGCCCTTTTTGGCAACTGTACTCTAGACAAGGAATACTGGAGAGTTAATTTTGAGTCTGACAGTAAGTATATGACTACAAGTTAATCCATAAAGCAGAGGAACAATTGATAAGATTCATAGCACTTGAACACATAGTCCCCCAAATCTGTCAAAAAATCTAAAAAATCAGTATGTGTAACCAATACCACTTAGAATCCACACAGTCCCAAAGCTGCCTGCATGTTAGCGTCATCCATAAGTAACACATTTCTAGGAAATGGGGTTTTGTATCTAGCCGAATGCTAACACCTGAAATAAGGGCATCACTTTCTTTAGTTCTTTAATTACAACTAGTTACTCACAGCGTTAAGCGATGCTAAAGATAAAACAAAACTGAAATAGTCACTACTGTACACGTCTCTATTCTTCATAAACTTGAGGTTTTCATCTCTCACCATCTACAAAACAAAATCAGTGGTTATTTTTAACAAACAGGCAAAATAATATGTGGAGGGATATTTCTACCAAAATGTTTAGGTAATAAAGGCTTGTAAAAAGCAAGTTATAATTTATAATTACTTTTGCAAGCTTTGAATTTTGAAAAATGAGAGAAATCTTCCTTTAAATCTAAGGCACTGTAGATATGTATCACCCCTTCTGATATCCTTTGGGGAACTCAGCAAGCTGTGTGAAGGGCCAAACAAAACTCCCTACACACAAGCACCTCCATACCTCCCTGACTCAGGCAGTTCAGCTCTTTCTTCTGAAGAAGACTGCACACTTTCCTTATATTCGATGGCTCTGCCTATCTAGCTCAGGTTGTCTAGTGTGTAAGGTCTGGATCTGGCAACTGGACAGTCTTGATTTCAAACCTTGCCTTGTGAGATTGCAGGCCATTTCCTTTTATAATCAGCCTTGTTTTGTTCCATCTGAGGGAGTAAGACTTTCTATTCTACAAGAGATTTAGAAAGTTTAATTAATTTGTAAAAACCTGTTTATCCAGGTGTGGTGGTGTATGCCTTTAATCTCAGTACTTGGGAGGCAGAGGTGGATGAATCTCTGTGAGTCTGAGGCTAGCTTGATCTACACAGTGAATTCTAGACCAGCTAGGGTTACATAATTGAAAACCTGTTTTTGAGAAGCCAATCCAAACTAAAACTTGTTTATGGTCTGGAGCACAGAGCAAGTATTCAGTAACCAGTGGCCATAACTGTCAGCTCAGTCTTTACTGAAGGTCCTGCGTCTTGACTTGTTCTCTCACATAAAATAATTTCAACAATGTGTTTCTCTGCTGAGGGATGGTGCTGGCAATCTTGAGTGCATATTCATTTTTGTGTTCTCACACTGTGCCACTATCTCTACAGCCTCTAAAACTGTTCTAGAAGACACAAGGATAAGGGAGAGTGATGAAGTGGCACATGAGAACGGCACATAGAAAAGGCAACTAGAAGTTCTCTGTACTTGCAATATTGACCTTCTGATAGTAATTCTTCCTGAGAGAATTATTTATCTGCGCCCCCATCCAAAAATTTATTTATTTTCATTTTATGTATCAGTATTTTGCTTCCATTTACGTATTTGCACTGTGTGTGTCTGGTTCTGGGAGGTCAGAAGAGGGTACTGAATCCCCTGGAACTGGAGTTACAGGTTGCTGTGAGCCACCATGTAGGTGCTTGGAATTGAACCCTGGTCCTCTGTAAGAGCAGTTAAGTGCTCTTAACAGCTGACCCACCTCTCCATTCTTATTTACATCTTCTTACCTGGTATATTCGGGCAGGCATTTTCTCCACAAACAGTCCTTTCTTCTCACCTTTTTTAACCAGCTTGGTTAGAATAGAAAGCCTGTCATTATTAGGCCGATGGGGCCGAGGAGAAGACTGAGGTGAAATCTCAGGTGAAGATGGAGCTGACCTGAGAGATAGAATCAAACACTTATTGAGCATAAAGGGGTTTTTGTTTCAGCAGTCTTAAAACTTGCCACATTTAAATACTGGGTACTGGACTTAAACATAAACAGCATACTTTTCTGATCCAACATAGAAAAGGCAAATTCACTAAGAATAAGACCAAAAAAAAAAAAAAACCAAAAAACAAAAAAAACAAAACCAACCTATCTTTTCGGTTATAGTATTATGATTTGGACATTCTAGATTGAAAGTAAAAATCTTAATTCTGTCATGAATAATTTATATACATGTTTCAAATACAAAATAACTTCTTGCCAGGGCAATAAAGTCTTGGAGCAAGAAACAAGAGACTTCCTATTTTCTTTTACAATTTCTCTTAAGCTTAGCTCATTATTTTTAAACATTGAGCATACATTATAAAGATCCTATCAATACCCACTGAAACCACACAGCAAGTTATATGGGAGAGAACTTACAGAGAGAGATCCTCAGCTTCCTGTCTTACAACGCTGACTCGACTTTTCTTTGGCAATACAGGGGAGTTCTGATCAGACACCCTTTGGTAGAAAAGCATGTAGGCATTCCAGTACCTTCGACGTACATCAGTGTATGGGTTTGCTATTTTGCAAGAAATTAAGAGAGAAGTTTTGGTAAGTAAGATGTTTCTTAACATGTTTTTCTATAATAAAGGGCCTACAAACTCATCAACGTATTTACTAAATTTGCAGAGAGCAAAGTATAAGTAAAACATGGGTCTTTTAGAGTGTTCCCTAGAATGCAAGTTAAGGTACTTCCCCTTGAGGAAAGCTATTTTTATCACACTGTGTAATAAGCGTTTGGAAAACATAGGTCCTAGAACCATCTTCTGTAAATAATTATACTTCTGTGTAAGTCAAATGGAAATTACAATTTTAGTGTCCAACTAATTCTGGAACTATTTTTAAAGTTGAAATTCTTCATTCATTAGTTTTCCCTAATGTTATTTCATCCTCTTGATTTATGTTAATTCCCATTATTTTTAGACATTTTTCCCCCTAAGCAGCCTGATTATATCATGTTGGCTATCAAAAGAGTTGTCTAATGCAGAGTGGTCAGCTTTGAAACCATATACAAAACAACAAAAACAGACTCAGCAGGTTGTATTGATATATATTTACACTCAAACATACACACACATATATAACAATCATGAAGAAAAACGTTATCAATTTGAGTGTGGAGGGGCATGGGAGGAAGGAAAGGGAGAAGGAAATATAATGCAATTCTATTTGGGAAAAAATATTAAGAAATAAAAGGTAAAAAAATAGTTGTGGTTCTATACTTGGAAGAATACAAAAGAACAAAATCTATTGTTTTTTTATATAAAGAATATTGTTTAGAATTTGATAGAAAACTAAATATTAAAAAAATAAAATGAGCTAGGCAGTGGTGTTGCAAGCCTTTAATAGTAGTCAGTACTTGGGAGGCAAAGGCAGGCAGATCTCTGTGAGTTCAAGGGCAGCCTGGTCTACAGAGCGAGTGCCAGGATAGGCTCCAAAGCTACACAGAGAAACCCTGTCTCGAAAAACCAAAAAAAGAAAAATAAAAAAAATAAAAAAAAAGAGGAAAATATCTACTTATAAATACTTACTTTGATCATAAACTTTAGGTCTATATTCTCCTCCAAAGCATTCATACTCCAGGGTCTCATCATTTAGGTCAAATTCTTCTATAACAGTGTCATTAAATTTATACCACTTTCCTTTTCCACACCCCCTACAAACAGAGGTCAGATAAACATTATACGATTTGAAAAATGTAGCAATAGACGTGTAATGATTTCAATTTCTAAAGCTTTTCACATCAAAGGAGTAAAAATAGTTATCCTAATTTTAAAAAATACAAAATGCAGAACAAAGGATAATGTGAATTTCTTTATAGCTGGGTCTGTAATCTTAGCACTTAGGAGGCAGAAGCAGGTTTGGGAATCTGAGGCCAACCTGGGCTATAAAACCCTGCCTTACCCACTACCCCTCTCCAAAAGCTTATCCAGCAGTGAGCATGGATGGTAGAGTTCAGCAGGGAAGGCAGAGCGTACATAAGGGCGTCTGTGAGAGGCCTTACCGCCTGTCCTTAATGAAGGAGTAGTAATGGCCTGCATGTGCCTGCCCACTGTGTACAATCACACCAACAAGCTCATAGTTTTCTGTGAGGGCAACTTTTTTCCGTGGGGATCCTCCACCTCCTTGATCCGTATTTCTCCCATTTTCACCAACTTCAGAAGATGAATCCTGGCGAGCCATTCCTGAGACTGTGTAAGGCTCCATATTTAGCATCCAGGGAAACTATGTGAAAGTAAAAAGAACACATTAGTGTTAGTGTACTTGGCAGTACCTAGTAAAGTCAGACAAAGTAAGAGTTGTGTTTCCCGAAACAAGGGCTGACTCCTGTCCTTGGTGTCTCTGACAGGCCTGTGTATTACAGAAGCAAGCATTTACATCTGCCTGAGCAGATTCACAATCCTATGAGCAGCCATTTCCCAAACAAGGGCTGCAGACTCCTCATGCTGCTTTTCAGGGACTGACAGGATGTAGAAAAAGAAGGAAAGGAAAGAGGGAAGCTGGGGATCATGGCTGAGAAAAATTTCAGAAAGGGAAAGAAGTTACCCGTATTTGTTCATCGTATTTAATGGATCGTCCACTTTCCCAGTCAAAGCCAAATCTCATCAGGTGAATTACCAACACACTAGGTAAAGACTTAATGCATGTTCTTTTCACTGTTATTCTCTAAGAAAAAGCAAAAACTAATTAACTCCTGGAGGAAATCAAATTAATGAATGTAAAAGCTTTTGGTATCCATGTAAAACAAATAATAGCACAAGCTACTGGGAGCGGTAACTAGAGCTTAACAACAACCTGTATGCAGGAACAAGCAACTAACATTGTTTCTTCTAAAGGGCAAATGTAATACCTTTTCTTTACACTTTTCACAGTAGTATGCATTACTTCCTTCTAGAACTTCACCTCTAACAAACTGGTCCAAAGAGATTTCCAAGCTTTGGCAAGAAGTAACTCCTAGATTGAGAGCCATGAAAGCTTCCTCACGCTCGTATCTGATTGGGAAAAGACAGAAACCCATGAATGGAAAACCAATGCAACTGTCATAATATCTGAGCTTTAACATACTCCTCAAAAGCCAGGAAAATTAGACAAGTCTCAGGATTTTAAAACATACTAACCAAAACATGATTTTCAACAAATACTTTAAGGTTACAAAGAAATTATGGAAACCGAAGGAATATAATTCACTGAACATTTATAGATCCACTAAGAAATAAATCTACAAGTCAGTCAACAAATTAACATTTATAACTTCCTAAAAAGTCATTTAAAGATACTTTCCCCCATGGTGCTGACATGAAAATCAGTGTCTTGTACCTGCTAGACAAATGCTGTACCCCTGAGCTACACCCCCACCCCTAATAGTCATTGTTGAATGCAGCAGTGACAACAGTGATATCTTCACTAACCTGTGAGGACAATCTTTACAGATTTTCTGATCAGAATAGATGCCCTGGAAAGTATTCTTAAAAATTTGTTCTCGTCCCATTTTCTGTTGGAATAAAAACTTAAAGTTTTAACTGATAACTCTAGAACGTATAGGTTGGTTCACATAACATTTTATTTAAAAATTTTAGTTTAGCCATCAAAATATAAAGAGTAATACTAGTAGTTTCAGTTACAAACTAAAGGAAGGCTAAAAACCCATCGTTAGTCCCAGTGTCAAGCATGCAAACAGTAAGAAGAGAAGGAAGAGAGAAGGGTCCATGAGAGCTGATCATGACAAGTCCCCTTTCTGTGTTGTAAGTGCAAGGTAGCAGAAACTCTGACAATCTCCGCTTTTTTCTTAAGGACAGAGACTATATATCTCTAAGTTATTTTAAACAGATGAACCATAATAATTGTGCTAGTGATACGATGTACAGTGGCACCTCAGGGCAAGTCTGTCACATGTTTTATTGGGAAAGTTAGAAAGCTTTGAACGTAAGCATCACCACAAATAATATTCTACCTAGTCCCCAGAACTGCCTCCAGGGGACCACCACTTCCCTGGGCACTCTACAGCCAGACTACCTTAGGGGTATTGCAAAAATACACATGCATGAATGGTCATTTATTCTGAAGTGTAGATTGGGAACCACACTATTTTATCACCTTAGATGAATAAAGAATACTACTCCCATAACATGTATGCATTCATTTTAAATGCTGAAAGAATGAATTGCAGTTGTGATGCTCAAGATGACTATTTCCTGGTTGGTGAGTTTCAGTTACTGTGAACCTTAAGGCACCATTCAGTAACTACTGAAGGAACCAGAGGGTGATGGAGACCTGGGTTACCTTGAGATACTCATCCATCTGATCAATGAGACTGGTGAAGAACTCATATGCATCCTGCTGCTCTCTCACATAGAGCTCCTTGTTCCACATCTTGAAGATCTGTGTAGCAAGAATTACACAGAAATTCTTTAGAGGGAAAGCAGCACGCTTTCAACATAACACACGGGATCACATTAGTGCTTCTGAAAAACGAGTTTGATATTAGGATGAGGATGTTTTTATTGCCGAGAGACACACTTGTATTCTACCATCTGTGCATATTCTTGGTCCTTCATATTACAGCAACTTTCTGAAACCTTAGACTACACAACAGCAAGTGTCTCTCTTAGAAGTGACCTCTGCTCTGTGAGGCAACGTGCTGCAGCATCCTTTATTTGGAGGGACAAGCGATGCTGCCACAGGTTCAGAGAGATGATCTGAATCACTATTTTAAGCTGCACATTTTCATTATCATTTTAAATTATGTGTACATATCAATGTCTCTGTGTGGGTGCGTGCACATGAGTGCAGAGATCAGGGGTGTCAGATCCCCCTGCAGCCAGAGATACAGGTGGTTGTAGCTGCTTGGTTTAGGTGCTGGGAACCAAACCTGTTTTTCGGCAAAAGTAGTTCAACTGCTGAGCCACCTCTTTAGCTCCTTTAAACAATTTTTAAAGCGCTAAAATAAGAATAAGAAACAGTCAAAACAGATAAGCAGATCCCCAAGAATTATGAATGACTGTTCTTAAAGTTCTAATCATTCAAAAGTGCCAATTTGTTGAACACTCAAATCGTTGATAGGCTGTAGGTGATGACAGAAAACCATTATTATTAGAGAAGGAAGTAGAGCCAAACTAAGTATTACCTAACATCAAATCTACAGTTACAATAAATACCTTCCAGAAGTTCTCAGGCACATAATACTGCAGCTTGCTTTCCATCAAATGTCCAAAGAGGGACTGTACTTGATAAAACACACTGTCATCTGGATTGTCTGTATCATCATCCACTGAAAGAAGTGACTGTGAAGAAAAGCACTAGGAAATGAGAAACTTTCAACTGCTTCACAGTAGCCCCAAACATGCACATGTGAGTACCCACTCTGGTTTTAAATATGATAAGGAGTATCTGATATGGAGACAGCCTGTAGATATTTAGGTTTGTCATTTCCTAGTTGGTGTAATCAAGGATAAAATATCTCTTTAAGTTCCATTTCATTAGGAAACACTGGAGCTGATGAGGAGCTTTAGACATAAATGCTACATGGTAATTATAGACTATAATCAAAATACTGCTTGCTATCCCACAAATTGTGACTATGTTAATAAAAAGCACTGAAAACAGTCACATATTCTAAAATATTAAATGTGACTTTATAGAATCTTGAGAATTTTTTATGTACAAAAATTACATTTGGTCAAATAACCAATTAAAATAACAGATTTACAAAAATGTGTGACTGTACATCTTTACCAATTCCAGAAGCTAATAAAGAATTTTCAACCACAGCTTCAAACCCAAGAAATTAAGCATGGAACAATCTGCAGAAAATCCACACATTCACTCCTGATACACAGGACAGGAGGGAAATCACCTCAGGGAGTCCGGGCTGCATGTACAGCTGCTGGAAGACTGCATTCATGTAACAAGTAGCACCACCGTTCCTCAGCCCCACAAACCCTGAACTGGATCTGCTGTCCACTGGGGGAAGGTACTACAAAGAAAGGAACAGAAACAGTGGGGAGGAGAATGAGTACTCTACCATAGCACACTTCCATAACAGCCACTTAGAATGACTGAGAAGAAAAAGTAGATACAGACTTATCCGTACAGCACGGTATGAAATTGAACCAACAGAACCTATGTTCCTCAAGTACCTGTGTTAGTGGCTGGTGCGATGACAAAATGCAACGGTTTTAATGTTCCTCTTCTGTTCATAAAATATGTGGCACAAGGCAGGTATTAGCTCATCTATGTAGACCTGCATTCATTCACTTATCATACATGTAGGTTGCTGGGAATTGAACTCTGGTCCCCTGGAAGAGCAGTCAATGCTCTTAACCACTGAACTATCTATCTCTCCAGCTCCTTCACTTATCATTCAACAAGTGTTTATTAAGGATCTAGTAATGTGCCTGGTACTGTGCCAGGGATTAAGACAGAACAGAAATGTTCTCACAGTCCTTGATCTCCAAGAACTTACAATCCAGTTGTGTAAGCTTTATGGCATTAATCAAGCAGATACATTAGATGTCTACAAACAGCTGGTGTAGTTTTCTGAATAAAGGAACAATGCTTAGGAAGTATTTATTATGCAGTCAAGGAAGGTTCATATTCTTTTTTATGCAAGGTAATGTTCTTCTATTAAACTTTTTCTAGTAAGCATACAACTAAAATGACAGAAAAACACCCTATTGTTTTACTTACAAATGTTATCAAACAATGCAGTTCCTAACACAGTGCTTTTTTGGGTAGAAATTATTCAGATAAGGCATCTTGGCTAATGTTCAACATGGCACCTCTCCAAGTGTTAAAGGACAGTATAATTACACATGGAAATGTGAGTACATCAGGAACTTGGCTCTCTTACCATAACCACATTCAAGTGTGTGCATCCATGTAATAAGCAAACAACTGACAAAAACACATAGGTCTTTTGGAATTCAAAGCCTTACTGGATCTCACACACTTTTCATTAACATCAGAAGGAACTGACAGCAGGGAGCTTTCTAGGAGCTAACATGTATTTACATTTGTAATACAAAGCACGTTTTTTGTTATGAAAAAATTTATTTATTTATCTAAGACTGTTTTAGTCCTTATGCTGGTATCATCCTTGACTTGAAGCATGGCTAAAACACATCATTACAAACTAAAGTATGAGAAGTAAGCTCTTTTCCCAAATCAGTGCTCACATATGCTTCTACTTCTTCACAGGTGTTATTTCCTCTCACTAAGACAACTGTCCCCATTGTTCTAACTTACACATTCAAAGAGTGAACCTGGCTTTCCATTATATAAGAGGAGAAAGCAAACTGAGCTTTGACAGCATCTTCCTATCACCAACCAGCAGTCCAGTGTACCTGCAACTTGCTTCCTTTCTGAACATCCTAACATACAGTAAGAGGCTCCATATCTTGCTTCAATGAGCATCACAGTCTGTAAGCCTCTAGTTCAAGTTTCATCTTCTCTAGAAGCATTTTAAGATACTTGATAAAGTGCTACTCTGTGTTAGTACAGCATACAGGACACACCTCCAACTTACACCGATATCACAGTGCTAAACCAACCTGCTGATGGGTCAGTCTGTCTCTTCCACTGTACATGCCTGCCTGACACCTGGGGTAGTATGTTCATTTTTCAGCTTCAAAAGTCTAAAACCTTAAAATATGACAAATCTATGAATTTTATTCAATTTATCTGGCTTTGTAATTCAAGTGCCTAGCACTATGCCAGAATAAATTTACTCAAAAAAACAAAAATACAAAAAACAAAATACCCCACCCACCCACCACTCCCCAGGCAGGGTAGGGCCCTCAACAGGGGCTCTGCAGAGTCCACCAAATCTTCCTGTGCTGGTCCTGGGCCCTTCCCCATGTGTCCAGGTGGAATGCTACTTTTTAATTGAGGTTAACTATTGGTTAGTTTGAAAATGGCTCACCTCCAACTGAAAGGATATTTCATAATACTATAATGATGAAGTATGATAAAAATTTATTTGATTTTAGTATGTAAACATGCCATGCAAAAAAGAGATTGACTTTGTTGTGGTTAGGATAATGCAAATTCAGTCATAAACTTTTATATTTAGGGGCTAGAGAAATGTCTCAGTGTGTAAAGGCACTTCCTATAAAGCCTGAAAACCTGAGTTTTATCTCAGGTCCCACATGGTGGTAGAAGGTGAGAACCAACTCCAGCACTCGTCCTACCCTCCATACATTATTGGTGTCATGCACATACCTTTCAAAAAAGTAAGTACAAGCCAGGCATTGGTGGCGCATGCCTTTAATCCCAGCACTCAGGAGGCAGAGGCAGGTGGATCTCTGTGAGTTTGAGGCCAGCCTGGTCTCCAGAGCGAGTGCCAGGATAGGTTCCAAAGCTACACAGAGAAACCCTGCCTCGAAAAACCAAAAAAAAAAAAAAAAGAGTAAGTATAAATTATATACTTAGGACACCACTCTAGAAAAGTTAAATGAGGGCTGGGGCAATGGCTGAGTGGATGAAGTGAAGACCGGAGTGTCGGTCCCCCAAGCAAACTGGCTAACTAATCAGCTCTGGGTGCAAGTGATACTTTGCTTCAGACACTAGTATCAATTTCTAGCCTCCACATATAGGAATACACACAGGTAAATAGGCCTAAAAACTTACATCAAACTCCTTGGTGAGAGCAGGGTCAGGCTGATGATGCATTGAAAGCAGTTCTTTTGTAATAATCTGAAGGTTGGAAGGTGAGCTGTCAGCTAACATCACAAGTACTTCATAGGCGGCCAATCGGCTATTTACTGTACTACACCTAAGAACAAAAGCACAAACCAACTTCAAAATCAACATCTGAAATCAAAATGCAAGTAATACAATCCCTTAAACAGTTAAATTAGGCCTATGCTGGAAATCTAGTCATTTATGTATCCTAAATGTAGGTGGCAGGAAGATGTTTCAGAGCTATTATCTTCTTAGCCTGATAATAATCAGCAAAATTCCCTCAAATAAGAAAAGGGAAGCTATGAAACTAAGAATAGATGCCTATAAATATTTCAAATATGCCTGATGGTCAACAATTCGCCAATGACACTAATCAGCTTTCTACTCTGTTACAGAAAATGGAGACAGAAAAAGTGACATGCAATAAGGCAGACTTCCTCTATTGCCTGCCTTTTAACCCAGGCAGTAATTCTGAACTATAATCAACACTGACACTGCATTACTGAAGTGATCACAGGTTAGAATGGATACACAGAAGAGAGGACATCCAACCTCTGCAGGAGGAGGATTCTGGGACTCTGGGGCTTTTGAGTTACCATTGTACCTGAAAGCAAGGACAAGGCCACAGAGGAGACACTGTCTTTTAATTCTTGTCTAGATGTATGGATTGAAAAGGATGGGCAAGAAATGAATATGGAGACTCTATATACATAGGTGAAAGTAGTTGTTTTGTTACTGTGACTTCAGAAACAGTTTTTTTTTTTTGGTTTTTCGAGACAGGGTTTCTCTGTGGCTTTGGAGGCTGTCCTGGAACTAGCTCTTGTAGACCAGGCTGGTCTCGAACTCACGGAGATCCGCCTGCCTCTGCCTCTCGAGTGCCGGGATTAAAGGCGTGCGCCACCAACACCTGGCAGAAAGAGTTTTCATGTATTTTTTGCTTCAAGGTTTTGGTGGAAAGGTCACTGTAATGAGTGAACAAGTTTAATACACTGGGGAGGGTGAAAAATGTCAGCTTTTCTATTCCAGGCACTATATATGATTTTATTTTTATTATTTTTTTAATAAAAAGGGAAGGATTTGCCAGTAAAATTTTTCATTAAAACTGCTAGATATATATTGTTTTGTGTTACTGAGAAATCAAAATACTAATAATTTCTGGTGCTTTAATTAGAGTCCCAGGGACCTAGTGCTAAATATTCCAAGACAAGACCAGACAAGAGTGAGGATGAAAGCCATAGCTCTAGGGACACTCCAAGAGCTCTAATAATTTCCTCTCCCTGCTACCTAGCCTATTCTGCTAAGAAAATCTTTAGCTAGAAAAGTATTTACACATGACACTTCATGGGACATCATATACTGCTTACTATGCCTTGCCTGTACCAGTCATCTTTGAAATGAAGAGTCTCTTCAGGATTAGTCAGGTAACTCTTGCTTTAGAAAATTAAGTTCAGTTTAGAGCAAGTTAAGTGGCAGCTTATTGATGCCTGTTCTATGGACAAAAGTCCAACTATCACTTGAATAGGGTCAACAATATACATGGATATTTCACATTTATATCCCCAAAGACTAATCTAAGACCTTGATTCCAAAAATCACAACTGTAATAAATTACTAGCAGTTGCAGATATGAAAACATGGTATGACCCAGCAAATGACAAGGCACTAGACCTTTCTCCTAAAAAAATCTGGAAGCCTATATTTAGAGTCAGTTTACTTGGAGGTAGTTCTTCATTCTCCCTTTAGTGCTGGGGCTTGAACTCATGACCTCTTTCTCACATGGCTAAATTTGTGCTTTACCACTGAGCCATATTCCCAACCCCTATACATAATTCCTACAACCTTGGAATTATGACTGACATAGTTACTTACTATCCCACCTTGATGATGAGAACTCACCAGAACACTTTATCTGTGCTCTCTATGTGCCAGGCACACTTTACACAGAGCTCATTATGCTTTTGTTTAAGTGGTAGAAAACACAGGACAAACAAACTCACACAATGGAAGACAACTCCAAATTAAGAGAATCTTTGGACTACAGTTGGGAATTAAGAGATTTTACCAAAACTGAACACAACGTGCATTTTCCATACTTTGGATGAAAGTCCTGTTGACTGATGGCGACACTGCCAGCTGGAGAATGACTATTTAAAATAATTCTAGAAGCTCGGAAAAGGAAGTCATCTAACAATGGTTTAATGAGTGATGAACCTGAAATAGAGCATAATAGCACATTGAAGGTGAACACAGATTATATTCAAAGATCCTATTGTGTTTTCCTATGAGAGTCAGACACGCACAATGGCCACCCAACAGCAATGCTCGGTTTAAGTTAAAGCTTGCTTTTGAGTGTTTACTATGTGGCACAGATCTGTGGAATGGTGGGGCCAGGAACAAGGTAAAAAGTAGTCAGATGACATGCCTTCTTTTAGGAGTCTAGATGATTGATAAAAGGAGGCAAGCTTTCACCTCGGAAACATCAGTGCCAAGAACATCACAAGTAGAATGGTCTGAGTGACTAATTGTTACTCTGGGCATCAAGGAAGTCCTCCACACAAGGGCTAATGAATGTTTTTTTAAAGCCTGGCTCCTTCAGGCAAAATGATATTCCTTCCTGGTTAAGAATCACTCTTTTCTATGTTTCCTCAATGTCCAAGAAGATTCTATAGTCTATTTGGTACTATCACCATGGAAGTTGTATTCCAGTTTGTTTTCTAAATATAATTTATATCATTTAGACATATATATTCAAATTATAACTGTACTTCAGGGGAAATCTTAACATTTTCCCCGACATTGAGGAGGTAATGGCTGGAGATTACCCCCTTAGATATGAATCACCCTTATAAGAATGAAGACATAATATAAAATATGTAATAGCAAGAGATAAGGCTACTCTGAATTATAACTTTTACTTAATGTTAAAAGTTATGTGATATGACTATTTTGAACAATGTAAAATTCTCTATGTGGTTTAATGACACATATGTGGTTTGCTAGTCACAAAATTGTAGACAATTGCCTACTCCTAAAAGGTCAATTTTTCATGGAACACTTAGCAATTATCATATTGTTCCAATTTACACGAAACACTGACAGTAACTGAGAACCAAGGTGCTCTCTCCCACACAATAAAATGAAGCAATAATTACCAAGCATTTCTTTTTCTGCCCCACAGAGTGAAAGCAGGGTCTTAATGAGCCGCAAATGTCCTGCCAATAAGATGTTGTCTGCTTCACTGGTTTCACATTCCGCAGTTCGATTAGGTTCAAAGTTATCCAGCCATGTAATCTCATCTTCAAGCATGGTAGCTGGGCTGATTCGTAACTGTTCCATTTCTGAAGCTGAGAAGGGGGTATAAGTGAGGAAGTAGAAATCTATTACAAAGAAAAATGTTTTATTCATGGAATCAAAGTTCCAAATAAAGAAGCAAAGTCAAGCCCTAATCTTTCACTTCACAGAGCTCACAAACGTTGTCATTAATAACCTTCTAGAGCAGATACTATCAAGGCTATGTCCTGCAGAAACTGAACATTTGACTGCACCCTCTGTGCAGGCCACCATGCTACCCATTAAGTATGAGACAATGGGGACAATCTGGTTTGGGGAACAAGACCTCCTAAGAAAAGGGAAGAATGGCCAGTAATGAGAACTAAGGCTCTTCACAGTGCTTCCTAAACCAAAGAGGCAGATTTACAAAAGAGAAAGATCAAGCATTATAATCTTACATCTGTAAACCATGAACCAAACTCCAGAGAATAATTTTGTTTTTGTGGCAAATCTCTCTCTTACTCTGCTAAACAAGGACTAATAATGAAATTCTGTACTGGAAGCATGGCTGAAAAGTACCTATTAGGCTAGGTAGTTCGATGGACATGGTCCCATCCTATACACATAAACAAACACCTTATGTCAAGACAAACAGTCTGACTATGTTTCCCCAGTTTCCAACAGTCAATCTCATCACAGTGCTTAGAGCCCGAGCCCTGATCTGAAAGCCATTGACAGCAGCTGCTTACAGATCTGTTGCTGAGGTCTATCAGTCACCAGAAGCTAGAGCGTTGTGACCATTTGCCAGAAGAAAGATCTTTCCATGCAATTTCTTTTAGAATGAAGTGCTGGAAAGAAGAGTTCCTTCTTTTGAGAAACACTCTGTTCCTCTTTCTAGGGCACAGAGAACAACCATGTGCTATCTCCTTTAGCCCTCCAGGAACATCACCAAGTCTGAGTGGAATTGTACAACTTGCATATATAAAGGGGGTATTTATTTCACCTGGCTTTCATGTTCTACTTCAATTAATATTTTTGTTGCTCCTGAATTTTATATCTTGTAATCTGATATATAAATTTGGGGGTTAAGAATATGGAATATATTAAACAATTGGTCTGAACAATTAAAATTTACATAGGGCATTTGCATTATTGGTATTTACATTTAATCTCCACATTCTAAAAAGCAAGTTCTAACACTGCCACTTGAGGCACTGAATGACCTCTGTCACTAGCAACATGCTTCAGCCATTCCCTCAGCTCTTAAATCATTACTCTTACTGTCAGAACAGGGTCTAGACAGGTGCTCAGTGGTTAAAGCAGTGACTTCTTCCTGAGGACCAAGTTCAGTTCATGTCAGGTAGCTTACAACAGCCAGCTAATCCAGTTTTAGGGGGACCCAATGACTTCTTCTGGCTTTAACAGGCACTCATGCACACGTTCACACACACACACACACACACACACACACACACACACACACACACACACACACACACACACACACAAATTAAGTAAAAAATAAACTTAAAAAAATGGCAGAATAAATTATACTAGAGAATAAGACCCTTCTTGTTAATTCTCTCCTAGTCAATTATAAATGAGATTGGTAAATTGTAGAGTTAACAAACTTCTGCACACTGGTTGGGTATGTAATAGAAGCAGATATCAATGGCACATTGATTCACACGCTATTTTCAAAAAAACAAAACTCAACATTAAAAATGACTGTCTTCCTGCTTTGTGAAAGGCAGGTCAGGTACGGTCTACCTGTCCCTCCCCCATCCCAGTGAGATGTTTACTTACTTGTCAGATCATCTAATAACTGGCACCGCAAATCAAAATACTCCATACACTGAGACAGCAGTCTACAAACCAGATAGATTCCAGTTACTAAAAAGAGGCTGATTTTAAAAGATAAAGCATTTTCCTTAAAAATAAGTTCACAAAGCAATTTAACAAGGTGATTTTTCCAACCATACAATTACTTACATTAAATACCTAGTTTAGCATGAAAGAAATGAATAATTTTGCTAAACTGTAGTCTAGGAATAATTGTATAAAGAGAAGGAAAGTTATTAAATATATCATGTTTTAAAATAACATAAGCACTGATTGCATCTGTTCTTTCAAATGTGAACCATTATCTACAAATTAACTGTTAAATGCACACTAAATAAAAGAACAAGGAATACTGATAACAATGAACAAATATCAAACAAGCAACGAAGAATAATACAGAGTAAGAAACATAAATTATGTAGATTATAAAGATACTTCTACAACTCTATCATAGTAAGTAGGAACACAGTAATTATAGAATCAGACTGTACTACAGTGGATAGGAGCACAGGTTCTAGAATCAGACTGTAGTACAGTAGATAGGATTGATTTCAATCTTGGCTCTATTATTTATAGCTAGTGTCCATGGATACCTCCTTTCTCTCAGTCTTCTAATTTTTAAATGCTTATTATAGTCTCATTATAAAATAAACATTCATGTATATTCAAATAGACATAAATGGCTCATGCAGGTATAATGAACCAAGAGATTTAAAAATACAAATAATAAAATATCCAAACTCAGGTCTTTCAGGGGTTAAAAAATAAAGAGACACACAAGAACCTTGATAAACAATGTGGCCCAGTAAGATTTGATAATTGCTAATTATATACAAAACTAAGACATTTTAAAAAGGTTGTGAGATACAAATTTATAAAAGTATAACTATTCAATTGTATTAGAAATTAAACAGCTCCACAAGTCAACATATTGTCAAAGATTCCTTTACTAAAAATCTGATCTCATGGTTTGTCCTTTTTTAGAAAACATTTATTCATTTTAGGTTACATGTGATTATATTATCTGCATGTATGTATATGTACTATCTGTGTGCTTGGTGACCACAAATGTCAGAAGAGGGCACTGGATCACATAAAACTGGTTATGGATGGTACCAAGTGTGCTGGGAAATGATCCCAGGTCTTCTGCAAGAACAGCAAGTGCTCTTAACCACTTAATCATCTCTGTAGCCCTCTCCATTTTGTTTTTTTCCCCTCAACTGTAGAGTAATTAAATGACTCTCACAGCAAGGACAAGTCCAACAGCTTCAACTTCTTAAATAATTGAAAATTTCCACTGTCCTTCAAATAAATACATTCATACATAGGAAAATTTAGGAAAAGTTCCAATTCCAAAGTCTAAGTAGTCAAAGGTAAAAGAAGATACCTACTTTTAGTTCAGATGCCTACTAGGTAAAACTATTTCCTAAAAATTAGTTTTAAACTATTATTTAACAATTATTTTTCATTACTAAAAATACACAACTCAATCCCGATGGTAAACTGCAAATTTGGGCTGAAAATTTAACAAGCCACCCATAATGATCTACTTTCAAAACCAAAAACATTGACTTCTTATTTATACATTAGGATTTTAACACCTAAAAGTCAAATGCTTCAAAGAGACATGTTGATGTTTAGATATGTGGACCAGGAATTTTCATACACTAGAAAGTATACGAGAGCATAGCAAATGATGACCCACACAGTTACTATGAGGGACATGCCTTCTCTAGAAAATGCATGCATTTTAAAAAGCTCAGAATGGACCAAAAAATTACAAAATTAAGAAATACCTCGATATCTTTAGTTAAGACTGACAAAACCATAATAATAATAATAATAATAATAATAATAATAATAATAATAATAATAAAAACCCTCGCCGGGCATTGGTGGCGCACGCCTTTAATCCTGGCACTCGCCTCCAAAGCCACAGAGAAACCCTGTCTCGAAAAACAAAACAAACAAAATAATAATAATAATAATAATAAAACCCTCAAAAACTCAAGTATTAAACTTGAAAATGAAAGTGAGAATGTTGTCACTGATTTTTATAGAAAAGAAGTTATGAGAGTACCATAAGCAACTGTACATAAAATCAATATTCTAGATGAAATAAAAAAAAATTCCAGAACTCAAACATTAACAAAATAGAACTAAAAAACTCCCAACTAAGAAAAGTACTAGACTAGGAAGCTTTACTGGTAAATTTTACCCAACACTTAAACCACAACAGTGGTCCTTCTCAAACTCTTCTATGACCCTGCAGAGGTCATATTTCCTAATTCTTATGAGGATAGCACTATCATAATACCAAAGCCAGACAAAGATCCCACAAGAAAACTAGAATGTAACATCTCTCATAAATGCTAGAATGTAACATCTCTCATAAATGCTAGAATGTAACATCTCTCATAAATGCTAGCCAATACACTTAAAGGACCATGTAACATGAACTCATTTCCTAGAATGCAGTGACAATCAAACATGAAAAAAAAAAAATCACTGAAACACCACATTAACAGAAAGGGAGTGAAGGAGCCCATACAAATCAGCTCTCATTATACAGACAAAAGCATTTCAACATGGAGACTGAAAGAGATGGTCAGTGGTTAAGAGCACTTGCTGCTCTTGCAGAGGACCTAGGTTTGGTTCCTAACACTTCAAGTGCCAGAATCTAACATCCTCTTCTGGTCGCTACAGGCAACAGGAACACAAATGGTACACAGACACATTTGAAGGTGAAGTGTCCACACACATTAAATAAAAATAAATAAGTCTAACAAAAGGGACCTGACCAACTGTAACATGGCTCTGTGAGCAAAGCACTGATCCAAGGAGGAACCCAGGACTCTACCTCAACATAGTAAAGGTCATATATGAAAACTTCATGTGGACCACCCATTCAATCGTCTAAGATGGAAAGCTTTTTCCTAAAACCACGATGGCCACTTTCATTATCTCTATTCAATAGAACACCGAAGGTTCTAGTCAGAGAAAGTAGACAAGAAAAAAGGCATCCAAGTTGGAGAAGTAGAAATGGACTTATCTGTCCACTAATCTGAAAAACTTACATTAATATATGGAAAACCCTAAAGATGAACCCTGTTACTTTAGCAAAGCTAGAGGATATAAAAGTCAACAGACAAGCTGGGCGTTGGTGGTGCACACCTTTAATCCCAGCACTTAGGAGGCAGAGGCAGGTGGATCTCTATGAGTTCGAGGCCAGCCTGGTCTACAGAGCAAGTTCCAGGACAGCCTCCAAAGCAATACAGAGAAACCCTGTCTCAAAAAACAAAATACACACACACACACACACACACACACACACACACACACACACACACACACACACGAAAGTCAACAGACAAAAGAAACTTGTGCTCCTCTCATCACAGTGTATAATCTGAAAAGTAAAGAAGACAATCCTATTTACAATGGTATCAAGATAATAAAGTACTTGAGATTCAACTTAATTAAGGAGAGGTCTTATACAGTAAAGCAGTATAGACTGCTGAAGAAATTAAACATGATGTAATAAGACATCTCATGTCTACGATTAGAAAACAGGCTTAAGATGCCCAAACTACACAAGGTCACCTACAGACTCCATAAAATATCTGAGCTAAGGAAGTGACATGCAAGAGGACGGAAGTGTGGCCACAACCCAGGGAACTAGCTCTAATAACCTCCAGATCTCACCAGTTAGGGAGAGTAGGAGGGAGTGAGGATGATGGAGAAGGAAGCCTGGTGGCATTTAACTCTCCTGTCCTGCATGGTAGAAAACATGCAGAGCCCGGATGCTAGGTGGGGAAAAGTCCCCTCATCTCAAGAACCCATACAGACGTCACAGGAGCAGTACAATCAATCACTTCTCCATTCATTCTCATTGTATTACATACCTCTGATTGACTCCTCTCATGATACTGGTTGGGGACCAGAGAGGCAGCTGAGCTGTCAGAATGACGCCTAAGAGGAACTGATTTGGCTTCTGCACTTCTGGATGGGCTGAAGTGTCTGTTTGACTAAGAGAATAGAGCTGATCGCAGGCGACCCGGCGGATCTGAAATGTGATCAGTGGTAAAGGGCAGAAGTCATCAATGTTTCAGACTACTTAAAGAGTGACACCCTGAAAACCCACACCATTTACTCATTCAAGTGACTGAAAGATGTTAGAAGGGTATAACTATCCTAATTTTGAATGCTAAAGATTTTGCTGAGTAAATGGATTAATTAAAAACAAACATGTTGCTAGGTGGCGGCGGCAGTGCACACCTTTAATCCCATAATTTGGGAGGTAGAGGCAGATGGATCTCTGAGTTTGAGGCTAGCCTGGTCATCTATAGAATCAGTACTTAGGCCAGCCAGGGCTACACAGAGAAATCCTGTCTTGAAAAACCGAGGAAAGAAAAAAACTGATTTGGAAACTAATTACTACTTTACTTGAGTCAACAGGTTTTTAACTCAATGAAAACAAAAATCAGAAAATCACATTTTCAAATATTTAAAAAGTTCATGTTCATGGTCACATATGGAAGATGTAAAACATAAGAAAGCTCATGGCTTGAAGGTGATCTCTCCAGACTTTGACCAACATGTTGAAAGTTAATTCTTGCTGCCCTTACAGGCCACAGATGCTCAACACTGGAGGCTGCTCTTTGTTCCAGAAGAACAACAACAAAAATCAAACATCAATCAGTTCCAACATGAGTTCTGAAACTTGTGTTGGACTGTGGAGGAAGATGGTCTTGCAGGCATCCTTTTGTACTCTAACAATGCCACAGGTGTTTATGAAAGCCATAACAACAAGACCAAAAGGCTTTCTAAGTAATAGAAATCCTTACCTCAGCACTTGGTGATCCAAGCAAAATGTCAATGATAAAATCAGCAACACATGGCAAATTATAGAAAGATGCTAAGGAGAACAAGGAGAATGAGGGAGGAGAAAGAAGTAATTAGGTGGTGCACTTGCAAAATGTTGGTACTTGCAAGCAATTTCCTAAGGTCAAACTTAAGCAGAAAATTTTCTCCTTTCTATATAGAGTTAGACCCTAGGATCATCTACAATGGCTCCCATGTCTGTCCAGCAATCCCAGGGAACTGAATGGGCAGCATCACACATCTTAGCACCACTACCTCGTAGGTACCAGTTATAGAATAAGGAAGTCTTATCTCAATAAACTACCGGTGCTAGTAACACAAAATACACCCTAAACTAAGTTTACACATGATAAAGATAAAAACGTGGAGAAGTTATATTTTTTCAATTTGAAAATCTCTAAATCAAACAATTCCAGGAAAATTAAATTATGAATATGCTGCAGGTTTAAAAAAATTTCATAATGAGTTATGCTTTGCATATAAAAACTTCAAATGAATTTGTTCTCTGAGAAAATTTCTGCAGCTATTATTTAAGAAAAATAAAGACGTCTAATATCCACATTTATCTTGATAAGTTTTACTTCTGATTTATACAATTAGTTTGCACATTAAAAAAATAAACAAACTAGGAGGCTGGAGAGATGGCTCAGTGGTCAAGAGCACTGGCTGCTCTTACAGAAGACCTGGGTTCAATCCCCAGCACCCACATGGCAGCTCATAACTGTCTGTAACTAGAAATACATGCAGGCAAAACATGAATGTTCATAAAATAAAACCATTAAAAATATACCATGACTCAATTCTGTATCTCTGGTGATCTGAAATAAGTAATTACAGCTAAGACTAGATAATTGGTACACATCTAAAACTGAATTGCTAAAACTCTGTGTCCTGAGGCAGCGTTTGGGTGCTGGAGATTCAGCAGGGAACAAATGAACAAGTCTCTGGCTTAGTAGAGCTCACAATGTAGCTGGAAGAGAGGGGTTGATGGCAATACCATAATAAAGAAGTGTATTATAGAGAAGGCTATAAAAACAAGTGATGTTGAAAGAATAAGGGGAGGGGCTTGGGTTGTGTAAGAGCAGAGAGAAGTCTTTAACTTTTGTAAAGATAGTCTGGGAATGTCTAACTGGAGTATTATATATGTAAAAACTTGCAGATGAGGAAAGAGCATTAAGAGAAAGAGGAAAGAGCCAATGCAAAGGGCCTGTGGCAGGACCAAAGATTGTGTATTGCAGAAATAGCAAAGAGGCCAATGAATGAGAGACAAAGTAGAAGATGGGAAAAACAGAATCACTGGTATAGTGGATTGTGTTGGGTTTGGGGGGCTTAGTAAAGACTTGTTTTTTTACTGTAGATGAACAGAGGAGCTTGGAAGTTCTGAGGAAGGAATGACAGAATATGACCAATATATTAAAAGGCCCTCTTTGGTTATGCATGAAGAATAAACTGCAGAGGCAGAAGTAGGTCAATATTGGTACAATCCAATTAAGAGATGACAACAGTTCGAAAGTACTAACCATGACAGGAGTACTAGATACAGTCTAGCATGGATTCTAGAAACAGTCTTAAGGAGGTTGGGCTGAATAGATGTAGATACAGTAAAATGTAATAGTTATTCCAAGGTTCTTAGTCAGAGTCAGAGTATGCAGGAGGCTGGTACTGCCTATAAATTGGGAGAATTTTTGAGTGATATAGGCAAGATCAAAGTTCATCCTGATTAGGTGTGAGATATCTCAAGCAGAGCTACGAGGGGAGTGGCCCAGACCACAGTCTCAAACTCATGTGTCTAGGTGGATTTAAGGCTGTGAAACTGGATGGAGTCACCAAGGAAGAGAAGATAGAGTAGAGATATTGAGCAGAGATAGTGAGGGACCAGCAATCCTATCCACTTGAAGTCAGAAAGAAAGCTTATAGAGCCAGGCCTGGGTTTCATAAATTTTAATGATGTAGTCATTATCGAGAACATATAATTTATTATGAACTAGTAACCTGGGTGCTTCAATTCCTTAGTTACAATCATCTCCAACAGGGCATACACAGGGTCCTATAACAACTGATGTAGAGTCATGTGTGTCGACACAAATGCATGTGTATGTACACAAACGGCTCAGCAAACACTCCAACATCCCTGCAGAGCAAACCTCTCTGGCACCATTTTCAGCTGTGCTACATACTTACTCTCCCCACTCCTTCTCTCACTAAGAGGAGCTATTCATAAAACAATGTCAACTTCTAACAGAAATCTAGCTTTTCTCTCAAAGAAATGAATTACTAATAAACCACCATCTACCTAGTTGCTGACTCCGAAGCTGCAGGCATGTAACAAGAAGAGACAAAGCCTCTCCAGCAATCAGGGCATCTTTGGTAGACACAGACTGCTGCCGGACACAGATCCCAGCATGCAGGGCTGCTGGCTCTCCTTCACTGCCAGAGCTGCAATTGCTTCCTGAAAGGAGAGAACAGAGTTTAATGTGGCTCCTAGCATCATGCTGTATTTTAATGTAAGACCCAGAGTCCCTGTTCAACAGTAAATACTGCAAGAAGCATTGCTAGGGAACAGCGATGTAATCTTCATATTTGATAAACACTAACTGCTTTGTCATTACACATTTGCTGGAATTCAAAATGTTTTCACAAGACAAAACTACTTTCAAGTGGGACAATGTCTTGTATCTTGTAAGATAATCTTACTTACAAGATTACATGGACATTAAAATATCATTTATCTAACATTTCTGCATATTGTATATCATAACTAAAAAAACCAAGTTTTATTATTAAGCTGGGTGTGGTGGCACACACCTTCAATCCAGCAATAGACAAGCAGAAGTAGACAGATCTCCATGAGTTTGAGGTCAGTCTAGTCTATATAGCAAGTACCTGGCCAGCAGAGGTTACAATGAGACCCTGTCTCAAAACAAAACAAAACAAAAAAACACTACCACCACCACCACCAACAACAACAAAAGCCAAACTAGAAAAACCTTTTACTATTGATGTATTTATAAACAGCGCAGGAAAACTAAGCAAAGCTAAGAAATAAAGCTACATAAAAAGGCCTAATAGAAATACATTGACAGGGCCTAGAAGGATAACTTAGTTGGTAAAATGCATACTATGAGAACTTGAACTCAATACTCAGAACCCATGTAAAAGCTGGGCATAGTAGCACACACCTATGCTGAGGGGGTGGAGACAGGCACATCCCTAGGACTTGCTGAGACAGCCCAGCCAAATGGGTGATTTCTGCCAGTCAGACCCTGTCTCAAAACAGCCCCCTCACCCCCAAACAAAAAGAGAATGAGAAATACCTGAGTCTTGGGTTGACCTCTAGCTCACACATGCTATGCATGCTCGCTCTCTCTCTCTCTCTCTCTCTCTCTCTCTCTCTCTCTCTCTCTCTCCCTCTCTCTCTCCCCACACACACACACACACACACACACACACACACCCCACACACACACAGGGAAAATACTGTTCTGTGTTTCCTTAAAAGCACTGTCCAGTTTTAAATCAGTACCTGAACTGCTGAGTCTGTTTCTAATTCCAGCAGGAAACAGAGAATTACTTTCTTTAATCGGCTGGCTACTTCCAACAAGGTCAAGTCGTCCTGCAGCTGCAGCCCATGACAGTCTCATGAAACAAGCAACAGTGGCAGTGAAATCAGTCGCTTCCATAGTCTGAGGAGGTATGGAAAGGACGGCATGAGAGAGGCAGCTGCTTGTGAAGACATCTGCTGACTTCTCTGACCCTGTGGCCTCAGGTTACAGCTCTTCCCTCTCCGATCAGCCAGGACTGCCCTCTCACACCATCACACTGTTTAGTTTTAAGATCTATTAACTGTAGTCTCCAATCTCCATGTTCTGGTTTTACCCAATCATTCCTTCATTTGGTTTTTTTTTTTTTTTTTTTTTTTTTTTTTGCCATTCCATGAATGTTCTTGTTAGCATGTTAGCTCTGGTTTTGTTCTTTTTACTTGAACAAGTCTGCTCTCCAATTCTCTCATTCTGTTCATCATTGGTCTTTAAGACATAGCTCAGGAGCCACTTCCAAAACAAAGTACACATAGCAGTGCAGGTAAACGATCCCTTAATGCTGAGGCTCCCAGAATGCTTTGCTTCTGTAGTTCCATACTTTATACTTTCCTTGATTAAATTATGTCTGCACTTGGAGTCATTTTCCTTCCTACTTATGCTAAGTTGCTTAAAAGCAGTGTTCACACTGGAGTTATTCTATATCCACAGTTCCCTCTCCCAAGTAGGAGACACATAATACTTCTATATTTACCAGCCACTTACTTGTATTGCTACTCGAGCAGCAGGGATGATTTCCTCAACCCTAATGGAAGACCTGTCAGATACTGACAACTGTCTGTAGGATGACTTTTCTGGGGTCCCACACAGGGACATCTGTCTGCTTGTCTGCCGACTGACATTTCGGAATGGACGGGATGAAAGTGCTTCTATGCCATCTTTGGTGAAGTCTTCATCTAATGATGTTGGCATTGTCTGTCCGACAAGTAAAAACCTTACAAATAAAAAGTAACACTTACTTAAAGTTATTTCACACTATTTTAAAATGATAAAATTTGTGAAAAGTAAAACATTGCCTTGTGAGAAAAACACAATATATTTTCCTACCTTGCAAGTTGTAGACAGATAGAATAAACACCCTGCCTTGTCTCATAGTCTACTTCTGATGGGATGGAATCTCTCTGCATGACATTTACAACCAAACTTCAAAAGAAAGAACAAAAGAAGCATAGTAAAGACATAAATTTTTTAAAACAGAAAACAGTCTATAACTAATGCAATAGCCCATAAATGTTCTTAATAATCAAGTTTCAATGTACAAATGAACTACCTACATACTATTTTTTGATCCATATTTTTTCTACAAGGACTTCCATAAGAACTGGACTTGTGGTTTAGCCTAACAGAAAACCAAGGTAGCATGTTCAGGTAGCAGCCTTTTTCACTAATTGGTTTGTAATCACTGAATTATTCCTATCTTGGTATTAGTGGAAATAGCAATTTAAAAATATATCAAGAATTGGTATATTCAGTCAAGCTTGTTTTCCATCTCCACTATACAATTCATTATTCAAAAGCTTCCTAATTTTTCTTGCTTCCATTCTTACCTCTTCACCCTCCAAATCTAATTTAGAAGGTCAACCAGAGTGGTTCTTTTAACATATAATCAGATCATGGCACTTGCCTGCACAAAGTTGTTCAATGCTTCCTATGTGGAAGGAAAAGACAGACTGTGCAGAGTAGAGGGTACAGTGCTATATATCTTGCTTTCAAGTGTCCCCAGAATGCCACATACAACTTCCGGGACTTACTCATTTGGTCTCTGGTATCCTACATAGGTTACTAGACAGCTTCTCCATACAAGAGCAGACACTAGCTACTCCTCTGGAGAATGGTCCCCAGCTATCTTTAAGCCCTGCTCCTTCACATTTTCCAAGTTTTTGTACAATGTCACTTAACCAAGTGGACATTTCCCATTTTATTTCTCTCTATAGCTCTTATCACCCTCTAACATAAACCTTTACTCAGTGGTCTACTGTTTGTCTCCTTCTCTAGTAGACCACAAGCTTTACAGGGACATGTGGGTACTGGGAACCAAACCCAGGTCCTTTGTAAGAGTAGCAAGCACTTTTAACCATTGAGCCATCCACCCAGCTACTGCTTGGGAATTCTTTTAACCCTCATTTCCCCTGTTTATCTTCAAGGTCCCTCCCTGCCCAGCTTCTCTTCTATGCTACTCTTCCACACAGGCCTTCCATTAACCGTCCTTCACTCTTTCCTGCTTGAGGACCTTCCATCACTTTTTACCTTCTACTCAGGTCTAACTGTAGTACAAGAGACAAGCGATACATTTTTATTCTTTTCACTCACCCTGCCCTCTACTTGGTTTAAAACACTCCAACTCTGCTTATTGATCTGAGGAAAATCCTACTCATTCTCAATTGTCAGCTCAAAGATCCCTTTTGTGTGACGCATTACCTAGCCTTATCACTCTGACTGTTTTTTTCCCCTCAGCACTGGCCATGTGCTACCTCACAGAAACCACGTGCCTACTTCCAGGCCAGCTAGGGGGCTGTTAATTACTCTTTAAGCACAGCCTCAGATGAGCACGGTTCTCTCCAATTAACCCGCTTCACCAGCGTCCATGCTGTTGCAATGTGAGAACCAAACTGATGAGAGACTTAAGAACAGAGGTGGCCACTTCACCAGTACTCTTCTCCCAGAGGGGAGAGAGACATACTTCATTAAGTTTTCTCAAGGAATCAAAAGTCAGAAACGAATAAAAATATCCTGAAGGATCAAAGCACCACTCCTATTCGTTTTAACCCTCACAATGCTTCACACAATAAATACACTGGAGGAATAAACAAGGTTTCTGTGAGAGAAATACACTAATGTGATCATAATCGGTTTTGCAACTCACAAACCTCAAACCTCCTGCTTTGAGAAAGTTCTCACAGAAGGATTTTGCACAGCTTCTTGCCATGTCATCATCAGCTGTTGGCATGAGCTTGGAGCTTAGAACCTGAGGAGCAAAGAAGCAAAGTTAATCACCCTAACATTTTCTGTAGAAATAACTCAAGCCAGAATTTCTTTAATGACACATCTTAGCCCCAGAAGGTTATGAAGGCTGGTTTCCCCCAATAAAGACAATCACATTTTTCCATACTGCATTTAATTAGGATTTCTTTTCCCAATTTTGAACCAAGTCTTTTCATGAAATGCCTTCAAGCTTAGATAACAACAAATAAATTTATATAATATGCAAATTATGTTCTTTAAACACATATAGGCTAGAGTTTTATAAACAGCTCAAAAACAAAAAAAATTAGTGGTGAAGTCCCTAAAGAACATAGCTTATATTCACTGGACATGTGTTCTGCACTAGGCACATGCATTTCACTTTGTAAGTGAGGGGCTGAAGGTCACATGATGAGATTTCAAATCTAGGTGGGACTTACTCTAACATCTCTGCCCTTCTCTGATACTGCAATACTGGATATTGTTGTGGGTGGAGGATTCTATTACACAAATCACCACAACCTAGTACCAATTTTGGTTCATGTTTCAATTTCACCAGCTATGAGCTAAAAGATCACACACATGTAATTTTCCCATTGCCTCATTTTCCTCATCAGCTAAAGCAGGATAATGATTATATATACACCCGTAGAATGTCATACTAAATAAAATACAATTTTAAGGTGCTAAGTGAGGAGCAGTACAAACAAGTGTTCAGGAAACAATAGCTCATTAGTTATGATTTAAAAAAATCTTTCGATCACAGTTTTAAACTAGATATTTTGAATTCAAAATACTTTATATTCTAAAACCTACTTCTATAAACCTTAATGTGGGTTTCTGGTTAGAAACATGTTCTTCCTAGGTTCTCTTTGGGAAGGGAGTGCCTCAGTTTCAGAGTAAGTCCAACAAGGTAGAAGGGAGTTCTCTGCCTTGCAGTCCTTCCTGTGAGCAGTTATCCGCTGATATGCACACACACCCCATTCTTAGCGAGGCACAGTTTAGTGAAAGTCAATTTTCTTGAAAGGAATAGGTATTTATAATGTCAGGTTTGAGGCTTCCTGGTGGGCAAATGTAAAGTTAATGAGCAAAATTCAAGGAAATTATAATTTTTAAGTACTAGCAAAAATTAGTACTTTGAGGAGAGTTAGGTTTTCTACTTATTTTGTAAATTTGAAGCAAAAACAGATCTATCAAAGGAATTTATAGTTATTTTGCAGCCCTAAAATTACACTGGAGACATTTTAAATTACACTGGAGATATTCTAAAACCACAAGCTTTTGTTCTAAGACAATGCAATTTAAGTAGTTGGTGATGAGCTACACCCCACTGCTTTGCTTGGTGTTCTCAATACAGATGACAGAATTACATCTTCACTTTTCAGAAATACCCACTCAAAGCAGATAATCTAGTAGGAATCACAAGATAAAAAATTTTAAGTTAAATAGGCCAAAATCTTCCAGAAAATTTTGTCTTAGAATATTGTACTTGTTTGTAAATGTTCATGTTATACAAGGTCATTTATTTCATTTTAAAAATATTTTACTAAATATTTTCTTTTTAAAAACTAATCTGTCTTTTCACAAAAATGAACACTTTAAGGCTAATATGTAACACCATTATACTTTGAACATATAAGCAGCATGTGGTACAAAAAAAGCATATAATTATATACTCCAAATTAGATTAGATGAATAAACCTCAGGGAAAAATATAGGTTTCCCCTTACTAATTATGACATTTGTTATGACTCAAAAATCTACTTAAACTATATACTAATCAAGATGCTTGTCTATTTAGTTTTCATGACACACTAAGGCTGCTTAGTTACTAATATGGATATGTATCTCTAGGACAAAGCCAATTCATTCACGGTTTTATTTTCTACAAATATAGTAATTGGAGGGTCTGATCTAGGACACCTTGGGAAGAGAAGTATTTGTACCCATACACTTCCCACTTTGATTTTCTGATTATGTACATCTAGTATCCCATGTGTCTTATATAAACCGGAAGTAATTACTTTGTCTTTTTAAATCACTGTAGTGATTATTCATAGGAAACAAGTAGTTTGGTGAATTAAATATATTCATTTAAAGCTAGTTTTAATGAGATAAGTAATTGCATTTGGCTGAAATGACTGAATGCCCCCCTGTGGTAGTTTGACTGTAATTAGGAGGTGTGGCTTTATTGCAGTGGGTATGGCCTTGCTGGAGGAAATGTGTCACTTTTGGGGAGGACCATGAGGGTTCCTATGTTCAGGATACCACCCAGTGTCTCAGTCGACTTCCTGCTGCCTGCAAGATGTGGGACTCTCAGCTACTCTAGCAGCATGTCTGCCTGCACGCCACCATGCTCCCCAATCATGATGATAATGGACTGAACCTCTGAAACTGTAAGTGAGCCAACATAATTAAATGTTTTCTTTTTAAGAGTTGCCATGGTCACAGTGCCTTCACAGCAATAAAAACCTTAACTTAAGACACCCCCAAAATTCACTTTTTTGGAATTTAGATCCCTAATGTGTACCAGGGGGTGGAGGCTATGGGAAATGATTAAGTCATGAAGGTGGTGCTTTCACATGGGGGGTTAGAGCTCTAAGTGACTTCAGAGTGTCCTTTCATGCACTGTCTACCCAGTGAGGACACACTGAAAGCACAGTTGTCTATGACCCAGGAAGTGGCCCCCCATCAGACACCAAATCAGCTGATGTTTTGACCTGGGGTTGTCCAGTCTCCACAACAAGGAGCAATAATAAATTGCGGTTTTAGCTACTTTAGTATGCATCTATTATAAATCCTGAATGCTAAATAAAAGAAATAAAATAAGATAAAAGATAATAAAAATAATTGTTCTAATTCAATTAATAGCCTTCTGAGAACTTGAAATAGTAATGTTAGTGTGCTTGACAAATTCTTAGTAAATCTAAGTAAATTAATGTCAACAAACTACAAGTTAACTGAAGAAATAGTACAAGTATTTAATCAAGAAAGCTAAAGATAATTCATATTATAGACTTGCAAAGCTTATAGAGGAAGGCAATGAGACGCATGACATGTAAGATTTCCTAATTCTTTACCTAGGTGCTATTTTGTGAGTAAACAATGTATAGAGGTATAAATGGAAAAAGAAAAGAATTTCAATTTATCTCTTTTTTTTTCTACATAATTTTCTAGCAGATCATCCCATAATAAAATCTTTCACTTGTTTCTGGTGTCTGAAAGGAAGACTCTCCTAGCCAAAATAGGTCTGTTAACAAAATGCAAGAAAAAGGTGTTTCTTACTTCCAAATTGTAGAGCACCCTGAAGGTTGACATGCCAGGAGCAAAAGAGCGGAACAAACTCTCCAAGATGGAGCTGGCGCTGGGCTGATGCTGTTGCTTTGATGACAGGGATGGTGACTTTGAAGACTGGGAGCTTGTTTCAGAGAGCAAAGTTTTCTACATTTAAAAGGTGGAGAAGAAACACGTGTCTTCAAATCACACTTGAAGGAGAAGCAGATCTCAGAGTTTTGTGCTCTTTTCCTCTTTAAATAAGCCACAGTAATTAAGTTTTCAAATAACCAATGAATGAACAAACAAGTACACTTCATAAAACCACCTAATTCTGTATTAACAAAACATACAACTGAGTTTAATGAATGATGGCTAAACACTTGATGAAATGCTTTGAGACTGCATTCCAGAAATACCAGCAAAGCCATTTTAATTTGTTTCCATATTTAAATATTGTGCTTTTAATAAACTGTAAGATCACCAACAGAGTAGTCTTGAGGATTATTTTTGGCTGGAACTGCTGACATATTTCACAGTTACATCAGTTCTCTCTCAAATTAATACCTAAGCTACAGATGACATGACTGAGCAGATCCAATTTTTACCTACTAAAATATTAAATATAAAACTCAGTTTCAACAACTTAGTTATAAATGAGTTTCTTCTGAGAATATAATTCAAAAAATGACATAAGATAGTTTATATGTAAATCTCTTAGTTCTGAAAATTAAACAAAATAAACTCCATTATTTATATTTTTTCTTTGCAGTGATGGGGACTGAACCCAGGCCACCTTTGTATGGGTGCAAGTGTCACAATGCCTAACCGTTGTCTTTTTGAGACAGGGTCTTGATATATAGCTCAGGTTGATCTTAAACTCAGATCTTTCTGCTTCTGTCTCCTTATTGCTGGGATTACAGGCAGGCACCAACATGCTCAGCCAAAACGAACCAAAGTGTTACTTATGAGAAAAAGTAATGATGACTCATTTATACAGAGACATCAGAAAAAATAGTCAGATCCAGGGAGGCATCTTGTTGGGAGTCCCTGCACTCACAGATCTACAGGGAAACCAAGAATGTTAAGCACACAGGATTGTCCTCTAAAAGGAATGAATACATAACTCGTTCTTCCATGCAGAAAGCTGGGAGTCTGAGAGATAAATAGCCTGGTGATCTGCGTTATACGTTGGTTCAGTCCATATCACACTCCTGCAACCAGGACACTAGGTGGCTGGAAATCTAAATAGCCCTTATAATATTTGTATAGCCAGGGGCTCCCCCAAGCTCCCATACCAGAACCAGAGGTGGCTAATAGTTTAAATGACCTCTATGCTATCTGTATGACCAAGACCAGGCCAGATTCTTCCTTAGGCCCTTAAGCTAATACAGGTATCCTATCTCCAGAACCCGTCTTCATGGAAGAAATAACACATATCCCGAGTTATGCTTCCTTGTGCACTGGGAATTGTATTATATCAGGAAACTTTTCCCCAATTTGTTGTCAATAAAACATCTGGTATCAGACTCCCCAAGGTTTAATCCAGGTTGGTGAAGTCAACCTGAACCAACTTTTCATTCTGTCTGCATTGACACCTGCAGGGACCCCCTCAGCATCTTGAAAAGGAAAACATCTCTACAGCATCACAACTGCCTGACCCCCAACATAAGTACATCTCTTTGGGCATCAATCTCCTCTCTTATACAAGGCATAGTCTCTTCCTAAAACTTTATCTCATTAGCACTAGGGAGGCAGAGGCAGGTGGATCTCGGTGAGCTCGAGACCAGTCTGGTCTACAGAGCAAGTTCCAGGACAGGTTCCAAAGCTACATAGAGAAACCCTGTCTCGAAAAACCAAACCAACAAGCAAAAAAAAAAAACAAAAAAAAACCATCATGACCAACAAAAAACTTCATCTCATTAACAAATCTGTTTGGATCTTCTACAAGTCAATACAAAGTTCTGATTTTAACTTATGGCAAGGGTATTCTTCAAAAGGGAAAAGTATTATAGAAAGATGCTATCATATGAACTTCATAGGATGCAGGTAATATTTTCAATGAATCATGACACAAAATTTTAAGCTAATTAAGTAATTATCAATACTATGAATACCTTTCTGCCTAAAGAATCCAGCTGATCAAGGGCTTCCTGAATGGCCGGATCAGTGGGTATCAAAAGCAGGAGCTTCCGTACTCGTAGAGTTATCCTGAGGAATTTTCAAAAACAAAAATATTTCTTTCATATAAGCTACAGCTTCAGTAACAAGTTTTTCAATACATATATACATTTCAAGTAAAGTTTACTTGGTTCACCTACTTTTAATAACTTTCTCTCAAGCCTCACAAATACAAGCATTTACCTTGGCTCCTCTAGATTGGCAAGCTGATACAGCATGTCAAACACATTACATACAAGTGCCATCACTACACCAGGGAGAGATTTCTCCTGAGGGAAAAACAAAAACAGAAAACCATAAATACATACTAACAATAGAATTTTCTTTTTCTAACCAAACTTACAAACAATAAAAATACTAGTACTGAAAGTCTGGGGGAGACTGAAGGATGAAGGGATACTGAGTTAGTAGACAGATCAGGTCTCTGGACTTTATGCAATTTGGGAATGAATACAGATACAAGGAAGATACAAGAACTAGGCCTGTTTTTTTTTTTTTTTTTTTTTTTTTTTTTTAAATAGTGCAGAGGCAGAGGCGAGTACTGAAAGCCCAATAAGGGAATTTCTTTTCTTTTTCTTTAAGAGAAAATGACCAAAGAGAAAATGCTCCCCTGAAGGATAAAGAAGATGAGGATTGAGAGGTAGAGACACATGAACCTGAAAAAAATCAAGGAGAGCAAGAGAAGATGAAAAGAAGTTAGAAGTGAGTTTAAACTACCCTCTTCAAGAGCTTTGTTGATCTGATAAGAAAATGGGCCAGTGACTGGTAGTGAAACTGTTTTTTGGATAAAGGTGTGTGTGCGCGTGTGCGTGCGTGCGTGCGTGCGTGTGTGTGTGTGTGTGTGTGTGTGTGTGTGTGTGCAAGTGCAAGTGTGTGCAGGAATATACATATATAGGCCAGGCATCCACTTCAGGAGCCATTTACCTTGTTATTTGCGACAGGGTGTCTGTCTCTGCTTCCCAAGTGATAGGATTATAAACACGTTATCACCTTCCCTACGTTCTATGTGGGTGCTAGGATTGAACTCCGTGATCTATCTTCCCACCTGTAAAGTACTAAGATAGCACATGTCTGAGTATTGAAGAATGAATGACCCAGTAGGAAGAGAAAAATTAGGAAGAGAAAAATCAACAATCATTGAAGAAAGATTTAGGAGAGGACAGCAAGAGGTCAGGCAGAATGACTAAGCCAGTGCTTCTGAACTCAGAAGACTGGTAAACTATGGATCTTCTCTTCTTTGAATCAGTTATCAATTACAGTTTTCTTTATTTAGACCTTACCAGACTAAACAGATGTGATCACCCAAATCTGTATGGACCAAAGGCAGAAAGGCAGTAGTTGATAAATCCCTGTTTCTACTCTGAATTTGCTCTCAGTACCTGTTCCATGGCATATGATGAACTAAAAACCCCGCTGCTGCTGCTGCTGGAGCTGGTTGAAGAATCTGCAGAGCTCCCGGAAGGGGTCCCACTACCAGAAGTCTTTACAGTAAGAACTTGTTCATCAGAAAATCCCAGCTGGTGGAGGAGCTTTTGGTCTTTATTCACTGTCAGCTGCAAAACGTGGTTTCTTAGTTACTGAGGGGAAAGAGGAGTACACTATTTAGATTGGGCTAATGTGCCAACAATTGTTTAAACCCACCAGACTATCGTTCGTAAATATCTGGATGTTGTCCACAGGAGAGCACAGCTGCTTGGCTATCTTCCACCGGACACTGCCTATGGTTTCATTACTGTGAGCCTAGAAAATAAAAACCAACACTGGGGTGAGTGAGAGGATTATTTATTCATTATTCTCTGGAAGAGCAGTAAGTGCTCTTAACTGTTGAGCCATCTCTCCAGTCTTTCATTACTTAGCCCTTCAAACAACAGTTCTGATCATTTGCTATGTATTGGACTCTTTTCTAAAAGCCAGGAATACAGTAGAGTCTTGGCAAGAACCTCTGCCCTTGGGTGGCTCCCTTTATGCAGGTGATAAATGCTTGATGCTATACTTCCCTTCCTCCCCTTTATTTATGGAATAAGATCTCAAGCCATTCCCTGGAAATGTCTTCTATTCTAACCTTTCTAATCATACCTCCTCTCAACAGGCATCTTGTGAGCCTTTATACCTGCTATTCTGTCTAAAAAACTGTATTAATAAAAGCAATTACTCTGTTGCTTTTTAAATTCCTACTCAAATAGCAAGCACCTCAGGGATCCACCTTTATGCATGGTATTTCATGAATACCTTCATCTTCTACCAAATTAATATCCCTTACTATTATTTATTCTTTGTAACACTTATCTTTACTTGGTATTATTGTGTTTTATATTTACTTTTATATCTGCTTATACTCCATGGTTTCCTTTCATTTCAAGGTTACTTTATGTGTGTGTGGTGTATGAGTGTATGTGTTCATGTGTGTGAAAATCACACAAATTGATGTCAAGTGTCTTCTACAACTCTCCACCTTAGTTTTTGAGACACTCAATGAACCTAGAGCTCACTGATTGGATAAGTGATCTCTAGGGCTCTTCCCAGACCCCACCTCCAGGTCTAGGATCATAAGTACATACTACCATGTCAGCTTTTTACCTGGGTGCTAGGGATCCAAACAGGTCCTCATGCTTGCATGGTAAGCACTAACTGACCCATCTCCCCAGAGACCTCAGTCTTTATCAATTTGTTTATCAAATATCTTTGAGAACCACCATTCATCTGCATCAGCATCATTCTTATGAAAACAAGATGTGAAAAAGCTATTGAACTTAGTATAAACCTACCTCTACAGTGAAGGTATCTTTGGTAGACTCATAGGTAACATTAAGAGTTAAAAGATGTCCATGAAATGAGGCACCGTGAGGTAGAATAGTTCGTGGAACAGAGTAAAAATCCTTCAAAGAGATAAGCACCTGAGTCAGATGCACTGTGGCACAATAGAGCATGTCAAAACACACGCTTCACCCACCTCATCTGCAACATGAATAAAGCTGCTCTAAAAAGAAGAGAACACACCTCTATTGTGATCACATAGCGTTCTGCCAGAAGAAGCAATCTCTCTATTATCACGAGTTTTGTTGATCTATGAGTTAAAAAAAAAGTCTTTAAACATATTTGAAATGAATCACTGACTTCAGCTCAGCTGTTCTCTGCTTCACCAAGACTACAACCAGTCAGCATTCATTGGTCAAAACTGAAACATACAAAGATTAGACTTCCCTTCCACCCAGTGAGTACTAGTTAAACCCACTCAGAGATGCCATGTTCAAATGGAATATGGGAGGAAAAGCCCGCCCATTCCCATGTTTCCTTTACTCTTTAAATAGTCATTCCATAAAAATAGGACCTAGGTTTCCAGGTCTATATGCTCATCAATCCACCAAGAATGAACACTCAGAGAATTTGACTCTCATAATCCTAAAACTAAAATATGCCACAAAATTCTGCAAACACATGGAATCTGACAAAATTTTGAGTTAACTGGAAAAATCAGAAGACAAATGCAAACAAGTATATCAGTACAATTTGTTAATTGAAAATGAAACCAGATGACTATGAATGACTTTTGAAACCTTGCTATCATCTGAGATAATAGGACTGCAATATTCAATAGCTTATATTCAAAGAGCTTCATATGCTAAGGACCAGAACTCCAAGCATCCACACACCCCAGAAACTGTTAAGAGGTCCTGATGATTCAACTGGCATGCTGATCAGCAGTATGGAAAGGTTCACTTTTGTAACAGGTGGTTAAGCACATTTTAACAGGTCTATCAAATATAGTCAATTGCACTCTCTATCCTTCCAGCCTATGGGCAAGAACTAGAATTAGAAATTCATATGAAAAGTACCCAAGGCCTTAATAAATAAGATAACTGAGCAACCTGTTCCAATTCCTCTTAATAATTAAATGAATTACAGACAGCATTTGAATGGTAAGAATATGGTAGAAAAACCCAAACTCTTCAGATTACAACAATTACAGATCCCCAAAAATTCTTTAAAATTTTTTTTTGTTGTTTTTGTTTTTTTGAGACAGGGTTTCTCTATATTGCTTTGGAGGCTGTCCTGGAACTCGCTCTGGAGACCAGGGTGGCCTCGAACTCACAGAGATGCACCAGCCTCTGCCTCCCGAGTGCTGGGACTAAAGGCATGAGCCACCACTACCTGGCTCTTTTAAAACTCTTGAAATGAGACAAACTACAACATTCTTGTTCAAACTCAACTCTGAAATACAGTTTATTAGCACTACTTAAATAAGAACAGTTAAAAAATTATGTGGTCTCTTTAGCTAGTTACATAGGAAAAGATTCTGAATAAAAAGCAGTTGGTAAAGAGGGGTTGAAAAATACATTCATTTAGAGTAGCAGTTTAGAAATCCAAATCCAAAAGATTTGAACTAAATCTTAGAAACAATGTAACAAGAATTCTTAACATAAATTCTATTTGAAACACACACACACACACACACACACACACACACACACACACACACACACACACACACACACACAGAGAGAGAGGGGGGGGGGAGCACTTGTTCTTAACATGAACTAACTCTATAATCACTTATACTATTTAAAAACGAGGTCTTGGGCCAGGCAGTGGTGGTGCACACCTTTGATCCCAGCACTCGGGAGGCAGAGGCAGGAGGATCTCTGTGAGTTTGAGACCAGCCTGATCTACAAGAGCTAGTTCCAGGACAGGCTCCAAAGCTACACAGAGAAACCCTGTCTCAAAAAACCAAAAACCAAAACAAAACAAACCATGAGGTCTTGGGAGCTGAGTTTTGTTTCATTTCTTTGTATTAATAAAGTATAACATCTAATACTCAGCTCATCTGTCTAAAACTAGACTTTAAAAGAATTTGGGAAAGGATATTGTGGGTATTGTCTTGATTACCTTTCTTAAGGAAGGTTTGGAGAAGGGAAAAAGTATTATCTCAACAAGTGAAGACACACAATTGCTCCAGTAGAAAAGGACTGTAAAAGTACTTAGCTGCAGAGGGCAGCAGAGCAATACTCAGAGCAAACTTTTCTCTGTGCTACCAAGGTTTCCTAAGCACCAATGATGTAGGGCTGCTTATGAGTAATGAAATACTTGTTACACCCCAATTTAAGATTAGTAAACATTCAGTGTTTCTCCTCATTATTTTAAAGAACCACAGCAAACACTAAACTCAGATCCTAGTAACATTTTAAAACTTTAAGCAGCAATGTCAATGTCAATTCAAAGTTGTCACACAAATATTATTTGATGATAAAGCTCTCACTTTTTTTTTTTAAAGTAATTTAAGGTAAATATTTTAGTGGGCTGTGACTGTATTATAGTGCATAATTCTAGTCAGAATTTTTCATTTCCTTTTCTTTCCCCCATGCCCTGAGACTACTCAAGGAGAAAACCTTTATCTATATAAGTATTTCAAATTTGGAGAAAAACCTTGTGCAATAAATATATTTTTATTAAATCTTTAAGATTAGGCTACTCAGTTACACACAAAGTAGTAGAAAGTAAAAAAAAAAAAAAAGGAGAATGTTCATAGGGCAGATGGGTGGAACAAACAATACTAGGTGACTCTGATGAGTACCTACATATCTTCAAGACACTGACAAAGGTAGACACTAGAACACAAACAGCATTCCAAGATACAACAGCTTGCAGAAGCTATGACACAAAATGAGGACACCAGTGAAAAGATGTTGTGGATGGCATAGCATAAACATTTTTTAAAAACACATTTTTGAAGGAAAAACACACACACACACACACACACACACACACACACACACACACACACACACACACACACTTAATTTTTAACTCTCCTCTTGGGTTGAGAAAATTATCATACCATTGTACATTCTTTTAATTAATTAAAACTTTCTTAGAAAATTTAGAAATATGCACCCCCCCAAAAAAAAAACCACCACCCACAACAATAACAAAAGCTCACATACATTTTTGTGTTGTATGTTTGTGTTCTGTTTTGAAGCTACCTACCTATATGGAGACTGAACTGATGTTGCTACAGTTGGCATGGCAGTTGCAGTGAGCATTTTTGTTGCTCGAGTCACAGCATGTGTTAGAGTGGGGCCACCAAGTGCTGAACTGGCTACCTGTAAAGTACAAAATAATCATTAAGTATTTCATATCTGGGTTTCTCAACCTGGCCTCCACGGCACTAGGCCTAGCAGGATCCCTGGCCTCTAACCACTAGGTGCCAATAAAATTTTTTCCAGTGGTGACAGTCAAAGACTTCACCAAATAATCACTGGGACTCAAAATAAGAGCTAGCTGAGGGATGTGAGATGGCTCAGCAGGTAATGCACTTGCCAGGAAAGCCTGATGACCTGAGGTGAATCCCTGGAATCTAAGCAAAGAGAGGAGAACTGATTCCATAAAATTGTGTCTTCTGACCTCCACATATCCAACAGGGCACACGAATATACCTCTCATGCTATCACACACACAACATACAAATAATAACATTTATTTATTGAGTGTTCTTTAATGATGACATATTTTTACGGAAGTCACAATTTGGGGAATATTGTATAGAGTACATATTTGCCATGAGGAAGATGAACTTATTAACATTTGGGGACAGTGGCATTTTATACTTTTGGAATACTCCATCAGCTATAAAACTTAAGCATGGATTTCAACAGAACATTAATCTTCAGTGCTTTAATCATCATGATGGAACTAAGGCAGTCCAAATAAATATGAAATAACACTAAACCATAGGCTTCTAATGAACAAAGAGAGCCAACATCATTTGTTCCCAAGTCTCCTACTTGGCATTTAGGGTTTTTTTTTTTTCTGCTTGTTTATTTTTTCAGTTTTTTGAGACAGGGTTTCTCTGTGTAGCTTTGTAGGGCATTTAGTCTTAAATGGCATTTATTATACAAATTATGTGAAACACAGACACTGTACTCCCAATGTGGACTATATGAACAATAGATGGTTCCCTGTCCCCAAAGTGGGAGATAAGTAGAAAGATAGATAGGAGAGGGAAGGGATACGATAGTAAAATTTTCTACTGAGTGTATGTGGTGTGTGTGCTCAAGTATCCTGTGTGAGCATGCATGCATATGTGTGCATTGGTCTGGTGGAAGTTCCACCCCAAGCCTTCTCCCCCATCTCCCATTCCAACGCCCCCCCCCAAAAAAAAAGTCTGCCAAGGGTCATCAGCTCCTCCCCTGGGGGCTGCTCAAGACCAAGCCAATAGGCTACTTAAGACCTGGTAGTCATATCTGCCATGTGATACCTCTCCCACACTCCAGAGGGTCACCAAGGAGTGCTTTGCTCTGTTTATTAAACCTAGATTTATTAATTTGGCTTGATTGGCTGTGGCATGTTTCCAATAACTGGGGATTTAGAACTTATCACTCATGTTCACAAGTACATGTGTAAGCATGTGTGTGGAGGCCAGAAGTTAATATTAGTTGTCTTCTTCTATTGCTCTCTACCTTGTTTTTATTGATTCAGGGTCTCTTCATTGAACCTGAAGCTCAGTGTTTTGGGTTAAACTTGCTGGCCAAGTGGGCCCCTGGGATTCGCCTCCAGTACTGGAGTTACAGATACCAAGAGCAAAGGTCCTCATGCTTGCAGCAAAGACTTAACCCCTGACCAACATCAAGGCAAATGCCTATTCCCATACCATGACACAGACTTTTGATCAATTCTCCAATAGTACCTAGCCACAAACACCAGCATTATACATTATCCAAAAATACAAACTTGTAAAAGGGGAAAAGAGTTCATTTAAAAGACAAGAAATTGTTACTCACTTCTAGTCTTGTATAGCAATCAGCAATAAATTTCTTATGTAAAGACACTGAGTCCTAAAAGTAGAAAGTATATATACATTAAAATTAGACTTTGGCATTTAATTCTGACATTAGTCAAGACAAAATACCAAAATAAGTCAAACTGTGATACAACAAGGACCACATTTTTGTGTCTGAGTAGCCTTTTTCCTTGGATACTCACCTTCTTTAACCTAGGATTTAGATTAATGTAACTGTAGTTTATGATTAATTGAATAGCTTCATTAGCAATTTCTTCATCAGGTGATTCCATTGCTATTTTCCAAATGAAATCCATTCCTATCAATTCCAGCTTTTCTACATACTGTATAAAATTAAAATATATATAAATTAAACAACACACTATTATTACATTATCACAGGTAATTTCTATTACATCATTGAGTCTGAACCTCTGTTTAACAAAATGAAGACCACATTATCAAAAATCACTACTGTGGGGCTGGAGAGATGGCTCAGAGGTTAAGAGCACCGACCGATCTTCCAAAGGTCCAGAGTTCAAGTTCCAGCACCACATGGTGGCTCACAACCATCTGTTATGAGATATGGTGCCCTCTTCTGACGTGTAGATATATATGGAAGCAGAATGTTGCATTCATAAGAAATAAATAAAATCTTTAAAAAAAAATCACTACTGTACTGATATGGAATTCTAACATGAAAACCAACTAACCACAGAGGCACCCTCCCTGGCAATCAGAATAGGTGCAGAGATATTTCTCCAGATATTCCTGACACAAGGCAAGCATCTACCAAGGAAAGCTAGTCAATAAGAAACCGAAACATGATACAGATATCCTCTTTATGGACTTCTTTTCAAAAGAAACGAGTCAAGACTGAAGTAGCTACTAATTCTGGGAGCCTGATCCAGTCCTTCCCAAAGCTTGGTTAGAAATAGCAGGATACAGCACTTAACAGTATCTTGCAAATATTCTGAGCACCTCAGGTATCAGGACCTAAATAACAGGGTCTTAGAAAAGATCAGTGCTTTCCTGTCTTAGGGACACATGTGAATATAAACATTCTATGGGCTCCCATAGACTCTGCAGTCCTCGCTACTGACATCCTAGGATGAACATTTTCTCATTCGCAGGTACATGGAAGCCTACTGGATTTATTCTTCTGGAAATCCACTTGACAACTATAGGTTCAAGGCTGCTCCTAGAGGAGAGAGACTTTGTAGGCAGCTGCTGAGGGGAGATAGTGCTAGGCATGCAGCTGCCAGTGCCTTCAAAGGGAGCCTCTGCCACTAATGCCTGAGTCTGCAGGGAAAAAGACCTGATGATTTAAACACACATTCATGTTTTCTATTCATTAGAAGACAGGCTTTTTTTTTCTTCTGAATATCAAGCTATATCAAATAATTCAAAGTATGGTACATACCAATTGAGCTCCTTGTCTTTTCAATCGATGATCACAGAGATTCACATTTTCAAAAAAAGTCTTAAATAAGTTGAAACCTAAAATTATAGAATGCCAGTCAAACCCATGCACTCAGACACAAGATAGTCGATGAAAAGACTAAAGCTAATCAGAAGTGAAGGCTACAATACTCCTGGCAATGGTTTCTTGAATAGGTATCAAAAGTGCAGTGGTTGTATGTGGTTCAGGCTGTGTGTGGTGTAGGCTGTGTATGGTACAGGCTGTGTAGTGATTCAGGTTGTGTGTGGTACAGGCTGTGTGGAGTGTAGGCTATGTAGTGATGCAGGTTGTGTGTGGTGCAGGCTGTGTAGTGATGCAGGCTGTGTGTGATACAGACTGTGTGGAGTGTAGGCTGTGTAGTGATGTAGGCCTGTAGTCACATCTACTCAATGCAGAGGTGTGAGGAATATTTGAGCCCAGAAGCTCCAGACCAGCCTGGAATATCCAAAGACACCTTTAAAAAAGCAAGGGCAAACCATATACTTCTAATCCTAGCACTTGGGAGGCAAAGGCAGACCTCAGTGTGTTTGAGGCCAAACTGGTTTACATAGCAAATTGCAGAACAGCCAGGGCTACATAATGACACCCTGCCCTTAAAAAAATAAAAAAAAAAAAGAAAACACATAGACTTAATCAAAATTTAAAACTTTCATGCTTCAAAGGACACTATCAAGAAAAGAACACAACATACAAAATAGAAATTTTTACAAACTATGTATCTACTAAAGAGCTAATACCCAGAGTATATATATAAAGAGCCCTTACATCACAACAGCCTAATCAAAATATGGTCAAAAGCCCAACTAGACATTTAGCCGAAGAACCTATACACATAAACAAAACCCAACCTGAATAGCTACTCAATATCATTAGCTATCAGGAAAAAGCAAGTCACAAGTATAGGACATAACTCACTACCCACCAGAACATTTTGTAAAAAGCATATAATAATAAGTACTGACAATGTAGAAAATTGGAACCCCATACATTGCTGGTGGGATTATAAAATGGTGTAGCCCCTTTGCAAAAACAGTTTGATAGATTCTCAAAGGTTAGATCTCATAGCGATGTGACTCTAAAACTCATAACCAAAAGAAATGAAAACACAAAAACTGCTACATGAATGTTCACAAAATGATGAATTAACAAAATATGGGACATCCACAGTGAAATATTATATTCTTAAAGTGATACATACAACAATCTGGGTGTGCCTTGAAAACATTAAGCCTCAACCACAATCAGAGAAAACAGGTACAAAAGATCCCAAATAGTACATATGATTTCACATAAACCAAATGTTCAGATTGAGCCATTCATAAAGGAAAAAGATTAGAGACTGGGCAAGGAAAGGTTGGAAAGTGGCTGCCTATGAATACAGGGCTCTTCTTTGGGGTGACAATGTTTATGTGTTAGAAAGTGGTCAAGGCTGCACGAGTAAGTGCCGATGACTATATATTTACAAAATGAGTTTTATGGCACAGGAACTGAATCTCAATAAAATAACTTAGTCAAAAGAAGTAACTGAAAGGAAGCATTATGTATTTTGATATATTTTTATTTAATGAATCCTATTTACTAAAGAGTACCAGAAAGATAATTTGGCAATGTAACCTATTAGGCTACATAATTTTAAAACTCAGTAAGGTACCATGTGGATATGTATATGAAGAATTCCACAAGGATATTCCAAACTGTTCAGCTGCTTCTGAGAAGTAGGAATAAAGTTAAGAATGAAATCTCTTACTCTATAAGAAATACTTGTAAGCTTTTCCTACCATTCATAGTGATCTCATATGACTCCAATTTCAGAATTTTCTCCTTGAAGAGCTGCTGCTGAACGTCACTCTCGAGATCGTGCTGCCCTTTTGTAAACCACTCAAAGCACATCTGTGGATTAAGACAGAACTGCCCTAAGACCAACCACAAACTGCTGCAGACAAAAACACATGGACATCTGGACAGGAAAGAGACTACTTTCAATCCTTCTAACATTTCTGTAATTGCTAAAATGACACTCAAAACTAAAATATTTGGAACTCTGGAGGGAATGGGAACTAACGGTTAGTGGGTCTTTCTTCTGGTGATTATGCACTCACACTTTTCACTGGATTTTATACTCAAGTCTTCCCACTGGCATGCAATTAAGCCTTGCTGCACGCCAGGCACAGTGCTAAACAACGTCACAAACTCAGTCCTTTCAACATGTCTATGAAGTAGTTACTATTATTCTGTAAAATGAAAGGAAACTGAGGCTCACTGTTAGCAATTATAAATGTCAAAGTACGTGTTTCTATTTCTGTTTTAGTTGCTCTTGACTCAATCATTCTCTGGGACTACATATCATTTGTAGGAACTAAGTTTTTTAGTAGTGATTTAAAATTAGTTTCACAAATAAATAAGTAAATAAAATTAGTTTCACAGGAAAGGAGAAAACTAAATTATACCCATAATTCTTCATCAATATTCATTTTGTGGGCTTTAGTATTTGACCCAGAATTAAATCAAAATGATCAAAGAACTCACATGTTTACATATATCATGGATTTCTTGTAGGATATTAATTTCTAGTACATACAGTTCCTATTCAGCCATTAGTGTTCACAGAAACAGCACAGCGGATCCAGGACACAGAAACAAGATGAGATATAGAGCAGAGTGCAGCATTTCAACACTGCCTTACAAACCTCTCGATCTAATTCGCAGACATCCTGGCCAGTCACAAGGCATTCCCAGATTTCCTTGGCTCGGTTCCACCCAAGATACAATGTAGCTTCTTGTAAGAAAAATGCCAGAAATTTCAGATGTGCCTCTAAATACTGAAAACAAGCAATAAGGCAACCAGTTAACTCATTTGAGGCATTCATAGCTAAAAGAAATATTACAACAAAACTTTACAAAATAGGTTTACACAGAACATTTCTCATGTAATTTATGATAAAGTAAATATGAGAAATGGACTTATCAGCTAGTAATATAATGCAGCAGAAGCAACCTCAAATTAATTACAAAGTCAGTTTATTTTAGATGTAAATCAAATTAAATTTCAGTAATCTCAAAAGGAACCACCATGCTTAAAAGTGAAGTTAAGTTTTATTTCTGGTGGTTTTTGTTGTTGTTGTTGTTTTGTATGAGACAAGGTCTCACTCTGAACTCCAGAATAGCTTAGAATTCAATCTATAGCCCATGCCATGTTCTCAAATCGTGAGTCACAAACTCTTTGGGGGTAACGGGGGGGGGGGGGGGAGATATTGAATGACCCTTTCACAGGAGTCAAACATTAGATACTCTGATACTCTACATATCAGATTATTTACATTATAATTCATAAAAGCAGCAAAATTACAGTTATAAAGTAGTAACAAAATAATTTTATGCTTGGGGGTCACTACAACATGAGGAACTGTGTTAAAGAATTGCAGTATTAGGAAAGTAGAGACCCACTGGTTTGTGGAGTCCTGAATTAGAGGTGTGAGACACTATATCCAAATAATTTTTAGAACCTCATTAACAATCAATTGATTTGAAAACAAAATGCATGTTCTACAGAGTTAGCAATTGCTGCTAACAAATGCTATTTTTCTAAACTTGAATTTGAAATTATAGTAAAGTACTGAAGAGATGGCACAGTAGTCAAAAGCACTTATTGCTCTTGCAGAGGACCTGGGTTCAATTCCCAACAGCCACATGGTGGTTCACAAACATCTGTTAATCCAGTTCTAGGGAATTTGATACCTCTGTGAGCTTCAGGCCCACATGTGGTATACATAGACATATAAGCAAACACACAAATTGGTAAATCTAATGAAAAAAAAAAAAAAGAAAAAATGAAATTATAGTTAAGATTCAAAACTGTTTTTTTTCATCACAAAGATAGCTCACAGTACCTTTTATAGTTGTACTCAACAAACATTTATTTTACAGTTCAAATAGAAAAAGTTAAACGAATGCTGAAAAACACAAAACAAAAACACAGCGCCTGATACCTCCCGGTAAGTGTAGCGGCCATCCACCAGTGTCAAGCCAGTTAAACCTCCAGGCCCAGCCACAGCTGCTGCAAGTCGATGACAAGCTAGTAAACTTCCTGTTACCAATTTGACTATTTCAAAATTTTTCTTCAGGTCTTGAATAATGCTCTAAACAAAAACAACAAAAATGGAAGCAGCATGAGACTCTGCAGTAGTTTGGTTTAATATAGCTTTTATTTTAGAATGTAGCCCCAGATGAAAGAGCAAACATGAGACTTCCTATTATAGTTAACACAATCAATCTGATATTTGATTTTGGTATTGTTTCTTATTACTTTTATTAATAAGTATCTTCCTCCCAGGGAACTTAAAAGCCATTGCTATTATTTTGCATCTAAAAGAGAAATGGATCCCTGAAGAGAGCTATTGGCCATTATGTGCTTTCCTGGATCTTACCCTAAAATCCTTGACATGGAGAAAGCTCTTAGACAAAGCAATCTTTTCAAATTTTGGAGTTACCACTATTTTTTTTAAAGTTAGCATAATTATCTAAATAAATTAAACAATCAAAAAAAAAGAGTTAGGACAAAAGAAACCCCCTCCTCAGTCAATAAAGTAGAATGATTTAAACTCAAGAGTTCCAAATGATAAGAATCAGTGACATTAATAAACATAAGTCAGTGAGACACTATCAATGCAATACCCTTGCTTATTATAATTATTACAAATGGCTATGCCAATAAGAACCAAAAGTAAATATGCTCCTACCTTGTCTTGCTTTTGATAGGTCTGTTTTATAAATGAGCGAGTGATTTCATGGAGCTGACGCAAAGCTGGTACCACCCATACAAACTGCGGATTATTAAGTTGAGATGACTAGAGTTAAAAAGAAGTTACATTAATTAAGTTTAGAAGTAAATCACAGTTATTTATTAGCTACAAAAAATTTCCAAGTCAATAATTTCACTGTTACACATTCCACTATTTTCCTTTTCATGTTACTTATTTTTAGCTTATCTCCATGCAATCATAATTCAGTCTTCAACTTCTTATTCTGCATGCAATTTCCTAAGGTCAAGAACTGCAAACAGGAGTGGATGTGAAATGACAGTAAATGTATAGGGGGACATCAGCAAAATACAGACGACAAAGAATTAGCAACTTTAAAGGATAGATTAAATAGCACAGAGCTGCTAAGACATGTTGACTCAATAAAGTAAATATGGCAAAGCTTAACACTGAACTGGCTAGCAAGGAAAATAGACAAAAATATGGCTTTCTTTAATTATGTGATTACGCTATCAATGATCTGATCCAGATACTGACAATGAGCTAAGTAGCAAAGAAAATATAATCTGTTTATATTACTATTTAAGATAATTATATAAAAGGTAATTCTGCTTTAATTATTAAGGGGCTTGGATACAGCTCAGAGGTAGAGCATGCATGTATTTAGCATGTGTGAGGTCCTGGGTTCAATTCCTATTACTTCCCTTCCTCCACCTGATCCCATTACTATTTTTATTGGATATTATGTATTAGACTACACTTTAATTTCAAAGCATTTCAAATATATTATTTCTGAAACTGGTACGACAAACAGATCTTTGTGTTGCAGATCAAAGAAACCTAATGTGCATGCAATTCTCCTTAAAGAGAATTGGCCTTTAATCAATAGCATCTTTTGTACTATAAAATTTCATAATAAAATTGGCAATGCTAATTATAAATCATCATTAATTATTAAACAAAACATCAACTAAAGCCTTAGTATTTATTTAAAAGGCTGAACTTTTTGTTTTAAGTAATTTTATCAAATCTTTCTGCAAAATGAAGATCTTAGTTGAAAGAGTAGTATTGTAGTCTTAAAGAAACATATCTACTACTATAGGTGCCTGTGTGCAAGCTACTAGCAAACAATAAGTTTTCCTCATCTCAAATAGATGAGCCAAATAAGCCAATATACCAAATACCACATTTCCTGGATGCTAAGATACATTTCTTTGACCTTTAACATTTCTCAAATTGATACTTCTTCAATTATGTCAAAAGACACTTACCAGCCACTATTAAGTGTTAAGTGTAAGCTTATATAACTGTCCATATCTTTTATAAACAAACTTACCTATACACAGAAGGCATTTGTTCATCTACCTGCTGTCTGTATTGAGCTTTTATTATAGTAGTACCAAACAAGGATGGCCTTTAAACGTCAATTTGGGTTACTAGTTTATTGCTTAAATGTTATCAGAAACATTATACCATGACATAGCACTAACTAGCCTGTTGTGACTCAAAAAAATTCAAGTCATTTTCAAAGCCAGAAGCTGGCATGCAGAACCTTCCCTGGGGCAGGGCTCTATCACTCAGCACTGATGCCTCTCTGCCTTAAGCTGCACCCCAATTCACAAGAAGCTGTTCAACTGTACTGTTTATCACTCAAAGAAAAAGTCGCTTTCTGAACAAATATGAGCACACAAAACTCCACATGCTTCAGTATGGCCCAAGGACTACTAGGATGTAACATACCTGCCTACATGTGTAATCCTTAGTATCCTCAGTACCAAATATTGCAGAGTGGTCCAAAACACTACCACAGATAATGATTATTAGTGTTTTAAGGTGAAATTACACATAATTGATAAAAATAAAACAAAAACACGCTTACATCTAAACTCTGGCTACCAGTTTAAAACAATGGCTGGTAAACATAAAATGACCTATTTTTCTTTTCTTGGGATAAGGGCAGAGTCTCAGGCACCATGCGGCCTCAAACTAATTATGTAGTTGAAGATGATCTTGAATTGTGTGATTCTCCTGCCTCCATTTCTTGAGTGCTAGGATTACAGGCATGTTACCACACTTGGCTTGTGGGGTGCTGGGGATACAACCCTGAACCTTGTTCATGCTAAGTAAGCATTGTACTAACTGAGCTAAATTTCATCTCCAAAATGTAGTTTCCATTTTTCTTCTCTACAAATTTAGTAACTGTAATGTAGGCTGTAATCTCTGGCATTTTCAAATCATAGAAATAAGGTATAAAGGCCAACTACTTCTGAAGTCAGCCAGAATACCTTTTGCTAAAATAAGACTGTAAGAGATGATAAAAACTGTGAGGCTTGATTCTGAACTGACACCTTCTAAAACGATTACAAATATCTGTATCTATATCCACTTTTTAAGGATTTATATATTTATTATGTATACAGTGTACTGTCTGCCTGCAGGCCAGAAGAGCGCACCAGATGTCACTACAGCTGGTTGTGAGCCGCCATGTGGTTGCTGGGAATTGAACTCAGGACCTCTGGAAGAGCAGCCAGTGCTCTTAACCTCTGAGCCATCTCTCCAGCCCCCTACACATAAACCCTTTAGCAATAAGTAGATACATTAAAAAGTGTCATTATGACTAATTAGTAAATTATGGCTAAAAAAATTATACTTTGAATGTTACTCTATACATAATAAAATTAAAAGAAAAGTAATATAAATTGCAATTTAAGACTCATTGCTGATATACTCTTTCTGAAGGTTAGCAATCAGGAAAAATTGTTAATCACTTATCTACAGTGTTATATTGTGAAGTTGCAGGAAAAACAAAATTAGTCTCCTCTGATTTCTAAAGATGGCTGAAAGTAAACTGAAGATATTTGATAATTTCATTGAATTTAGTGTGTTGCTCAAATTAGAGTGACGTTAAAGGAAACTGCAAATCTCAATCTGGATGTCCCACAAACCTTCTCTTTTTATGAAACTTGTCACACATTCACTGCCTCAGCAGGCAGGCACTCTGTTCAGACACTTTCACTAGAAAGGCCACTGACTTCTTACACCTACACATGTCTCTATGCAGTATCTTGGGAGACATAACACAAAGTCCACTCCGTTTCTCTATTTTTACATTCTCAGTACCTAAAGAAACCATTTATATTCTTTGAGTTCTCTCTTCTTAGGGCTGAACATTCCCCCACTTCTTATCTGTCTTGCTTTTTCAGTTTTAGGCATTTATCTAGAAACAAGGTAAATTTTTTGTAGAGGAAGAAAGTAAGAGAAATTTCCTCCTCCACTAACTACAATGAGACTATTTGTACTGAGGACATCTTCCTAGTTTTATTATATTCTGGCAAACTGGAGCAACTCACTAATATACAGGTCGACTGTCCTGAATCCAAAAATCTGAATTCTAAAATTGAAAGCTTTTTTGAGTGCTAATATGCTCAAAACTTTTATTTGAATTTGAGATGCTCAACTAGTAAAATATATGTAAATACTCTAAAATCTGAAAGGCTCCAAAACTGGAAACACCATAGGTCCCAAGTATTTCAGACAAAGGATATTCAACCTGGTTAAGTGCAGCTCTATGTGTCTTCATAGGGTGCAAGGGAGGAAAAAGGAGAGAACTATATTTACCAGAAGCCTGACAGGTGCTGTTAGGAGACCTAAAGATAGCCTATGGAATATGCAAACACTACTACTGGAGTAAACATTTTTTGTTGTTGTTTAGTAATTATTTTTTGGATGAGAACATTTAAATTTTTTAACTGAGGAAATAAGAAGTGAAATAAGAAACAAAGGATTGAGGGTTGACAGTGGAGGGTATAAAAGAAGCAAAGGAAAGGAAGAGGACCAAGGGAGCTGAGGGTACCTTGGTAGAATCTATAGAAATAAAGGTTGGAATTTCTCAACAGGACAGTAGAACTTGGGAACTTGGAGTGTCAAAAGCAGCAGGAAGGGGAATCAGTTGGGGAGAAGAGGTAGCTGAGGGCAGGAGGGGGGGGATAAGAGGTGGGTGAGCTTGTCTTACCCTTCGCTTAGTTTCTGTGTAGCCTGGCAGGGAGACATAATCCCCAGTCAGCCCACCTTGCTGCCTGGCAGGAAAGGGCATAGCATAGAAAAACACCTTTAGTGGCAGTAAATACTTCACTCCCCTGCCAGGGGGCTTTGATCTTCCCACTGCCCCCCTTCAGCAATATGTACTTTGATTATCTATGAAGCACTTAGCCAACTGGAAAGTGCAACATAAAACTTGGAAAGAGCAACAGTGCCTAGGATTTCCTTTCTGGGAGCAGTTGGGGTAAGGAGGGGTTGGTAAAAAGGAAGAGCATTCCTTTTGACTCTCACAAAATGACCAGATAAGTTTCCTTTTTGATGTTGTTCTGCTATAAAGCAACAGACATGAATGAAGTGACTGCAAAGAGAAGCAATAAAGACACAATGATGCAACTAACTAGGAGAGCTAGGTGATGCTTAGCTGTGACAAGGGAGGAACAAAGGTCCAAAGGAGTTTCTGGATTTAAAAGCTATTTCCCTGGAGGAAGGGAGATGTCCCTTCAGCTTTGACCTGAGTATCTAAAAGAAAAAAAAAAAAAAATGTCTGTTGCCTAAAAGAACAGAGCATTTTCCTAGAGGCCCCCCTTTCTTTTACTGATACTACTGAAGAATACACATTTCAATAACTCAATGAAAACCATTCAGTCATAAGAAGAGAGACTGCTAAATTGAGTCACTAAGCTGAGGGAACTGGAAAATTTAAATGCCATCTGAGTAGAAAGCAAGCAAGTTGTTGAATTAAACATTCATCATTCCTTTTAACCCCAGCATTACTAGCTCCAGTTTGTGAATGCTTTTAAAAATCACTAAAGCTAGATGTTATGTAGAAAATTCTGTTGATCAAATTTCAGTGTCAGAAATATGAAACACCACATTCTTATACCCCCACCTAAACTGTATAGCCAGATAAACCAACATGCACAAAAGCTCAGTAAATGCCAAAGCTTGTTAGCAAGAGCTATGTGTTTGTGGATATACAGATGAAAGCCAGCAGTGTCCCAGCTCCTTTGAAGATAGACTGATGCAAAGCACAGAAAGGTCTCTATTTTTAACAGAAACATGTCTATGTTATTAATATGAAACTCCAAAAACAAAATCGTTCCTATCATTGACCGGGCTTTAAGTCTGGGCTACCTGGAGTGCTGCCTAGGGCTCGGATCAGGGCTGCTATGAGAACAAAAGCAAGGGCATGTGTCGGAACCACAAATACCTAAAAACTCCTGCATGCCAGCATCACACGCACCTTTCCCCTGCTTTCTTTTTTATTCACAAACATTCATTTTTCCCTTATGGGAGAAAAATGGGGCAGAATTTATTTAGAATTCAATGTACTTTAAAAATTGTATATACCTTACATCTAACTTAAAAGAAAAATAAACCTGAAAGTTACACAATTTCATAAAATTTATAAAATTACTTTTTCAATGGAACTCTAATTTTTCCTTTTAAGGGTAAACAGCTACCAACTTCTAAGAAAAGCATAGCTCATAAGAATCACATCTGTATATTATATTAGTCTAATAAACCCTAAAATATTTTTAAAAGTATGATACAATTTATTAAAGGTAATTATAAAATTAGAATACCTTAGTTGACTCCATATGCAAATACTTACCTTGAATCCATCTTTCTTGTTTTTTTCCAAACCTGACCATTCTCCAGGCTGAAAATTCATTTTAAGAGAAATATAAGTAACTTGGTAAAAACAAAACCTATAGCTCCCAAATTTGGACTCTAAGGTAACAGCTTCTAAACAGGACATTCATCTTAGTTTACATAATAGGGGAAGAAATTTTCTTGGCTCTAATCACTCAGACAATATTTTTGCTCTGACAACAAAATTAGACAAAGCCAAAACCAACCCTTTTAATGTCTTCAATGCACTTAATGATGTAGCTCCTCTTGATGGCTTCCTTCACTGCATAGGCATCGCTAAGGATTGTCAGGTGCTCCTCCAGGGCTTGCTGAATAAGGCTGCTGGGCAAGGTTGGAAGGTGAGCCAGTTCCCAGAGCACATCTAACACCTGTAATAGCACCATTATGATGAGCCATCTCCTAAGCACAGAAGACTATTTAAGCATTTGTAGCTAGAAAAAATCCATTTGATTTTCCTGCCTTTCCAGAAGTAGCCTCAAATCGAGCTTCCCGGCCAATCCGTCCAATCAGACTCAACAGCTTCTGTCTTACTCTATCACTCTCAGTCTCCCAGCTCTACACAAGAGAACAGACAAGAATAGTCAAGCTGATGAAATTGGCAGAAACTTTTTTTCTTTTCGTCCCCCCGCCCCCAAAACAGGGTTTCTCTGTGGCTTTGGAGGCTGTCCTGGAACTAGCTCTTGTAGACCAGGCTGGTCTCGAACTCACAGACTGCCTCTGCCTCCCGAGTGCTGGGATTAAAGGCATGCAACACCACCGCCCAGCTTAGCAGAAATTTTTAAAATTGAGCTACAAACAGTAGAAGAAGTACATTTACACCCAGCTGTTGGGGGACGGGCTCGGAGCCTAACCCTTACCTTCTGAATAAGAACAAACAAATGATTAAGCTGGTCTGCATTAAACTTCACAGCTGCTGCAGCAATAATAGTGTGAATGTTTTCAATCACCGTAGAGGACTGTCCTGACTAGAAGAAAGCAGACATCAGGAGAAAGTTAAGCCCTGGGGCTTGGTAAAACCTAAGTCTATTTCCTGACAATCTATACAAGCCAAATAACAAAAATTAATTAGACTCTAGTCTAGGCAGCATTCCCTTCCATGACAACACTGGCAGGATTAGTGAAGCAACTATTATTAATGGTTATCAGCTGACTACATTTCAGCTCCCAGCAGTATTGTCTTTCACATGTAAAAAAGCACCAGAATTAAGATTTAATTAGGAAAAGAATAAAATATTTTTTTTCTTTTTTTCATTTTGGTTTTTTGAGACAGGGTTTCTCTGTGTAGCTTTGGAGCCTATCCTGGCACTTGCTCTGGAGACCAGGCTGGCCTCAAACTCACAGAGATCCACTTGCCTCTGCTTCCCGAGTGCTGGGATTACAGGTGTGCACCACCAATGCCCAGCAGGAAAAGAATAAAATATTTTCAACAAAAAATTCATATTGATTTATTTTGAACTGTTAAGTTACAAGGCAATTTTCAGTGTTTTTGCAGATGGTGATCAGGGTTAAAAGTATTATTGGCCCCATTTTAAATGTTTATTGTAAATTCTTTGTGACTTCAACTAATATTTATTGATCCTATGGGCAGTAAGTCTCTACAGAGCTGCAGACCCTACTGTGGATGACCGACATTCACTTTATAATCTCAGTCATGGGACAGTCATATCCGTAGGAATGCATGAACACACACACACACACACACACACACACACACACACACACACACACACACACACACACACACTAATCTTCAACCTCATATGCATTCAAAATGCATGTTCAGAAAACAACATTATGTGAGGGAATTCAATGAAAAGCAAGATATAGAAACCAAAGTCTAGGGATCTAGGACTGCTTTTCTTTAATCCTGTCCCTAACTGTAGTCTGTTCTGTAATGCTGGGAGGGAATCAACTAATTGCATTCTCACAGTCCTCTGTCAGCTAGCTCCCATAACACTGTCACTGAGGGGCAGTACTGGGAGAGAAGAAGGCAGAAGTAAGGAGGGGAGGGAGAAAGGGAGGGAGGGAGGGAGTACTTTGGAGTCAGGCTCAGAGAAGGGATGTTGCAGCCGGGGTTCTGGCAGTGCTAGTGGGAGTGGCACCTGTAGTGAAGGCGCCTCCCAAAGCAGGTGCCTCTCCTTGGACTTGGTAGGAGTAGCTCTCTACCTACTCCTCCTACCATTCTTCCACCTTAGCAACACCATTTTTTTATTGTTTTTGTTTAAATTTTTAAAAATTGTTTGTTTTGTGTATTCGTGTTTTGTCTGTATGTATGCCTGTGTACCATGTGCTTACCTGCTTTGTAAACAATTCCCTAAGGTAAATTCCATGTGTCTGAAATGCCTAGCAGTTTGCTTCTGATCAGATTTTGACAGATACAGGTAAGTGGACCCATTTAAGGAAAGCACCAGATTTCACTATGCTTTAGCAATTAGGTGAGGCACATACACTGCACTGCTTGCCTGAATTAGAGAATGATTCATCGTTAGCCACATACAAATATAATTAAAGCCACAGGAGAGATGACACTGACTAGTGAAAGCCTTTCTGGTGAGAAAAGGACAAAAGATTCAGACTTGAGGGGAAAGAAAAACAAAGTAGAAAAGAATAATTTAACTAAGGCAGAGGATTGAAATTTTAAGTCCAGCATGGACTATATAGTGAAACCTCTTAAAAAAAAAAATGGCAGCCAGAATATAGAAAAAGACAGTGACCAAGGCAAAGCAAACACAGAAAGATGGGCATCTTGGAGTCTGTCATACTTATGGTAAGTGGGAATCTAAAAACTTGCTGTTACTATCATCCTCATTTGTCAGACTAAACAGGAAAAATTATTAATGAAAATTAACAATAGAGGGAAAAGTAACTTGGTAGGTAAACAGAAGATGTACGCCCATTCCTAGCTCTGCACTAGCTGACACACAGCTTTTGGGAAGACTCTCGATTTTTTTAAATGAAGAAATAAGATAAGTCTAAAGTCTGAAATGTCTTGTAAATATGACATTCATTTTATATATGTAATTTACTTTTTCTAGAACTTAGGGCACTGTATTTGCTAGGCAAGTGCCCTCCCACTGAGCTAAGTCCCCTAAGTCTTCAACCCCTTACATATGAAATCTTAATAAACCATAAAACAGATCAGGTATAGCTCTTCTAGTTAAAACCGATGAGGTATCATTTCCCAGCCTCCTTACCACCCTCCCGTTTTCCTATGGTACAAACTTATCAGAAAAAAGGCAAAGATAATTCTGCCCAACTTACTTGTATTTTCCAAATTTTCGTGAGCTCATCTAATGACAATTTACTGCCCAAGAGTTCAATAATTCCCTTTATGCGATCACAGTATTGTGCTTGGTCTATGTTGCCTAATGGAGGAAACATAGGAGGGGAAACCAGATACAGTGAATAATGACTACGTGTCTATTAATTTAAAACAATAACTTCCCAAGATTATCTAAAGACTAAGAAAAACAAACAAGATTTTCCACATTTTAAAAATAAAAACAATTTACATGTCAAGTAATTTTTATTTTTCAAAAGCAGCTTACCTTCCAGTGCAATTGACAGAACTGAGTTTTCAACTAGCCAATCCAGTAATCTGTCTGTATCTATAGCATTCTTCACAGACTTGGATAAGGTACTATCTTCTATTAGTTTGGTTACCTAAAATGACAGCATTTGCATGACTGATTCAAATATGCATAACCAAAATCTCTCATATATGTATATATTTTATAGACATATATAGATCAGTTTTATAATTTATCAAACACTTCAAAACCAACTTCTTCAAAGTTAACAAGACTATATTAATGGTAACATCTCTTCAAAAGGAACATGGAGTTATTCTCAGCTCTTCTCACTCCTTAGACCACCCATAACTGGCTTGATGATGAGGCTCTTAACCCAGACTGCAAGCACAACTGTCCTCTACATTTCATAACTGAAAAGAAAAAGGCAGTAGTCCCTCTCTGAAGATAGCAACTTCAGGTTATTCAGCTTGTGAACTGTCCATGACCTCTATCACAGGACAGATGGCTAGAACATGAAAGTAAGACACAACAGAGTCCTAGCAGTGGACTGGTCAAATAGTATTTGCTCACAAGTCTTTGCCCAAGTTCATGGTTTGGTTATTCAACTCTTCACATATATGAAATAGCTCAGTCTCCTTTCAATAAATTTTCTTTCGACTTAAAATGGTTCAGGATGAGTTAATTTTGACTTTGAGCCCAAAATCCCCAAACTAAAGGAAAAATAACTGGAATCATGGCTAAATGGTATTGACTTACCCTGACATTCACTGAACCCAACCACACTGTGCAGATCTAAAATGAACTTTGGGAAATTGAGGAAAAGTATTTTCAGCATTTTGCTTAGGTTCATGCTTTTATTAGTTACTTTGTTTTTGTCCTAACATCACCTAGAAGATAAAATTATATCTGAAATAAAAAGAATTGTCCCTTAGTAAATGTCTAAGGATGATACTGTAGAAAATTTCACCAAGTTTTTCAGAGTAAATCTTGAAAATACAAATATGACTTTACAAACAGACAATTCACATATAGTACCACTGTTATCTCTATCTTACATGGTCAAGAGAAATTGTTCTTTCTCCCACCACCTTTATATTACTAACCACATCTAAGTCAAGTCTTGTAGAAACAAGTGCAAACTTACTTCTTTGAGGGAATTCATTTTAGCACTAAAATGTGGTGATTTCAGCATTCTCAGAAGGATGTCAAGGCGAAGGTCATCCACAATCGTCACCAGATCAGGTTGGAAACGCATGCAGAGTAACTTAATGGCAGACAAGAGCTCAGGGATGCTAACCAATCTCTTTCATTTAATAAAAACAGAAAAATAGACAGACAAACAAAAACTGTAAAACATCCTGATATTAATTCTCATTACACACGCAGTATAGGGTAACAGTCGCCAAGAGACAGCTCACATTTTACATGACCAATTAATTACATTTGCTTCTAAGCAAAAGTTAAGCTCATTGGTGAGGAGCAAGGAAAAGGCAATTGTCCTAGGAGGGATTCAAGGTAGGAAAGTCTTCGTCAGTGTTAAACTGCTCTAAACAACTGCAGATACATGTAAGAATTCAGTATTATTCTAATCTATTTGGACTGTAATACCATTAAAATCATGCTAGAAAAACTCTGAATGGTATCACTCAGGGAAATACCATTTGTGTTCGTTCTATTTATTAAGATAACAATATCCTCAGTTGTTTTGAAAATAGGTTTTTCTGGGTAGGATCAGGAAATTTCAAGTTAATTTGATGTGAACAGCATGTCATCAGGATCCAGAAAGCAATTGCATGGGAACTTGCCAAGACTCGGCTTTGCTATCATGGACTAACCAGCACTACGGGCTACCTGGCTAGGGAGTAATTAATTACCTTGTCTTTGAGGTCTTTCTCCTCAACACTCCGAACATCCTGAATTGTGGTAAGGATGACTGGGTCTAGCATAGGCTGTAAACACAAAATACTAGTTAAAAAGAACTCCTGAATTTGTGCTAGAGTAGCTACTTCCTTACCTGCCATTCACAAAGGAGAGGGCACAGTGAAAAGTGTGACTTCTAGCCAGCAGTGCCACCACTAACTAGCTCACTATTTTAAGTGCCCTTAACTGTTTCCTCAATGTAATATGAGCACAGTTCTTCTCATTGTATCTTCTAATATATGTGGATTGCCCTTTTAAAAAAGTAATAGGTATGGCTACCTATTGTTTAAACAAACAGGGTCTCATTATGTAGATCTGGCTAGCCTGTAATTAGTCTAGTTTCTAACTCAGAAATCTGCCTGTCTCTTGACTCGAAGGCCTGATATTACTACTTTTATAACAAAGTAAATATTTTATATTTGACTTTCAAAAATGGATACAAGTAAGCATAGACTATGCAAAACATGCTATATACAGACTAGTTTTGTTATGAATGAGATATACAAGACACTGCTCCAGAATGGAAACACAATCATGTATTTAACTCTAAATTGTTTTATGAGAAACAGTAAAATATTAACTAGAGTAGACAGACTGCTCAATGAAATAAGACAATTTAAAAAATTAGATAAATAATGCTTGTCATTGTCTTGGGCAGTGATATAAAATGGCTTAATCATACCTGTACCACGGTGGAGTTCAGGTACTCTGCACACACCCCTAAGGGCTGCACCAGTGCTGAGACAGCCTGTGAGTAAAGAGCAGGGTGAAATGTGAAGGAGCTTTTTACCTTTTAAAAGTAAGCAAACCATTTTTATGTAGCCGAGAAAAATGTAAATGGAGACTTGTTCAAGTCATGAAGTAATGATTAGATAAGTCAAATTCCTGGATAGAAAGATGACACACTTAAATTAATATAGACATTCAAATTAGAATGTCAACAAAACTCTCCTTAAGCATTGAATGAAATGATTCTAAAGTTTATAATGATAAATATGAAAACATTTTCTTTTGAAAGGGAGAGAATATTTAAGGAGGTTAAATATCCTCTGGCCCCTACCCCCCAAAAATTTTAAAGCCTATTTAAAGGAAAAATAGTTACTAAAATACACGAAAGCCCAAATAAGGGAGACTCTGTGTTCCTGAATGGGAAATATCAATTATAAAAAAGCCCATTTTTTGTTCACTGACCTACTTGTTTAATGAGATTCCAATCATGGCCTCAGTGACTTCTTTCCCCTGACATGTTGATTTATATGCAGCAGAGTGAAAAACATCAAAATAAACCAGACTTAAGAACACAATGACAGTGGGCAATAGTAGCACGGCCAGTAACTAAAGATGGGTGCATTAGCACTGAATGAAAGCAACAGGTGTCCAGAAACAAATCACACTCATGGGACTTTGAGATAAGACAAAAGTAGTCAATACCAATGGTAATGAAAACAAGAACTAGTCAAAGAAGATTTTGTATCAACTGTTTATTTGAAAGAAAAGTATTGGATCCTTGTCATCCAATAAATAAAAACAAACTGAATAAATCAAGAGCCAAGTTTTAAAAATTATAAAAGCACAAAAAAAAACAAAATTATAACTTTGAAGTGGGAGAAATATTCCCTAAGCAAGTCTGAAAAACTGTTAAGCCATTAAGGAAAAGTATGATTATGCAGAATTTTGTGATTTCTGACATGACAAAAACCAATAAGGAAATAACCATTACCAAGCTGTCCTCTGACCTCTACACATGCCACATACCCTCACACACAGGTATACATCCACTCACATAAAAATTAGTTTACTATTAAAAGAATTCCTAAAAATTAATGATGTACTACTTGAGATCTAAAAAGTCAATTTACAGATGAAATGTAAGTAGACAGTAACCACATGGAGAAGTGCTCTAGTTCACAGAACAACAGAGGACTGCAAACTCAATAACAAAATGCCAGATTGAAAATATTTATCATTATCAGTCATACTGTAAAATGGGTTTGGCTGAGTACAGACTGGTGGTATAACTTTATTAGCAGTCAACTGTAATTTTAAAATGCATAGTCTTTATCTAAGAATTGATCCTTGACAAACATACGTACATGAAGACACATATACAAAGAACATTTTCTGCAGTAAAAATTAACAAATGATCCAACGACATTAACAAACAAGTGCATCACTGTACAGCCTTTGTGCAAGTAATATGGAGTCACTAGGAACATTAATAGTCTACAATATAATAAGTGAAAGTGTACTACTGAGTACAGCCTTTCAACAACTTGTTTTATAGAAATGAAAAAGTAGGAGAAGAGAGACAGACGGAGTATAATGGGAGCACAGGGCATAAGTGTATGTATAGGATACATACACTTTTTTAGTGCAGGTGTTTTTTAATTGGTGGGAATGTGATTATTTTTCCCAATATTTTTCAAGTTAAAAAATATGACTTACAGTCTTATCATATGGCCTAAATTTATTCTGGGACACAGCCACTTAAATTGGTCAGAAATCAAGCACTTATCATGAAACTTTAATTATGAAAATGAGTGCATTATCTCCTCAATGTACAACACTCCCTGCAACCCCCAATCATTGTTGCCAGTAAGTTATTCTGGAAAATGGTCTGACCTAAGGGAAGATTTGGGAAGGGTTTTTAACTCCATAACATTTAATACCAATACAGAATAAGCCTTCAATCCTATGTGTGTACCCTTCTCCAATGTTCATTCAGGTAGGGTGGAAATTTGGGGGTATTCTTTGTTATTTAAAGACTAGAAAATTATTGAACATTTTCAACACACTTGAAAAATAAGGTTAATTTCTAACATCTTTCAATGCTTAACACAGTCAGTTTTGAAAAGCAAATAGACAAAACTGTCTCTGAAAAGGTTTTTGTTCCTTGTCTTTTTCAAATCACCCTTATCTTTCATGTCAAAAAGCCATTTTCAACATGAACTCAATAAGGAACATATGACAATCCATCAGTCTAAGTAACTCTCAAGGCAGAAAGACAAGGCTTTCCAGCTTATGGCAGCAAGAAGGTCAGTCTATACCACACCATCAGTTTCTCTTCCTGACTAACATTCTGCCTTCTTCTAAAGAGGGACCAGGGAAGTTGATTAGTTGATGTACTGCAAGAACTGCTCAATTTTTAACACTGAGGGATGGTTTTTTAGTACCTATTTCCTCACTGATCCAATGATGGTGAGCAGTGTGTCCCAGTGATCTGCCTGTTTGTCTCCCAGTGCTGTTATTACAAGCATGTGCACTATGCCTGGCTTTTTATGTGGATGCTGGGATCAAACTCAGGTTCTTACACGCACTGTAACAACAGCTTCTCCCCAGCCTGATTAACCTTAATATTTAATTCTATGTATTTAGATTGTGTCTCCTAGTTGAATACCAACCCAAATAAAGTGTACCTGCACACTGAGCACAGTGAGTAGTTTAACTCACCCCAAGTTCTAGATCTTCTGAATGGAGTTTGGCTTGGATTGCTGCAAATCCACCTAATTCTCCAAACTGAAAAGAAAACAGGTGTGAATTAATTTAGAAATGTTCCACAGTAACAATTTAAGCAAAGAATTAAGGCTAATATTTTACTTCACCACTCTACTCTGTGAAATTGTTCTTGGAACACTCGGAATGCAATTCTAATATTCCTAAGGTGTACTGTAGGAGACGTACTAACCTAAAAGTTGATGTTCAGTTGTATATATCACATACACAAATTGGGAAGGAACCATGCAATAGTCCTCCTCAGTGAAACATTGCTATTTGTGGTGGTTTGAATGAGAAACAGCCCCCATAAGCTCATGTATTTGAAGACTTGGTCCCCAGCTGGCAGCACTGTTTGAAGAGGCTATGGAGCGAGCTGTTAGGAGGTGCAGCCTTGCTAGAGAAAGTATATCTCTGGAAGCAGGCTTTGAGGGTTTATAGCCTCACCATACTTCCTGTTCTTGCTCACTGGTTCCTGTGTATGCCTAAGATGTGACCAGTCAGCTTCCTGCTTCTTCCTATTTCCATGCCTTCCCCAGCCAAATTAACTCTTCTATACACTGCTTTTGGTCATGGTATTTCATCACAGCAACAGAAAAATACTACTTGATTATTCTTCATAATTGTCATTTGTTTAAAATATCCAACTACCAGAAATCACACTAGAAAATGGGAATAGTATCTCAAAACCAAAGTAATAATAAAAGTGTATACCTTATTTACCAAGTCCACAACCCATCCATGAGGCTCCTGTGAGAAAATATAGTCAAAATTAATATGATAATATAAAATTTTCCTCATTATTAATTTTTGCATTTTTAAAATTTTCCTAAATGGGAAATCTGAAAGAAAAAAGAAAGCATTAAAATCTGGAACATACTTCCAAAGTCTATCCCAAATGATTCTTAATATAAGTATTTGACTTTACTGTACACAATTTTTGAAGCATAGAAGTTTAGATTTTCAAAGTCTCTGACATAATTTTTGAAGCAACAAATCTAGATAGACCTTCATGGGATCGTCACATGAGAAACATTCACGAATTTGGGGGCAGCTGGGATTTGTTGTTTAAGTTCTCCAAGGGATAATTTAAATTCTCTAAGAAAGTTATATTTATTGTGGTTTTCCAAAACAGGGTCTTAAGTAGCTCAGATTGCCCTTGAATTTGCTAGGCAATTGAGACTGGCTTTAATTCCTTCTCTCCTGCTTCTACCTCCCAAGTGCTGAGGATTTTAAGAGGACATCAACACACATGGCTGAAGTTTTATTTTAGAAATTAAAAATTACTACCTGAAAAGCAGACAACTTGAAATCAGAGATTTAAAGTTCAGTCCAAGATTTATCATTAACACCCTTCAACAAGCTCTTTCCTTGCTCTCCCTTCTCTTCTCTCTTTCTTTTTCTAGGCACTTGGGTTTAGACAGGAAGACATGTCACACCCACTTCACAGAGCTCATTATTTCAGCCATTAAAACCCAGAAAATCACAACATACATAAGCAATTCAAATTATGACAAATCATCCAATTAAAAAAAAAGGCAAAGGGTGGAGTGGTGTTCATGAAAGACCTATGTGAAACAATAAAGGACAGTTTGTGCACAGAGGCTGAAATGGCCAATGCTATTTGGAGAAAGCATTAGAGTCTACTGCATGAAACACTGAGAAATCTTTCCCAGGCTGTACTACTGAGTTCTGGAGAATGGCACACACAGGTGAAAGTGAGCTGTGGAGAATGGCACACACAGGTGAAAGTGAGCGAGGCTGGAAGAATGGCACACACAGGTGAAAGTGAGCTGTGGAGAATGGCACACACAGGTGAAAGTGAGCTGTGGAGAATGGCGCACACAGGTTAAAGGAGGCTGTGGAGAATGGCACACACAGGTGAAAGGAGGCTGTGGAGAATGGGACACACAGGTGAAAGGCAGCTGTGGAGGATGGCACACACAGGTGAAAGGCAGCTGTGGAGAATGGGACACACGGGTGAAAGGAGGCTGTGGAGGATGGCACACACAGGTGAAAGGAGGCTGTGGAGAATGGGACACACAGGTGAAAGGCAGCTGTGGAGGATGGCACACACAGGTGAAAGGCAGCTGTGGAG